CCCCCCCCCCCCCCCCCCCCCCCCCCCCCCCCCCCCCCCCCCCCCCCCCCCCCCCCCCCCCCCCCCCCCCCCCCCCCCCCCCCCCCCCCCCCCCCCCCCCCCCCCCCCCCCCCCCCCCTGAGCCTCCAGACTGAGGGAGCCCGACGTCGACGTCTGTCAAAGAGACGAGGCAGCTAATAGGTTTTGCCATGAACATGCCTCGTGTCGCCCTTTCCCACGCGCCAGCTTCGGGATGCTAACGTGGTACGCCTTTGTCCTCGACCTCGAAGTCCGCGAAAAGCCAACGTCCTCCGTTTCACAGATCCAACTGACAAAGAAAACGTTGATGGTCTTTGAAGACAGAAAAGGGGTAAGGTTGCTCAATGTGTCTATCCAGCAGCTTACTTTCAACGGGATTGACCGGATTGAATATGGAAAAAAACCTGGCGAAAACAACAGACGAGTCACAGGCGTGACACCAGTTTACGATCATAACAATGGTTGTCCTGGTTATATGATATCACCGAGACGTCGTCTGAATACCACTGTCCTGGATTCGCATCGTGTTGCCATTGACTGTTCCCCGGATTTGTTCATGCACGTGTCGTTGCGCAGAAACACTGACATGCATGAGAGGAGTTCAAAACATTGGATCCGAGTGAGGCAAGGTAATGAGGGTGCGACTCAACTGCTACCTCCGAAGGGTGCGGCGCCCAGAGTTGGAGGTACCTTACCTACCTATCCAATGGAACCTGACCTACCTAGGTTCTCCGCCCCTTTGGAAGCCGCTAACCGGACAACGGAGGTCCCACCGAAGCGAGCCAATCCCAAAGCGCGTTGGGCTCGCGTCTTGGGTACGTAGCTACGCATTTCAGTTGCCGTTATTTACATTTCATGGAAAATAATAAACAGGGTCGCTCCAACCTTAGTAGAGCGGCTTTTTGGTCATAATCCGCCCCGTCGCGGCAGTCACCACCATACAGTCTTTGGCTGAGACCTTTTATTCTTGTCCAAAGCTGTTTCCCAGCCTTCAATCCTCTCTACATCCTTCCCTCCTCCAGTCCGTCGTTGTCGAGGCAGCCTTGCTTGCTCTATCTCATCTTCGCCAATCCTCCAGATAAAACGGTCTTCCCATCGTTACATCACTAACCAGTCGCAATCTCCCTCATCCATCCCTTCACTCGAACCAAGCCGTCTCTGAACTTGCCGGCTACCTAGACTCGGGGACTGCTCCTGCAGAAAAAAAGGCGAGGGAGCCTTTGGTTTTTACATTCTATCGGACGCGACTACGGATATTCCCACGACACATCTTCATCGACCGCAGCTTCAGAATTCTTCGCTACCCCTCCAGGTTGCCGTCGCAAGCAAAATCAGTCAGCAGCCCTAGGTATCTCGAGCCCAGCGATCGCTATGGACGCTAGAGTAAGTCACCTTCTCCCTTGAGGTCTCCCTCGCCGGCGTGCCATCCCATCTGCCAAGGGCTACATGGGCGCTTCTCTCCATCGGTCTATTGACTCACGTTCCTCATATTAGCCCCAGCGGCTTCGAGTCCATCCCGGTGGCAACGAGAATAACATCCCTTCAAAAAACGATTCCATACATCAGCGACATAAGTCTACCGGCAATCTCCAAGCCATGCCTCGCAATGGCGCTCTCCAGGTCGCTGCGAAGCGTACCGCATTTGGAGACGTCAGTAACACGGCAAAGAATCTCGGCGCACTTCCCACCGACCTCGCAGGCAAGGGCAAGGCTAAGGCTGTTGATCCCAGCTACAACAAGGAGAATGCAGTCAATGGCAAGGACGGATTCGCTCGACCTGCCCAGCGGTCCGCTGCGCTGAACAACAAGGCTGTTCCCGCTATAGCGGAGTGGAAGCAACCCAAACTCTCGGTCCGCAATGATGCGCAGCCCAAGCAGGTCGCGAAAAGGGCTTCGGTAGCCCACTTCGACGCCAGGCCCGCCAAGAGCAAGTACGTCGCTCAAGATCCAATCCTCGCCACGACCGAGTCTTCCAGCCGTCAGCCTCGTCACCACAAGTCCCAGCCTCAGCTTAAGAAGGAGCCTACTGCGCACGTCCTGAGGCGCACCCAGAGCAAGCTGTCTTCCACTGCACAACAAGCCACGGCTGTGGAGTCGTATAAGCCAATGGACGACGTGACCGAAGCTGCCTATGAGGACGCTGTTGAACACATCGGTGATGAAAAGTACCACGGCCCATACCACCGCCGTTCGGTCGAATTGGCGGACGACGTCCGCCCGCTTGAGGTTGACTTCCAGGACGACAACGTCCCTGTCGACTCGGCCACGAATTCCCTTCCCGAGTCGGCCGGCGCTCCCGTCCTGTCGGAGCCAGAGGAGTACTGGGACGAGGAGGAGGAGGAGGAGGAACTGTACGACGATCAGGGATACACAACTGCCCATTCTTACCGGTCTCGGGGTGACCTTACTACTGGCGGTGCCACTACAGTACTTGCCCCCAAGGTCACCGATAAGGTGCAACAAGAGCTGGACACGGCCCGGGCCATTGTCGACAGTACCCGTACTCAAGAGGAGGTTGACGACGAGGTCTGGGATGTCTGCATGGTTGCAGAGTATGGCGATGAAATCTTTGAGTACATGAGGGAGCTCGAGGTACGTTTGCCTACCCGTCACGGGCGAGAGTCAAGGCTGACAGAAATCTGCAGATGAAGATGTTACCCGACCCCCACTACATGGATCACCAAGCCGAGATCCAGTGGTCCATGCGCTCAGTCCTGATGGATTGGCTTGTCCAAGTTCACCACCGTTTCAGCCTCTTGCCCGAGACGCTGTTCCTTACCGTCAACTACATTGACCGCTTCCTGTCATACAAGGTCGTCTCCATCGGAAAGCTTCAACTTGTCGGTGCTACTGCTCTGCTTGTTGCTTCCAAGTACGAGGAGATTAACTGCCCGTCGCTGCAAGAAATTGTCTTCATGGTGGACAACGGCTACAAGGTTGACGAGATTTTGAAGGCTGAGCGATTCATGCTTAGCATGTTAAGCTTTGAGCTTGGCTTTCCCGGTCCGATGAGCTTCCTCCGAAGGGTCAGTAAGGCGGACGACTACGACCTTGAGACGCGTACACTGGCGAAGTATTTCCTTGAGGTTACCATCATGGATGAGCGTTTCGTCGCCAGCCCGCCCAGCTTCCTCGCTGCGGCGGCGCATTGCTTATCCCGCTTGATTCTGAACAAGGGTGACTGGGTGAGTTTTGGCACATAGGTTCCCCTGATGACGACATGGCTAATACGAATCAGACTCCTGCCCATGTCCATTACTCTGGATACACATGGGGCCAGCTCAAGAACCTGGTCTCCATGATTTTGGAGTGCTGCCATTCACCGCACAAGCACCACCTTGCAGTTTTCGAAAAGTACTCGGACAAGAGGTACAAGCGCGCGGCCGAGTACGTCCAGACGGAGCTCAAGAAGGGCTTTACTCTGCCATACCGCCACTCCATCGGCCGTGCCTCAGCCTTTGACTTTGGCGATTTTGATGGCAACGCTGCCTACGCCAAGGTGCCTGTCGAGCTCCAAGGCTAGTAGGACAATTGTGCTCGACCAGCAACCTCTTATCGTGGGAGAGGACTTTTACCCGGACACCAACGAAGCGCCTGGCTCGACGCGAGCAAATTTTTCTATTCTGAACGACTGTGATTGCAAAGGCAGCCGCTGCTACTATTTTAATACGACGATTTCGAGGACGAGTAGGAACGCGGCCCCGACTCGACACGCAACGATTAGTCCAGCAATGGCGAGCACGACTTTTTTTTTCTTTTCCCAAGCAATGTTTACGACTGCCAAGGCGGTTTGTTGACGACATTGGACGATGTGACGATACCCACGACAGGTTTTCGGCTTTGGCCTTTCATTTCTTTTGGTTGGCAGTCGTCGATTTGTTTCATTCGCGGCCAGCATGTTCCGGCGTTAGGAGGCAAGATTCCCCTAGAAGACAAGGCAAGGCAAGGCATACGGGCCACGGGCGGGTGGCTTTCAGGAGCAAAACAGCACCAACAAAAGCTAATGACGATGGTGGAAGGGAATGGCATAGATGACGGAAAGGCACAGACTATGAAATGAGCTGCCCGAGGGTTGGGACAGGCACCAACTTGTGTATGAGTTATAATTCTTTTGCAAAGGGATTTGCATTTTCTATGTACTGTTACAGTTCAGCTAGAGCTTCAGCTGGCATGGCTACGAAGGCTACGTCTCGGTAGTTGGGTTATTATTGAGACAATGAATATCTTGAGACAGAAATGCGCGTTCTTGGTGCCCTGCAGTCTGTCATGGTGTTCCTCTGGAACACCTACCTGACGTACCTTGCCTTAGGTAAGATGTCTTTCGTACTATTCCAGGTTTGCGTTGGAGCTTTGGCCAAGTTCTCTGCCAGGTGCCTGCTCATTGAGCGGACAGTTGCAGTATCCCCGGGCTGGCTTCTGGTAGGTTCGGGTCGGGTGGCGGGCTGGCTGGGCAGCTCTCCGTTTGGCACTTGCGCCATTAAGCCTCCACGCGCCAATGGCAGCTCTGATTGGCCAACAGCCCCAGACCTCGACAAAAAAGACATTCGGGGTCCTGGACCTAAGGTACCTTACCTGTAATAACTCACCTTCCATTCTCCAGTGGATCACGCTGTGAGGCCACATTGCTGATTTGCGTCCATGCTCGCTGATTCACTCACGCGAACCTGCCTCCGCCGCGCCTGCGCATGCGACACTTTTTCCGACCCGTCGCCTCGCCTCCAGACCTGACCTGCCCCAGTTCAACGTGACACCTCAGCGACAACGATCTGCATTGGATTGGGACTACGACTACCCCCTTTGGTCTTCCATCACTCTTCCCGCTTCACTACTCCATTTCCTCTCCCTCCCGCACTCCATCATTGATTGCGATCGTTGAATTGGTCAAGTCGCATTCAATTGACGCTTCTTGCCGCTGCCGCCACCCGATCCGCTACCATGGTTTACTTCAAGGCTTCTCTCCTGGCCCTGCTGGCCCTTCCCATCTTTGGTGCTCTCGCTGCCGAGGAGAAGGACGCTCCAGTAAGTCCCTGATTCGGGAATCGCATCACGGTTGCCACGCAATTCTAACCGACGATAGGTTGATACCGATGTTACCGCCCCGACCCTGAAGGCCGACATCGCGGCCACCTTCCCCGAGGCCGACATTTTCGGCGTCAAGCTGGTTAACGGTCGCCCCACCAAGGCTATCGTCGAGTTCACAAACCACGAGGATGCGCCCATTCAGGTCGCAATGGTCGGTGGACTGCTGTCCAGCACACAAGAGCTTGCCGAGGAGGCCAACCCCAGCGACTCTATCCTCCGCAACTTGACCGCTGCTCGCTACGACCTGACCGTCGAGGCTGGCGACAAGAAGGCCGTACCCTACTCCTTCGCACTCGACATGCAGCCCCAGGATGTCCTCCTTCAGCTCGTGGCTGTTGTCACCAACTCCAAGGGTGATGTCTTCCAGGTCCAGGCATACAACTCTACTGCCGCCGTCGTCGAGCCCCCCACGAGCATCTTTGACCCCCAGATGTACGTCAAGCCCCAACTCACCCACCCATTACCTTCATGGAGACCGCGCTGACAAGCTTGCACAGCATCTTTCTCTACCTCTTCCTTACTGGTGCCTTCGCTGGTACTCTCTACTTCGTCTACAAGACATGGATCGAGGCTCTGTTCCCCCAGGCCAAGAAAGCCAAGACCTCTAAGAAGGCTCGCCAGGTCAACGTGACTGTTCCCTTGGCCGACGCCGACACCGCTGCTGTTGCCTCCTCCACCGGCAAGAGCTTCGATGAGAGCTGGATTCCTGAGCATCACCTCAACCGCCCTGTTGCCAAGCGTGTCAAGAGTGGTGCTAGCGGCAAGCTCAAGACCAAGGTTGCTGAGTAGGATGACAGCACACCTACGCCTATGACGCGTGTGAAGCAACGCACCAGGCGGGCCTGACCAAGACTTTTGCCTTGCGTCGATCGGAAGACGATGGAAGAAAGCCTTCGTTGGGATGGAAAGAAGCCCTCCAGGCATTCCCTTTCGCACTGTATGAGGAAGGTCGAAACAGAAGCATTGTACAATATTTGCAGATTAGGCAGACACATCGCCAACATATTGTAGAAATATCAAAAGCTTTCTTTCGCAGAGGATGCAGTTTCTGAAAAGGGGTGTAAGCAAGACGAACATCTCCCCGTTGCTACCTATCTAGGGTGGACCAGCTGTGTGGCTGGGGCGGCTTAACCCGCAGCCCCTTCAACCACAAAGCAGACGAGCACAGGTACTCTGGGCTCCCTTGTCATCATCCCCTCCGACGTGGGTGCCGTCGTCGATGTGACGATCACCGTTGTCACAATATTCGTCGTACTCATCAACGTCATTATCCCGTCTGCCACGACAACAATTGTTGCAATAGCAATCAACGACAGCAGTAGTAACAATGCTGACAGAGGCTGTAGATAGCTACAAGTCGCGATACGATCTTTTCTACCGTCTCTTGGCTGTTTCTATTTCATCTGTAAAAAAAGAAAAAAATTGTGTCCCAAGGTAACTGCGAATCGTTTGATGGGTTAGTTCATTTTGATGGAATAAGAAAGAAGCCATCCTACAATAACTACGGTATACTAAGGTAGATAGATGGCTGAGGTCCCCAATGTCACGCTTAAGGGGTTCCAGGTTACTCAGCATTTAGCTAGCTATACCTTACCTACCTACCTTACCCCAGAGCGTGTCCCCTAGCTCCAACGACGCCAACGCGCATGAACGCGCTTTTTCCCGCGCCGGGCTATTAGCTCTTGCTGCATACACCTCAATTGGAGACCTACTACCTTAATACCCAAACCATCAACATCCTTCCCCGTTCTTTCTGTCCCTTCTCTACTCGCAACCACTTCACCCCCTCAACAACCTCCTCTCTGTCGTCACACGAGCAGCTGAACGACGGGTCGCATTTCACCGCTCTCGTCTTTTTTCTTCTTCTTTAGTTTCCGCATATTCTTTCCCTCATCACTTCCAACCCACTCACAGGTCCAATCAAGATGGCGCCCACGACCGAGGAGCCCGCCCAAAAGAGAGGCCGCGGCAGACCCCCCAAGGTGCCCGGCGAGAAGAAGGTTTATGTCCCCACGGGACGCCCCCGTGGCCGCCCCAAGGGCAGCGGAGGCGTCAAGAAGGCGACTACACCCAAGAAGCCCGCCGCCGCCACCGCCGCGGCCGGACGACGCGGCAGACCCAGGAAGAGCGACGCGCTTGAGGCCGCCGTTGCCGATGCCACTGAGACGCCGGCCAAGAAAGGAACCCCGGGTCGTCGCGGCCGTCCCCGCAAATCGGACGCGTCCACCGTTGCTCCCACCCCGAAGAAGGAGACCAAGAAGAAGGGCGGCAGGAAGAGCGATGCGGCAAAAGAGAAGGAGTCGTCTCCGGCCGACTCGTCTTCGTCCGAAGAGGAAGGTTAGCCGCACCCGTACTGTCACGAGCGCGCACACTCGCTACATCTAGTCTGCCATCCTTTTCACCCAAGAACTCAAAGTTGAAGATCACCAGCTCACCATTATGCAGCTAAGGCCCCTAGAGATGTTGGCGTGAAGTCGCCCTCCGAGGCTGAGGACTCTGCCTAAAAGGGTGCGTCCATGGCTCCCATTGAGGATCATGGGAGGATTGCTCGGCTGACCGATGTAACAATCAGTAAACGGACGAATGGAACAATGTACTTCTACACCTGACTACGGATTTGGTCTTGGGGGTTCAAAAGACAAAGGCGTTGGGGTATCGCTTCTAGAATTTGCTCAGAGATGGTGTCGAGGTCCCTTTTTTCTCCGCCCGAGGACCGCCAGGCACACAAGGATTCGGCCATTATTAAGATACCAAGCTACTCGCTGAACAAGAGACTTTTCGATCTGCATATTTTCCACAAGACTCCCTTGACTGCTTCGTTCGGTTGCATGCGATAATGGCGTGGTTTCCCCCCTTGATTGCCGCTTCCACAATCGACGCTCTTATTCCTTTTTCCATTCGGTAAACTCGTCAGACAAGTGTTCCTTGAGCCGAGCGAACTGGTTACCAAAATTCCGGTGGCATCTCCAGCAAACTAGATCCCTCTTCAGGTGATGCCCCTCGCGACCTGGATGGTCTGGTGGCAAGGGAAAGTTGGCCAAATCGATCAGGAACGCGGTGTTGAACGAGTTGTAATGCTTGCGATGCTTCATACACCCGGAGTACATATCGCGAGAGAGAACGTGGACATGCAAATGGTTCATGCTGGGGTGCGCGTGGACCCCCGCAACGACATCGGCTAGCCAGTCCCGTCCCTGAGGCAATTCATCGCCTGCCGACTCGACGACCCCGTTCAAGATATCCTCTCGCGCCGCCTCGGCTTTGCTGCCTTTGGCGAATTTTCGTTGTAGTTCCTTGGCCACCAAGTTCTTTAGCTTCAGAACCTCTTTCTGTACGGACGCCAGGAATTCGGGATCGTCGAAAGCCTCGAAGGGGTGGAGGAGGTTATGCGCTGAAGATCGAGGGAGGAGCAACGTGTGGACGCTAGCCTTGGGGTAGAGGTCGTTGATCGCGACGAAATCGTCATTATGGTATATGACACGTGAGGCAGGAAAGGAGGCGGGATCGTCGATGTAGATACCGAGACCGTCGCGGCTCTTAAAGAACTTTCCTCGAGAGGACTTGGGAGGGGCGGCTGGAGGCTCAGGCTTGCGTTTTCGTGTCATGAGCTCTGTGACTGGGTGAGCGCATGTTAGGTCGGTGCTAAGCAGCCATAGTGGTGGATGGGAGATATACATGCGTTCTTCGGAGCTGCTGGCGTGGGAGCAATCCCCTGGATTTCGTCTTGTGTAATTGCATCTTCTGACTCTGGGTCGGTGCTGGCCATTTTCGGTTTTCCGTTGGCGAGAAGTTGTATTCGGGATTGTTGAAACAGCCGGCTTGGTTCCTCGCCAAAGCTGAGGCTTCAGTCGACCATGCTAGTGTAGAGTCTCTGTGGTGTCATTGACTCACAAGTCCGCCCTCGAGAGCTGAGAGTGATGATGTGGGTGTTGTACGAGGTACGTGAGAGCGCAGCTTGGGGACGACACTAGACGGTGTATTGTGGTTTACCCACAGCGGGGTAGCTGCAGGAGCAGCCGTGCCCCGCCACCCGTCTCCGGCACCCGTTGCCATTCGCTCGGCACGCCAACCTCTGCAACCGCCGCTACTGCGTTGAGCTTCCATTACCTAGCAAAATCTCTAGGCGGATCAGAAAATCCGACATTACGCCAACCTCACTCAGACCGTCTTGTTGTGTCGTCCCTACACCTGCACGAACACAGCACCGCATGGCCCGTATTTTCCTCAGCCGACACACCGAGTAACTGGCCGAGTATGGTCAAGAAGGGCAAGGGAAAAGATAAGGCCGCCGTCCCTACCCCGGCGGCGCAACCCGCTGCCGCTTCGTCGTCTAAGGATGCCGCCAAGGGAAGAAAGGCTGGCGGCCAGTCTGCCATGGAGCAGGCTGCTGGTCCTGTTTCTGGGAAGCCAACTGTCAAGCAAATCATTGGTGGATCTTCATGGACCGGGAAGCTACCACTGAACTTATTCAACGAGTTCTGTCAGAAACAACAATGGGAGAAGCCTGTTTACGATGTCCGCAAAACCCCTGAGGGATACGCATGTTTCGTCACCATTGCCGCCAAAGACCCAAAGACCCGAGAGCTGACAACTTTGGACCCTTTCAAAATCCATCCAGACTTCAAGCATCTCGTCACTAGGCCTACCGCCTTAGAGGCAAGACACTGCGCCGCCACTTATGCTTTGTTCAGAGTCTGCAGCATGCAAAACAAGCACACCGTCCTACCGCCAGATTACAAATCTCTGTGGAAGGACTTCCAGGAAATCAAGAAGCAGGACGTCAAGGACGGCAAGGGTTGGATGTATGATGCGGATCCCTTCAAGACGCTCAAGGATCGGCAGGATGCCAAAGCCGCCGCCGAGAAGAAACGAAAGGAAGCTGAGGCTGCGAAAGAGAGGGCAAAATCCAAGCCCGGTGCATCTGGATTGGTCGTCAACAACGGACCCGGCGGATCAAACGTGATGAAGGGATGGACGCAGGCCCCCAAGATTGAGATGGGCAAGCGCTCGCGAACGCAGATTGAGGCTCTCATTCAGAAATATGTCGTCTGGAACCCGAACAAGGTTCAGATGTCGCCCGCCCAGCGAAAAGACATCATCGAAGAACTAAGCAAGCTGGGCTTCAGACGGAGCCACGTGGAAGAAGCAACGGATATCTGCAAGGACCGTGAGGAGACTCTAGAGTGGATGCTCATTCACGTCCCTGAGGATGACATACCATCCTGGGCATTGCCGGAGAGCTATGCGGCAGGCATATCAGTTGCATCGATGGATCTCAAGAAAGAAGCGGCAATCAAGCGTCTGTCTGCATCGGGTTACTCTCTCGACTTATGCGCTCGTGTCTTCGAAGAGGCAGGCAATAGCGAGGGAAGGGCCGCCGAGATATTGCAGCAGCGTCTAGTCGGACAAGTGTCCACAGACGCTCCGCAGGTGACGGTGGAGGAACTACTACCTCCGGGCATGTCGAAAGAAGAGCTCTGGCAGGACGAAGTGGCTGCTATGGAGTCTTCCTTCGGCGACCATTTCAAGCAATCTTCTTCCGACATCATCCAGATCAAGCTTGAATCGGTCGAGAATGGAAACAAGTCGGTTGAAGCAGCTATCCAGGTGCGGAAGTCACCCAACTACCCGGCTCGACTTGTCTTCTCCGTTGCTGCACAATTGCCAGCGCAAATCAAACTGTCCGTCATCAAGCAAACTGTTGCCTTCCTCGACGAGTCTTACCGCGAAGAGCCTATGAGAATTTTCGTCGCCGTGGACTGGATCCAACAAAACATCAACGACATCATCGAACGGCCCGGAAAGTTGGTGGACATCGCTGCTGTGGCATCCACAGCATCCGAGGTTCCGAATGAGTCTCGGCCACGAAGAGGCAATAGGCTGCAAAAACCTCCTAAGCCTATCATGTGGAAACCAGATCCTCGGACACGTGAGGAATGGTTGAGGAGACAGGAAGACTCTTCTTGGAAGAAGATGATAGCCAAACGCAAGACCCTTCCCGCGTGGCAAGTCCAGGAGGATATCGTCCGCATCGTCGATGAGAACCACGTCACCATCATCAGCGGTGAGACTGGTTCCGGAAAGTCGACCCAGTCGATGCAGTTCATCCTCGACGAACTCTACAGTAGAGGGCTTGGCAACTGTGCCAACATGCTTGTCACTCAGCCCAGGAGAATTTCTGCACTTGGTCTGGCAGACCGTGTGGCTGAAGAACGATGCACCAGAGTTGGAGACGAAGTCGGATATGCGATTCGTGGCGAGAACCGCAGGGGCAGTCAAACACGCATTACGTTCGTAACAACTGGCGTGCTTCTCAGGAGACTTCAGACGTCTGGCGGCCGGATCGAGGATGTCGTCGCGTCGCTCGCCGATGTTAGCCATATCGTCATTGACGAAGTGCATGAGCGCAGCTTGGACACAGATTTTCTTCTAACCATTGTCAGAGAGGTCATGAAGACGAAGAAGGATCTCCTGAAGTTAGTGCTCATGAGTGCCACTCTAGACGCTGCGTCGTTCAGAAACTACTTCACCTCTCAAGGACTCAATGTCGGCATGGTGGAGATTTCTGGTCGTACATATCCTGTCGAGGACTATTATCTCGACGACGTCATCAATATGACAGGCTTTATGGGGGAGGTCGGCGACTTTGACAGCTCCAAAGGCGATGCCATGGGAAAGACGATTCAGAAGCTGGGCGCTCGTATCAACTACGGCCTGCTCGGCGAGACAGTCAAGGCTATTGATGCTGAACTCTCCTATGCTCAGAAATCTGGTGGGATCCTGATCTTTCTCCCAGGTGTTGCGGAGATTAATCAGACATGCATTGCGCTGCGGACGAATTCCTCGTTGCACGTGCTTCCACTTCATGCTTCTTTGGAGACCAAGGAACAAAAGCGCGTCTTCGCTCCACCGCCTGGAGGCAAGAGAAAGGTTGTGGTTGCTACGAATGTGGCAGAGACATCTATCACAATCGACGATATTGTTGCCGTCATTGACAGCGGAAAGGTGAAGGAAACAACCTACGATCCCTTGAACAACATGAGAAAACTCGAAGAAAACTGGGCGTCTCAAGCAGCATGCAAGCAGCGGCGTGGTCGCGCGGGCAGAGTTCAAGCAGGCAAATGCTACAAGTTGTACACGCGCAACCTCGAGCAGCAAATGGCAGAACGGCCCGAGCCTGAGATCAGGCGAGTGCCCCTTGAACAGATGTGTCTTTCGGTTCGTGCGATGGGTATGCGGGACGTAGCAGCGTTCCTTGCTCAATCGCCGACGCCACCCGAGAGCACCGCGGTAGAGGGAGCTATCAAGCTGCTGCAAAGAATGGGTGCGCTAGATGGCGATGAAATGACAGCTCTGGGTCAGCAACTCGCCATGATCCCCGCTGATCTTCGGTGCGCAAAACTCATGGTGTACGGTGCCATTTTCGGATGCTTGGACGACTGCGTGACCATATCTGCGATACTGAGCACTCGCAGTCCATTCATGTCACCCTCAGACAAACGGAACGAGGCAAGGGAGGCACGCATGCGGTTCTCGCGGGGAGATGGCGATCTACTCACCGATCTCGAAGCTTTCCAGCAATGGGAACAGATGAGATATGAGGGCGTGGGCCAGCGGCAACTGCGCTCCTTCTGTGACGTGAATTTCCTCTCGTACCTGACGCTTTCTGATATCTCTGCCACGCGATTACAGTACTACTCGTCACTTCGAGAGATTGGGATCGTTGGGGCCAGAGAGGTCACCTCGTCCCAAGGCCAGAGCAGGTCCGGAATGGCGCTACTCCGCGCGCTCACGGCATCAGCTTTCAGTCCGCAAATCGCGCGTATTCAGTACCCCGACAAGAAGTTTACTAGCACCGTCTCAGGTGCAAAGGAGTTGGATCCCGAAGCCCGTATGATCAAGTACTTCACCCAGGACAACGGGCGAGTGTTTGTCCATCCCAGCAGCACGTTGTTCGACAGTCAGGGGTTCTCTGGAAATGCGACGTTCATGTCGTATTTCACCATGATTTCCACCAGCAAGACGTTCATTCGGGACCTGACACGTAAGTTGTGAGTTTGTGAGTGGTCAGAAGCATGTTACTGACGTATCTTAGCCTTCAACTCGTACACATTACTTCTGTTCTCGGGTGCCATCACGTTGGATACGCTGGGAAGAGGACTCATGGTCGATGAGTGGGTGCGGCTTCGAGGCTGGGCGCGACTGGGAGTCCTGGTATCAAGACTTCGTGGTATGGTTGACGACGTGATAGCTTTGAAAATTGAGAACCCGGGGCTGGACCTCACGGAAAACGAGGTCATCAAGATGGTTGGGAGGCTGGTAGAGCTAGATGGCTTAGATGCATGACAGTCGGTCACACGTCGGTTCAGAGAGGCGTACATGACTGACTACAATAGACAATAGGATGGATATACACTGGTCTTGGCTGCTTCATTAACGGCGTTGGATGCTGAAAGGATTGTCGACGCAGATTTCGTCCCCGCTATGGTTTTAATGCTATTGCCGTGCTAGTCGACACAGTTTCTGTCGCCCGTCGGCATACTCTTCTGTGTTAGGTGCCTATTCCAAAGCTCGTTATCCGTAGCGCGGCCCATAAGTAACATCATCCACGCGGTTTCGCGGCATTCAAAAGATTCAGAAGAATTTTCAGCTTCCCGCCATACCCGCAATTTTCATATCAAACTGTCAAGAGAAACTTGCTGACATGTTTCTGAACGCAGACTGATACGTCTTCAAACCCTACGAGTGACGAGTATCTGGGTCGAAAGAACGGATGTGGGCCCTCCCTTACCTGGAAAGGGAAAGGTGCATAAAGTTCCTGGAGATCAGCGTCCGGGGTGCGAGCCGGGGGACGCGGGGTAGCTCGGTACCCAATCGCTGCTGAGCGAGGGGTGGGTGTGGTGACCAACCCCCTTCTCCCCAATTCATTCTGCAACGGACTTACGCAGCAGCGCCTCAGCAATGGCCACACGCACAACCACAACAGAGCTTGTGCGTCTTTCCTGTCGGAAGGACCCATCATCTTCCAACCACCCACTCACTGCGCATGTCCACGGCTTCAAATAACGCTGTCCGGATGGCCTCGACTGGCCTGTCGCAACCTCGACGCTTCTGATCCCCCATCTCTAGTCGACACCAACATCAATGGTGGTGAGCTCGCCACAGCCATGAAGCTTACTACGCCACATGCGAAATGGGCCGCCTTTGCCATTATCGCGTCGCGTATGGCCCTGGCGGAAGTTCGACCTGCCTTCATCAACCCAGAGGCTCTCCTACAAGATTCCCTGTTCAAGGGCCCTTGGGAGAGGTATATCCAAGCACCCGAGGACAAATCCCGAATTGTTCCCTATCGAATTTGGGAAGTTGAAGGGAACATCACCACTTCGCATCGGACAGTTGAGGTTGGGGCCGCGGCGGCATATACATTCGAACATGGTATCACTATTGGGCCCGGCGGCGAGCTGACGCTCGAATTCGAAGAGAACATCTCTGGCCGGTTCGTTTTTGAAGTACTGACCGATCTGTGTTTTGGTTCCTGGCTAACTCTGGTGCTCTTCCAGCGTATGCCTCGACGTTTCCTCCGTCGGCAACGACCCCGAGATCTACCTGGCTTACTCCGAATCCTCCCTCTTTGCAGGACCGATCCCGGACGCCACGACAGACCAACAAGAGCGCGACCTACCCTTACTCTTCAAATTCGATGATGATACTGGCACTGTCTGCGTGGGGAAAGACTTCATACGGGGCGCCTTCAAGTATCTCACGCTTCAAATGCCCGAGTATCCTGTACTGTCGAGCAGAGTGGTGGTAAAAAAGGCTAGTGAGCAGGATCAAGCAGTTTTGGGAGGCGATCAACCGCCGCTTGAACCCTCCGACAGAAACCCTTACGACAAGCCATGGGTGACACTCAAGGGTCTATGGGTCAATTGCACAGCATTTCCGTCGCAATCGAACGGCCGAGCGTATTCGGGATACTTTCACAGTTCCAGCAACATGCTCAATCGCATCTGGTACTCCGGCGCATACACCCTTCAGCTTTCGACTATAGACCCCAAAGAAGGGTCGTCTATAATCGACTACAACCGCAACATTGACCACAATGAGTCACCCACGGGATCTTGGTATTCGAACTTTACCATTGCAAATGGCTCTGCCGTGACGACTGATGGAGCAAAGCGCGATCGCGTTGTCTGGCCTGGTGACATGTACATCGCTGTGCCGGGCATCGCGGTCAGTACTTACGATATGGTTGCCATCCGCAACGCCCTCGACGTCCTGTTTGATCACCAGTATCCCGACGGGTCCTTGCCGTACGCAGGTCCCCCTTTGGGCTATCGCGGGGAGTTCAGTGATACTTACCACCTGCATACTCTGCTTGGTGCCTACAATTATGTCACGTTTTCTGGGGACCTTGACTGGCTTGCAAAGCGCTGGCCTGCGTACGTTAAAGCTCTGAATGTGAGCATTGACAAGGTCGATCACACCGGCCTGATGCATGTTACCAGTGGCGCCGATTGGTTACGGCCTGGTATGACGGGCCATAATCTTGAAGCCAGCGCCATCCTCAGCACGGTGCTGGACAAGAGCGTCAAGCTAGCCAAGTGGCTGGGTGATGATCGCCCGGCTGCGCGACCCCGCGGCGTGTGGTCCGGATTACGCGCCGTTATGAATGCCGGCCTCCAGCAACTGTTTTGCGAAGACACCGGCTTGTACTCCGACAACATCGGGAGACGCAGCTGCCGAGGACCAGAGCACACCGACCCGCAAGATGGCAACAGCTGGGCTCTGATTTCCGGCGCAACTCATTACTCTCGCGGGTTGCTCGTCTCTCGCAACCTGCGGTCTCGCTGGACCAAGTACGGCGCGCCCGCCGTCGAATTCCCCAACACAATCTCGCCATTCGCATCTTCGTTTGAGCTTCTTGCTCACTCCGCCGCTGACAACCACGATGCCGCCGTTGAACTGATGCTCCTAGAGTGGGCATACTTACTCGAAGGGCCAGGGTTCACCAACTCAACTCTCGCAGAAGGCTTCCGTATCGACGGTGACGTGCAGTACCCGGCATACTGGTCCGCTGCTCGTAATTCTCACTGCCACGGTTGGTCCTCGGGTCCAACGACCGTTCTTACCAGCGAGATTCTAGGTATTCAGCTCCTTGCTCCAGCAGGGTCTGAATGGACCGTTCGGCCGCACCTGACGAAGTGGCTTGGCTTTGCCAGAGGCGGCTTTGCCACAGCCCAGGGCGTTTTCGAGGTCAAACTCACCCGCGTGATAACATCTACATCGTCTTCTGCCAATAACCAACAGTCGCAAAGACGTGGACAGATTGTTGAGATAATAGCCCCTCAGCATACCATCGGCACCTTCCAATGGACACCGTCTTCGACCGAGGTCGAAATCGAGGGCGGTCGCAAAACAGCCTGGATCGCATGGGAGGACGACGGGCAGACGCCTGGCTCAAAGAGCGTTATCGAGCAGCTCGACATCACCCTTGGCCGAATTGAGGCCCCAAGCGACGAGGAATGGCACCGCCAGAGCTTCATTTACCGTGACGATACGAGGCTAGTATATGACGAGTCCTACCACGCTCCAGATGTCGAAGAGCGAGAGGCTGGTGTGGTTGACTGGGATGCGCTGGAAGCAAACTATGTCCGGCCGTCAATGTGATGTTTTGATACGACCATAAATGTCAAAATGTGGAATTGTCCGCCCGTCTTCATCGGGCATGTTTCTACTTCCCCTCGTTATCAGGTGGAAAGATTACAAGGGACTTAATGTGTGTACGTGTACGGCTGGTATGATGGTGGGGAAATTGGCAAAGGCGCAACTGTACATTACTGAACGATTGGGTTATTTACTTCGTCTACGTACTTGCAGAGTAGGCATCCGAATTCATATAGATGTATCACAAACTCGCAGGGCTCGCCGGTCGGAAGCTGTCGCTCCAATGCGGCGGCAGATCGGCGGTGTAAGTCAGCGGTCTTCAAGAGAGAGCAGACGAGGAAGGGCAAGCGAAAGGTAGCCGGGGGGAATAAAGCTGACTGCAGGGGACACTATGTTCCCGCAGGACTGAACGAAGCTGTGTTCTGCAGGCGCGAGCTCACTGTCCGTGGGAATCTATGTGTGTTTCACGAAGCTGGCGATATCTTTGTGTGCTTCGTGCTCCTATTCTGGCGTGATAGGGACGAGGATGCAACGAGAATAATATCGGGGACACGAACCGTACGACGACGAAAATAACAGCAGGAAGGACGGCAAGCGACGGGAGGGAAAGGAATTCATGATCATCAATCGGCGGGCACTGCCTCTATTTTGGTTGACAAGAAAAACTTTTTGGTAACCCGCGCCTCGAGCAGTGTACTCCACGCAAGAAATCCCATTCCTAGAATCATCGCTGGTCTCAACCAGCCCACCGCCCTTTTCTTTCCGTTTCGTTACGACCTCTTTGGACGCTCGAAAACCAAGAAATGTAGAACGAGCCCAACAGGCCACGACGCCTGTACCTCTCTACCAGCCCGAACCTTCGTAGCCCCTAACTCATCGCGGAGAGCGATGCAGTATAGACGTGATCGCTGACTAGAGAGCAAATAAGAAACAAGAAAACACGCAGCATTATAGGTATAAGTGTGTGAAGTCGGGAAAGCCGGCCCCTGAGCCCCCGGCACAGTCCATCATGTTTTAGGGGAGAGTTTGTGTTGCGTAAGCGCTCAGGTCAGTTAAGGGAAGAAAAAAAATCGAAAGGGTGCATGACGATGCGCTGTTTGCCGTCTTCGTCACCGTGGGCTTGGTTGCTATCGTCTCCGCCGGCCTCCGCTATCCCAGTTGCCGCAGTCCGGCACCACCTCCGTTATCCGACGTCATGCGTACCCGATGTCATCCGTACCGTCAATTATACCAGTCAGGTTGTAGTGGATTGAGGGGTAGAGACTTCGGATTCGGCGCCGCCGCCGACGCCACCAACCACATCAGCGACGCGGAGTTTCTTGGCTGCCCTACCGGAGTCTGAGTCAAATGCCTCTCTTACCTCCTTGAGCTCAAGCTCCATCTCATCTAAACGTCTTTTGAGGTTGTTCTCCCTTCGATGGCTTTCTTCCAGCTGTTTGTTGCTGGTCTCCAACTGAGATCGCAACTGGGCCTCGGCTTTGCCACTGATCTCCTGCCCTCGTCTTGCGCTCGCCTCATCTTGCTCCATTTGACTCAGTCTTCCGCGGAAGAGCTCGTTGATCAGCTCGAGTTCGCTGACGCGGGTCTTAAGAGCCGAGTTCGCGGCGATGAGTTGCTCGTGGGTCTGAGGCACTTCGAGGTGACGGTCGCCATTCAAGGGGGAAGCGGAGCGGTTCTCTGATCCCACACCGAACGCCGAAAGTTGTGAATCGTCCATACCACCAAAGACGGGAAGGCTAGGGTTGTATAACGACGGCGTCGCATTGCGCGACCCGGGAGAATCGGAGCCATCGGCGTTGCCGTTTGCCGACTTTCTGCGTTGCGCATTGAGGTCAAGACCGTTCGGATCGGTTGCGCCGTGGAAGTTCGCTTGTTGTTGCTGCTGCTGTTGCTGTCGCATTTCAGGTTAGCTGGATGCCCTGTAGTCTCAAGCGCGGTGACATACCTTTTTCTTCGAGGCAAGATCAGGGCGCATCGTCTTAACGCGATTCCTACTCTTGATGACATCGCTATTCCACGTTGAGCAATACGGATCACACAGAGCCAGGGATGGTCAACTCACGTTTTCAGGGTCAAAGGTCGATTTCTTCCGTGTAATTTGAGGAATAAACCGCAAGCATTGCAGAGAACGGAGCCGTATTCATCTCTGCGCCACAATGGTGTTGTGGATGTTTGGCAGTTCTGACATGTGGGCTGCGGAATGACGCGCTCGTGGTTAGCGGTGGCCATCATCTCTGTCTGCGGTTTCTGTCTTGTCTCCGGGTGTGTTCGTTGTTGTTCGTCGTCGATTGCCTATGCTGTCTGAATCCGCCTTGTTGCTTTCCGCGATGATGCGGACCGTGGTGGATAAGGTAGGTACTCTTGAAGGGGGGAAAGTTGACCAAAATTTATCCTCTTATCGCCCCACTTTTAAAGGTCCCACTTGGGACCAGGTACGTTATCAATCAAAGATAAGGTACCCGACGGCAAGAAAGCCAGCCAACCACCTCGCCCTGCGCCAACTTTCGCGCGGAACTTGGATCATATCCGTTGGGTGGTTGAATACGGAACGCAAGAGACAGACAATAAGGTACTTACAGTGCCAATAGCGGGTCCTCCGCCCATGGTAGCCGCGGGGGAAGCGTAGGTATGTTGAGCGGGAACTGGCGCGGCGGGAGTCGGTGTGGGCGCTGGCGCTGGCGCGTGGGTGGGAGCTGGAGCTGGAGCTGGAGCTGTCGCAGGCGCAGGCGCAGTTGCAGGAATAGTCGCGGTCCTGTGGATCAATTGTCAGTTCTTATCATCCACGATCAAATAGAGTAACGCTGATTCCGCGCGCATAGAACCGGCCTTATCATGCTGGTCGGTGTCTCTGTCCAACGTGCGGGTAGATCCTGCAATTTCTTCCATGTGTCCACGTACCGCAGTTGTGGCGAGCTCGTCGCAGAGTTTGCTTGAGCGAGTGCCGAGATGCCCGGCAACTGGTGAAGAGACGCCGAGGCCGAAGTCGAGGTTGAACTCGGTCGCGAGATGGGCTCGAGGGTCGTCGGCGGCAGCGACATGCCAGAGAGTGCTGTGCCTTCTTCCATGGCCGTCTGGATGGAAGTTCGATCGCCGTGCGCTTGAGAAGGAGAGATCGGATCGAATAGACGCCCCGGAAGGGGATGCGAACGGTGGGCTATCGAGAGAAGGCGCTGAAGATATTCGCTTTCGTGGAGGACGCCGCAGTTATCGAATTCCTAACGGACTTTGTCGAGAATCGATGTGGGCGCAAGAAAAGTCTCTTTTGATAGCTGGCGGCTGATGGTGTTGATCCGGGCAGGGAGGGTCGCGAGTCCACTGCGCGATGTCGAGTCAGACGCGTGAGACTGCAAACTTCTCAGCGAAGTAGAACCACGTGTTGGCTTGTTGTGAGTCTCGTCCGAAGTGTCGAAGTCAGCCTGCGTCAGGTTCGATTGCACAGCGGGTGCGTGGCTCAGGCAGGAGAAAGTTTGGATACGTATCGGTAAGGTAGGCGAAGGAAGGCAGTGAAGAAAAAAAAAAATCAGTGCTGCATGTGAGCACGGCCGAAAGAGCGACTCGCAAGTCAAGAGCGCGTAGATCGATCGCAAGGTGGGTAGCACCCTGCGAAACCGACTTGAATTGGCCGGGAGGGGGAAACAACTATGGTGAATTGTCTAGTTCTTCCAAGAACCGGGTCTCAAACATTGGAACGCAGCAGCAGTTGTCACTTTTGTCGGCGTAAAAAAAGAAACGTTCGACAGCGATGCCATGTTCCCGCTCATCCCCTGAATGAACGGTCAGTACGCGACAAGCCCGACCTATCACGTTGTTCTGCTTAGTCGCCGTCTGGGGTCTCATTCAATATGCGTACTGATTGGACCGGATGCTTTGCTGGCAAGTGGAGAGCCCCTCAGCCTTACTGTGAAGATTGAGATGGGCCAGCCCGAGATTTTGTCAACGTAATAGGGGCATATCAGCGCCCCTGTTCAGCTACCTAAGGAAGAGAGGTGATGCTGTTATCTGATCCGCCGATAATGAACGGCGATACCGTCGAGGGTCCCATACTTGGCAGTGACAATAAACGTGGGTTCCAGATTATCACAACGTTGAATTATCAAGCTGGGAGACCGACTTTCAATCCTTTCTTCTCAGACCGCCACTGACGGTTCTATCCGTGCAGGCAAACGTGGTCTGCAGACTCTATCCATTTCTAGACATACTGCGCGTCTGATGCTCTGGCGCGCGCGTGGGGGGGATACTGGAGACGGAGAGGTCCTATAGTTGCCGTCTAGGTACAGTGAGTTGACCTTCAAGGCTGATCAATTGCAACGCGTACCAAGTGCCCGGGCCATATCAGTAATTCGAACCACCTCGTAGAATAACAAAAGTCAGTTCAGTATCAGAACAAGAAAGATGATAATGATTGTAGACAAGAGACGCGCAGTTCCAGCCATGAAAAGATCAACCGTTGTTCGGAACGCGCAACCTTCCTTGAGGTGGTCCGGGCGCGCTCACCAAGGGCGCCCCACTGCCTACACTTATCGATAAGAAACTTTTTGAAGTCCTTGCTGCCGCCGCATTACTTTTTCTCAAAATCCGACGACAACAAACTTCCATTGTCAAGCACACGACGACGTCCACCCAAGATGCCCTCCACATACAAAAAAGACAAGCCGTGGGATACGGACGACATCGATAAGTGGAAGGTCGACCCCTTTACGCCTGCCGACAATGCAGGCGGCACTTTCGCCGAAGAATCGTCTTTCGCGATCGTCTTTCCCAAGTACCGCGAAGTTTACCTCAAGGAGGCATGGCCTCTTGTCACAAAGGCCCTCGAAAAGACGGGCATCGCCTGCTCGCTTGATTTGATCGAGGGTTCCATGACTGTTAAGACGACAAGGTGAGACCTTCCCAGTACCCGTCGTCTCTCATAGCTTTGCGCTAACACGCGACGCAAAGAAAAACCTTTGATCCCGCTGCCATCCTCAATGCCCGCGACCTCGTCAAGCTCCTCGCCCGAAGCGTCCCCGCGCCGCAGGCAATAAAGATTCTCGAAGACGGCGTTGCCTGCGACGTCATCAAGATCCGCAACCTCGTCCGTAACAAGGAGCGCTATGTCAAGCGCCGTCAGCGCATTCTCGGCCCCAACGGCTCAACTCTCAAGGCCCTCGAGCTCCTCACTCAGACCTACATTCTCGTACAGGGAAGCACAGTGTCCGTCATGGGACCCTTCAAAGGCCTCAAGGAAGTACGCCGCGTCGTCGAAGACTGCATGGCCAACATTCACCCCATCTACCACATCAAGGAGCTCATGATCAAGCGTGAGCTCGCAAAGGATCCGGAGCTTGCGAACGAGAGCTGGGACCGTTTCCTACCCAATTTCAAGAAGAAGACGCTCAGCAGGAGACGTGTGCCGCACTCCGTTACCGACAAGTCCAAGAAGGTGTACACCCCCTTCCCGCCCGCGCCCGAGAAGAGCAAGGTCGACAAGCAGATCGAGTCGGGAGAGTACTTCCTCGGAAAGGAGGCCAAGTCCAAGGCCGCGCAGGCCGACCGCATCGAGCAGCAGAAGCAAAAGAAGGAGGAGAAGTTGCGCGAGAGGGAAAAGGATTTTGTACCACCCGAAGAGCTGGGCCACAAGAAGAAGAAGAGGAAGAAGAGCGAGGACGACGAGTGAAGGGTGGCAATGTGAAACGTGGTGAGGTTTCTTGTCAGTAATGGAGCGGAGCTTGCCTAAGGTTCCTCAGCAAAGGAAGGGTCACCAGGTGCGTGGATGAGAGGGTAGCTCACCCAAGATACCCTTCCATTCCAAAGTCGAGGAGCCTTCTCACCCGGACAGTGGCAGACTACAAGGATAACATCGAGCCAAGTTGTATATCAGAATGCGTGTTGTCACGATGGAAGCAATTATGGTGTAATGGAGTTGACTCAAGACCAGCGGTGACAGAGCTACCCTGGAGAAGCAAGATGGCTTCAGTCTCATATGAAATCATTTACTAAGCAGCCTTCTTCCAACTCGCAACGTTTCCGTCTCGGTGCTTGCCGCTGTATACCAAGAGCCAATGCTTCCGTTGGTGGCTCGTTCTTTCCTCACGTTCCGGTCCCGCCAGTGCATCGTTTCATCATCTTTCCCACTCAGGATGAGCAGTCAAAGTACCGACGATAGTAATATTGACCATCAGTGCCGTACGGGTAGTAGAGCTCCCAGCCTTTGGCATAGTTGTTCCACTCACGGCCAGCATACTTGAGCCGGGGCCGGTACATGGGGTGGACGTAGAAGACGGTGACCCAGGGGAGGCCGGAGTAGACGTCCTCCCAACTACCCCAAGCCCAAGGGTGAAGATCGCCAGTGAGCTCGCAGTCGTTATAGAAAACCCAGGCGCGGTTGGGGACATCCTTCCGACTTATTTCGTGGCACCAAGCGCCAAAGGTGCACTGGCTGGGGTTCTTATTGGGAGTGCACCAGTCGGTGGGATTAGGAGGGTCGATTTCGCGGCGGGTACGCTGGAGATTGTGGGTTTCGCTGGCGGCGGAGTCATTGAGGTTGGTGATGTTGACGAGCGTGTTCCAATGCTCCTTGTCGACGGGGATAAGCTTGATGCCGTACTCGAGAGCGTGATCTTCAGTAATGTTGAAAGGATTGTCATGAGGGAATGTATTGGGGGCAAGGTGAAGGCCGAGAGCGAATTTAGAGTGTCCTTTTGCAGAAGCGTCCCTGACGTAGGCCTGCGCAGAGAGCATACCGCCCTCGTTGGCAAGTGTAGTGGCGATGGCCTTTGAAGAATCAAAAGCGTCCACACTTGCAAGGAGGATGATTACTATGGTCGTCAAGAAGAGACTTGTTTCGTGCCACATCTTGGGCACTCGGGTGAGGGTAGGTATCGATTCTTATGGTTTGTTCGTATGGTGGTGAAATATGAAGAAGTGAGAGTGTCTATGACTATTGCGAAGCGAGACGAGTAGAGAAAGAGAGTGAGTAACACTTCAAGAAGTGGTGGCTCTAATGGGGTCTTGCTAAATTCAATGCTTGGGAGAGTATCTGTCATCCGCCTACCTGAGGTACTCGACGAAGCCGGAAAAGAAGGAGCCAGTCTGGCAAGTTCTGCTGGTGGGCGGTGTTCATAAGACAGGAATGAAATCCGAGAACTAAACGAGGGGGCAAGCAGGATTCAACAAAGAAGTATCAACCCCTGCGGCTCCGTAGCACGCAGCATCTAGCCAAACATCTGCAGCTGGACTATATAAGACAGTCGAAATGTATTTCAAACGTACTCGGGCTGCTATAGGGTGTGGGCCTTGATTAAAAGCCATCCGATGTCACCTGCGGAAGCTACAATGAGATCGCCAAGGAAGATCGCCTCAAATGTTCATTATTAGCAAACGAGAATATTTGAGTTGGTACGTGAGTTTCTAGTCAGGGTTTCTCTTTATACGTGGATATCGCGGAGGAATCAAAATTACTATTCCTCTGTAACTCCCAATATCCTCTAACTAAGCTGCCTCCCGTCTTCTTTACTAACGAGAAACCAAATGCCTTCGATTAACTGTATGTGTATGGACATGTTGGAAGTTTATAAATACACTGCTCAGTGGGTACTCCAGATGCAAGCCCCTTGAGTGTCTGAAACTTTTACCCCAAAGAGGGACATCGCTAAGGGGGAATAAGTCCGCGCTGCGCCGACGATACGATCGTATTAAGTTCACTTTGAAAGAGCTATATAATGAACTCCTTTGATTCAAACCCGATTACTTCTCGGTCTATAGCTTAGATGACGCCGCACCAACTTCTTCAAACTCAATAACCAGCTTACCGAACTGCTTTCCAGCCTCCATCTCCTTGAACAGCCCGTCGATGCCCTCCAGGTTGGTCAGGCCCTTGACTGTACGACTGACTATGGGCCGGATCTTCTTCTCCCTAACAAATGCAACCATGTCTTTGAACTCCTCCCGCGAACCCATGGTCGTTCCCTTAAGCTCCACGTTTTTCAACACCGCCTGCATCAGCCAGTCCATCTGCGGCGATACCGTCATGCCGTACTGGCTGATAACGCCGCCAGGCTTGAGCAATTTGACCGCCTTGCCAACAAGATCACCACCAGCCCCATCAACCACTGCATCGAGATACGGACGTGACTTGGGGAGTTGACTTTGCAGTTCCTTCTCCCAATTATCCTTCTTGTAGTTCACTCCGCCCGCAGCACCCATCTTCTTGGCCTTCTCGATCTTAGCTTCGTCACCGGACGTGACGTAGACATTGCAACCCAACGCAACGCCGAACTGTAGCACTTGAAGGGCGACGCCGCCGCCAATGCCTGTGACAAGGATGTTTCTGCCCTTCTCAGCGTTGCCGCTCTTCGTGACCAGAGCACGCCAGCCGGTCAGTCCCACAAGAGGCAGCGCAGCGCCCTCAGCCGGGGTAAGATGCTCTGGGGCCAACTCAACCTCACCCTCGGGAAGAGCAAGATAATCCTGTGCGGTACCGTCGGGATAAGACTTCGTGGCCCCAATGACGCTGAACTTGCGAATGTCCTCGGGACCGTCGGGACTAGAGGCCCAACCACGACTAGGGGTGATAACGACGGGCTTGTTGAGGAGACCTTTGTTGGCGTCTTCGCCGACTTCCACTACGATACCGTAGCCATCAGCAAGGAGAGGATGGTCAAATGAAATGCCAGGATACAGATGACGTCGGATGAACAGGTCACGGTGGTTGAGTGCTGCGGCTCTTAACTGAACAAGGACGTCTTTCGGTCCGGGAGAAGGCCTGGGGACCTCATTGAGCTGTAAACTGAAGGGTGTAAGTCGAGTTTCCGAACGAACCAAAGCTAGTATCTTACGGGTAGTAAACCCTTCCAGGTTTTCCTTCGATTTGTTTGACGGTGATCGAGTTAGGCATCGTTGCGATGAGTTCTTCGGTACAGGTCTCTTGTTACCGTGCAAAACACCTTAATTCGTGCACTGGACACCGCAAGCTCTTAATATCCGTGGAAGGTCGCGCTTGTGAAGAGATGATTAATAATGTCGTGTTTCCCGACTCCGGCGGAGACGGTATAATTGCGTGGGAAGCGAGGCGTTCCCCGGCTCATCCACTCAGCCGGTGATCGGCCCCGCATCAATGACGCTGGTGGCCGTAAGGTACCTCGGCATTTTCGCAGCAACTAATTACTCGGCGCACTGACCATCTGAAACTGAATACGAGGAATAGGTATGTTATCGTAGGCCTACTGTCCCATCGTGAGAGAAGCACGCCAGCGAGATTGGCCTCGTCTGTCCGGCATCATTGAGCTATGAGACCCCAGCGTAGAATAATTGCGATCGAGAGCTTGAATGTCTTTGCAACGAGCATTAGATCTAACTGAGAGAACGCGAGAGGAAACCCCGGTAAACGGTCAAACTTTTTGCATGGCCGTTGGATTTGTTCTCGCAGATGTGAGTCGATACTAATAATCTGGTGATATTACTCCGCAAGGTCTTGAACGTTGCATATGCGCTGGCAGTGGTAAGAAGTACCTAGCCTTCGTTGGACGTGTTATATAAGGTACTATACCTACGTGGTCTCAGTGCATGTCGCCCATTTTCCTGCCTAAGCAATCGACAACACCAATCCTTTCAGTGGTCCGCTTTTATTTGAGAGATTTCGTAGAATATTCAATCAAGCGTTGGGTGATTCAGTGACAGTTCTGATGCATGAAGATCGGATCCGTGTATTCCTGTCGCTAATGGCACGACATCGGCATCAGCAGTTTTCACTTGGCAGTTTTCCTGGGTCGGGTTGAATGTTGAGTTCAACGTTGAAATCACCAAGTGTTTCAATGCAGGCAGACACCGAGATGTAAAATATTCCTTCGCGGGTTTCTATGGAATGGCTCACAATTATATGGCGCAGTGTGTATATGTGTATATATCATACATCTGATGCATAGATCAAGTCTCAAAACAATCCATGCATGCTCTAAATCACCCTCAAGTCGTAAACATTCCCCCTTCCCTCGAACCGCCCAGTTCTACAGCTTGGAGGACTTGGGCGCCTTGGGTCGCTGAGTCGGCGTCGCCAGCGGGTCGTAAACTGCAGTGGCGAGGTTGTCCGACGGCGTCGCTCCGTGATTGAAAAGACTGCGGGTGTCGAGAAGTGACGGGTTCAGCTGGTCAACGCTTGTGCAGCCGATGAGACGCATGTTCATCTCCATCTCGTCGCGAAGCAGCTGCATGGCGCGGTCAACGCCGTCGAATCCATAACCGGACATGGCATAAAGGAAGGGCCGCCCGATACCGACACCCTTAGCACCCAGGCAGAGCGCCTTGATGATGTCCGTAGCACGGCGCACACCACCATCAATATAGATCTCGATGGCGTTCTCGAGACCCATGCGTCTCAGCACCGGCATAGTCTCAGCCAGCACCTCAACGCCGGACCGCGCAAAGTCGAGCTGGCGACCACCGTGGTTAGACAAAACGACTCCCTGGACACCGGCCTCAATAGCCTTGATGACGTCCTCGACGCGCTGGACGCCCTTCAGGATGATTGGCATGTTGGTGATCGACTTGAACCAGGGGATGTCTTTCCACGACAGCGCAGGGTCGATGAATGAGGAAATAGCGCGCGCGGCACCCTGGCTCTGATCGGTCGCTTGGCCCGACTGAACATTGGCGCCGGGATCCGTGAACTTGGAGCGCATGTCCTTCTCGCGGCGACCGAGCTGAGGCGCGTCGACGGTGATGAAGAGTCCCTTGCAACCGCGCTTTTCGGCGTGCTGAACAATCTTCTTGGTGATCTCGCGGTCCTTGTTGACGTAAAGTTGCAACCACTGCACTTGATCGCCTTCGGCAGCGTCAATCATCTCATCGAAGGCGCAGGAAGCCAGGGTCGGAATCATCTGGATGACGTTGTGCTTGCGGGCGGCGCGAGTGAGGAGAACCTCGCCCTCGGGGTGACCGAGTTTGCCTAGAGCCGTAGCCGTGACGTAAAAAGGCATGTCGACCTTTGCGCCGAGCATGGTGGTACTGAAGTCGACATTCTCGACATCAACAAGGATTTGTGGTCGAAACCAGATGCGGTGGAATGCGCCGTGGTTTTCTCTCAGTGTCTGTAAAGCCAGTCAGCATTTTGATTGGAGCTCGAAGGACGGTCTCGTCACAATTTCGTCGTCGGCGGCACTAGAGTAGTATCCCCAAGCCGTCTTCTTCATGACTCTGCGCGCAACGGCCTCGAAGTCCATAAGATTGTAGCACTGGGACAGCAACGGCTTCTGCTCGACTCTCTCCAGACGCTCCGTCTCTTCGGGGTCCTCCTCCTTTGTCTCGACGACCACGGAAGCCATGTCGACCGGGCCCATATGTTTCGACTTATCGAGGTACTTGTCCAGTGTGTCTGGCGGGTGGATGGGGTCGAATTCTTCTGTCGCATCTTTGCCGGCGTACTTGAGGATGATCTTCTGGCCACCGGGGTGCTCTGAAGCACAGCGTCAGCTCTAATTCCGTCGCGAGGGTTAAGATTTGCACAGAACTCACCCGGCAGAAACTCGGTCACATCGTAGGCTTTGCCCTGGAGTGGCGTAAGGTCAATCGACTGCGCTCAACTAGAAATTACGCGTCATTTCGAGCGAAACTTACGTGGACGATGACCCAGCAGGAGTCGGCACTGTTGTGCTTCGCGATGTCGTCGCCCTTCAAGCCCATCTTGTTTGCTGGACTTGGATATCTCGCTGTTTCGGACGAAAGGGGTATTTGAGTTGAGGTTGAGATGTCGAGGAGGGCGAATCCGGGGTAGAGATCAGCAATTGGCAAATCGCTTCTCCACGGGGTTAGATGTAAGGTGGAATAGGAAACCGCTGAGTGGCTCAGGTCCAAGTAATTTCAGAACAACAGAGCCCGGGGACAAGACCGATGACGGGGAGGCAGTGGACACACGACAGAAAAACTTCTAGATGTTGTCTATTAGCTTGGTCCGAGAACCGGTCTCCAACCGGGGAAAAATAATTTGATAAAAAAAAATAGAAAAATAATGATAGGTACAGTGTAAACTAATTCGGGGGAAAGAGGTATCGTCTCGACGACACCGTGGGCCGTTGGGCCTTGGGGGGCCGCTTGGAGAAGCCGAGAAGGGGTTGGGTCGGGGGCGAAACCGATGAATGGTCATCAGCTCGCTGTCCATTGCACCGTCAGACACTGCCGCTCTCCACAGTGGCTCCCGCTTCACGCTAGCGGCCCACCTCGGGTCAATGGGGTGCGGGGTAATCAATCGGTGACGTCCCGTTTCTCGGTGTAAAGGCACCGGCCCAACCCGGGCTATCCCCGAACTGCGAGCTAGGTAGGTACTCCCGTCGCCGCTTCAATTCTCCCACGCGTTCATTCCAACCGACTGAATGAACCTTTCCGATCCGAGCACCCTTACGGAAGCTCGCGGGCCCACGGATAGAAACGGGACGGGTGTATTTAACTCACCTCGATTGTATGCCATGCCTATCGATAGGTTGTTTTTAGTTCCTTGTTTGTGTACTCCGTAGATGCAGCCGTTCGGTCCCACACCTGTGGCAGCAGGAGTATCAAGTAGCGAAACCAGTTACACTCTGGCAAGCATCAGTAAGTAAGGATACACGTTCGTGTCCCGAGTGCCCCCAAATGCGTGCGGGCTGAAAATCACTGTGCAAGTGAGATGCATGTAAGCTGAAAGAAACTTTTGCTGTGTTCATCTACTCGTCAAACATCTTGGGTATAGAGCTCCAAACCGTTCCTGTGATTAACTCCTATAGAACCCCGTAATCTCATCTCATCGCTAGGTGAATTCCCAGTCGCTGTGCTTCTCAAAACACCGATGGCCGCGGACCCGACGAAACCATCACCTCCGCCACACTCGGTGGCCTCTGGGAACTCTTCCGACTAGTCAATCTCCCGAAGAACCTTTCGGATTTCTTCCTTTCACTACTTGAGATACTCGATCGATCCGTGCTCTCACGTATTGTGTTGCTGTCAATATGCGTCTGGGGGAAGATTCCCCAGGTTCCTTTGGCATTAGTCCCTGACCAACACCAGTGATCCTGCCAAGCCCCTGCCGGCAAGTCAGCAACTCGTGCATCTCACTATGCGGGTTAACTCACAACTGATGCTGGTAATCTTCTCTCCCACGTCAAACTTAAGCCAATCGCCCCCATCTTTGGACCGGGGAGCGAACTTCCATCTCGCAGTTGCAGATATGTTACTCGTCGTATCCATCTTGATCTCGGCCTTGGGTGGCCGTTCAAGTTTCACCACATCCGCCGGGGCGGAACCATAGTTCCCTTCATGCCAAGCCATAACCCACTCGCCATTGTACTTGGCAGGGAATTCAACACCACTCAGTCTGGCTCCATTTGCAAGTTCGAACGCTGGCGTCTGATCGTACAAGAGACGCATGCCGTACATTCGTTTCACGGTCTGAGTGGCGGTGGCACTCGGCAACTGTACAAGCTCGAGCTGTTTGTTAACTAGCGGCGACGGCTTCGGCGGCAAGCGGAGGTGGAGATCGTAATTGTTCTTCAGGTTGAAAGGAACCTCGCCTTCCTCTACTACGGTGATGCCGGGGACTTGAGGGAGTGGTCGTGGGTGGCGGGCGAGGTGCTCAAAGAGCTTCTTTTGGCTGAAGAACACGGTAGCGTCGCATTCTTCGAGGGTATGTTGGGTGTGGACACAGAATACGCAACCGTAGAGGATCTCATCGGCGCGTTTCGTGGGAATGTGGCTTTTCTGAAGAAAGCGCAAGCGAAAGCCGATTTTGTTGAGCGTGTAGTTTGCTTCGTCTGTGACAAGTAAGCTACATGTACGTTGGCAGTCCATGCTGGTACAAACCGGAGTAGTTAACGTCCTGCTGGACTTGCTTATGATCAACCTCATAAAAACAGCTCTCGCATTTGGCGACGACGTGAGCACCGGAGAACCCCTCGACCTGGAATCAGCAAAGGGGCTTGGTCTGAATGTTGAGTTACTCACAGGCTTCTTGACGACCTTGATGCCGGGACTTCCTCGAACCACTTCCTTCGCGCCCTCGCAGAAACCCTTATACAGATAGAATGAGCTACTCAACCCAATGCTGCAGTCTTTAGGACGGGTTGATTGCATGGATGTTGGTCTTGAACTCTGTGATGACTCGGTCTCTACTGGTATCGGTCCTTCCCTTTCGTCGACGACAAGCGGAACTGGTTCGATGCCTTCGTGAACTCCTGGTGGAAAGTTTGCGGGTATGATCGGTCCTCTTGATATGGTGCTCATGTGTTCATCATGGCCTGAAGCAGCAGAGCCGCGATGCTCCGTCATAGAAGGGCTGATATTTCCATCATTCCTCCTGCCATCAAATATAGAACTATGCATGGATTCCTGCGACCGTTGTCTCGAAGGATGCGACTGGGTAGAACTGGCCTGGGAGTATCTATGAGGCAGCTGGCCCGGTTGAACTGCTTGGTTCTCGGGGATAGACGCGCTTAAAGACGTCGACGGCGTTCTTCCTCTGGGCGAAAGAGAGCCGCCGCCCAACGAAAGTATAGGGGACCGCATGTCCAGGGGACTCACAAGATATCTTTCCTCTTCGGTCAGCAGTCGATCGACACCGGTATCCAGCCGACGGCTCGAGCCGTGCGATAGTCTCCTTTCGTGCTCTGGGCTATTCGGCTCGGATGTCGGGGAGCTCAGATTCGACACTGGAGGGCGTCGCTCGACGTTATCGCTCAGATAGACCTCTATCCCCGTGTCTATCGGAGGGTTTATCCGCAAGTCCCACGGGTTCGTGGACGGAGGAGGAGGGGGCTCAAGTTCCACCACTTGGACCTTGGGCTCTGGCTCGGTAGCTGGCAAGTTCCCTTGGGGTTGGCTTTGGACGCGGCCTGCGTCTAGAACAACAAGCGGAGGCTGTTCCAGATGGCCTGCGGGAAAAGAAAACGGTCAGCGCATCTCAAGTGTCGATTTCAACCCCACATACTGGTGACAGAGGGCGATGGCGCTGCTATCAGCGGGGTGGTCGGCCCTGCTTCCAGCCTGATTCTTTTGAGTATCTCTCCGATACCAACTCCCGCCTTCTTGCAAAGCTCCGAAAGCTCGGTGAACTTTGCTTTATCGAAGGTGTCGGCCTCTATATACTCCTCAAAGTCCCACAACGTATGGGTCAGCTGTAACCTAAATTCGGCAATCTCGTCTGTCTACAGTTAACCAACTGGCAATGTAAATTTTGGCCGATCACATACTGTTATCCTTCAGCGCATCCGTGAACCTGGCCTCCGATTCTTTTACATGTCGGGCGCAGAGCGGCTCGATGATCCTCAAACATCTCTGAGCCCCCCTGACCACCCTCTGACTCTCGGAGAGCATTTCCCTGTTGTCCCCCGCATTATGTATCGCAAGATTCCCCTTTTCGATAATCTCCTCAAAGGGACCCGTCACCAAATCAGCGACGATGTCCATGATTATCACCAGGCCGTCGTTCTGGCGGGGTAAATCTGAGATGAGCACGGAAGTTGCACAGCTGCGACAGACTATCAGTAAGCTTATTTGAAAACAAGAAGTCTAGTTCTGGTATAACTCACTGTAGTTTCTCGAGTGGTTGTCGCCGAACCAAACGCGCTCGGCTGTAGAGAGGAAGGTGAAGAAAGAACAAAACTATCAGGGTAAGGTTTTCAAGAAGATTTCCCAGCTGAGCAGGCAGCTCAGGTCAGAAACAAGGACAGCTCTAGGCCACAGGACGACACGACATGGGCACGCATGGTGGGCGTTATGCAGGGCGTTCCGGATGTCAGACGGCTGCCGAGACACCCCTCCAGAAAGCCTTGGGCTGAGCTGGCATGTCCTTTTCTTAAGAAAAGCAGGCGGCAAGGTGTCGCCCGGGATCGCGCGCAAACTCGCGTGAACGGTCGCCAGGATAAGCCTAGTCTGTGTACGAACTCGGTATGGAGGGCGATGGCGATGAGCGGGCTGTGGGTTCAAGACCTCAACGAGGATGCGGAAATGGAAACGCGGAAGCAAACGACAGGCCTGAATGCGAGATAGGGCTGTTTAGGTAGCTGTGGCTGGCACATTCCTTGACTGGGTCTCGCGATTGGTGCTTCCAAGTAATTGAATTGTAGCGGGCATGGTCGGTCGAATTGAGGCTGGATCAAAGTCCATCGTTCTGTAAGCTGCCTACCTTAAGTTAGGCAGAACTTCCATCCGCACGCTTCGTACAAACTTTGTGGCGCACAACCGACTGAATGTGTGTCTCTCTTTACATGCAGGCCGACGACTAGCGAGAGGCGCAGCCCAATAGTCGTGCCCAGATGGATCCGTCCTCCCAAACAATCATTTCAGAGTAGAATGCCTACCTAATGACAATACGTGTTGGCGCACACCGACTGGAGCCGTTCGGTATGCCTAACAGGCAATTATCTATTAAAGTCAGTCACCTGCAACCCAGTCGACAAAATGGCTCAGCTGGGTTCGGTCGACCTTTCCGTCACCGATTGTAACTTGCTTCCAGTCTTTCCACTTTCACAGTCAACACATAACTGAGATTCATCACCAGTACACGTCATTCGCATGTCCAAGTAACCGAATCAGTTGTCAAAGGGCTCAAACGCCATTGAGTCTGAAATGCACACGGTTGCCAGTGACCTCCTGATAAGTATGACCGCTAATAATACACACCCGAATAGGCTCCCTCATATTCTCATGACTGGATGAGCGTTTACCTGTCTCGCCAACTCCACACGCTTCCAATTTTTTCAAGGCGCAAGTCTACGCCTTCGTCTCATTGCCAGAAGTACTCTACGCCATACATTAGTTCGCAACTTACCATCTCGAGGAAAACATACTGACCTGTGAAATCAGGCTGCGGCCAATCTGAATGGTCTCGGCCATACCGCGCTGCCGACGCCAGAACCTGCCTTATAGTTAGCTGGTCTGCGCGCATGTGTTCGATATGAGAAACAAAGAAAAACCCACGCTTCCTCGGGGCCTCCATGGCCTTGGGTTGAGATCCTACGGGCCTCCTCTTCCAACGCCTGCAGGGTGATCTCCTCGGTCTTCTCAATGCCAGGCGTAGCAGCGTGATCTGAGACGCCTTGGCCTAGGTTCTGTTCTAAGAGTCTCTTCTTCATGAGGAAGCGTTCCTTTCTCTCCTTCTGTAATCCAGGGCTATCCAGTTTCCTGAAAGCCAGACGAACGAGGAACTGCACACCAAAGTAGAAATGCTCAGCGAGGAGGATACTAAGAAGCAGGCCCCAGGCTTTGATGCTGGAGGGCGTGCCTCTAGGTCCATCGCCGTTGGCGCTGCAGAGGAATACAATTGAAGCGCTGGTGATGCTTCCCAGCCAAGAAAGAAATCCAAGAGCATTGAGCCACGGGCCGATCGAATCTGCCCGCCAGGGGATAGGACGTCTGCTGCTAATGGCAATCTTGACAGCATCGGAACGCATCTCAACCCAGTTGTTGATCAAGAAGCAACAGGCTGTCAAGGGCCAGGCAACCGAGAACAGGGAGAGATATCCGAACTGAATGATCATCTCACGGTAGTCGCCAGTAACATCATACGTCTCAAGCTCAGCCTCATTCCTCACTCTCTCCAAAAAGGCGGCCTCCTCCACGGGGTCCTTGATCTTGGCGGCTGTATCATCCTTGGACATCTTGGATTGCACCTCACGAACTTCCTGGAAAACCTGGCGTTTGACATACGGAACGATAACCTCGGTGGCGAAATTGACGACTTGGGCGGTGACGGTAAAGTAGAACATCTGCTTGCTGATTCGCTCCGGGTTGATGACAAAGTCTTGGGTCTGAAACTTGGCATCTTTAGGGGTGAGCATCTGAGCGGTAGAGCGCCAGAAGTTGAGGAAAGGCGTGAGACGGTCGCCGAACGGCAGGTAGACGAAAGCAGTGAAGAAGAGGGCCATGTACGAGGTCAGAAAGTTGAGGACGAATTCCTTCTGAACCAAGGCCGCATGATGAGCTGAAGATTGTCAGTTGGGTCTTTAAAAAGCTTAGCTGACAGAACTTGCTATCGATCGTCTCATAGTTCTCCATCTCAGTGAGTTGATTGGCAAACTTGGTGAGCACAGTGGAGAAAGTTGGTGTCAGGACAACCAAGATGATCGTCGGAAGAAAGCCCTGAGAAATGTCAGTTAAGAGCCATTCCTTCAGTATGCACACTTACGAGATACGCCTGGAAAGGACCCTTGTAGACCTCATTGATGAAGATCTCCAGGGAGTTACAGGTCACAATAAGAGACCCTAGAACCACAATGCAGGCAGCGGCGAAAGGGATTTGAAGAAGCTGGGTCTGCAGACGCTTGATGGGCGAGTAGATCTTGACGGGTTCTCCGGTGATGGGATCCTCAGCTTGGCGTTCATAGACAAACTGTGGTCTCGGATGCTGGATGTTGGAGACGCCACGGACGCCCCACTCAACTGCCAGATCGACCTCCTTCTTTTTCCAGAACTCGAAGAAAACGACAGACCACAGGCAGCTCGCCAGAGCATAGAGCCAGGAGAACTGACCAAGGAACATCCAAGCGGCGAAGCCGGCTCCGGCAGGGAAGACGAGGAACTTGAAGTACGACTGCATGAAAGCGAAGTAGAAAGCGACGTTCTCGCCGAACTTATCGCGAATCTCATCGAGGTCGGCCTCATCGGTCTGGCCTTTAGTGCTCATTTTCTTGATCCATTGCTTGTTGAAGGTGTGGTTGTGAAGGGGAAAGATGCAGTCCACGTGCTTCCAGCGGCCAGACTGGGGAGTGATGCCGGCGCCGCCCTCATTCCTGGGTTTCACAATAAGCAGGTATACAAGCCGCAGACGTTCGGCTTCGGAGACGGGCTCATCGCGCAGAGCCTGAGAGAGATCGGAATCAGGGCCGACGGTACGGGCACCATGTAGCCAGTCCTGGAGTCGGGACCGGTAGACCTGGTCTGCGAGAAACTTGTCGGAGGCAATCTTGACGAAGACGAGAAGCGAATGCTTGTCACCTCTACGGACCTCGGTGGTCAGGCCAACGCTGGTGAGGCCTTCGATGAGCTCGACGAAGTTGGCCTCAGCTTCGACCCTCTCTGCGATGCACCGTTGTTAGAAAGGCCAGACTCTCTACGGATGGGATGGGCTGGAGCTAAGTCGTACCTTCCTGAGGGATCTTGTAATTGATCACATAATCGACACCAAAGTTGTGATCCAATCCAGCCGTGTCCTTGTTACTGTAGAGGTCTCTGATGCTTGCCATGAATGCGTAAGGAGTTCGTCCCAAGCTCGAGAGCTTGAGCACGGATGACGGGTAGGTTGCTTGTGGTTGGTTTGGTCGGCAAAGTTGGGACGCAATCCCTCGGCTGGCTATCCAAGATTCCCAGACAGATAATGGAAGGCGAGGCCGAGGCGTTATAAGCAAGTCGTTTGGAACAATTAAAGGCAGCAAGTGGCTGAAATAATGACGGAACGACGATGTCTTGCTTGGCAGGTTTTTTGCAGGAGCAAAAGCTTGGGCGCGGGAGGGTCACGTCACCACGCAGGGCCCTGCTTTCCAGCTTGACAGGGGGCGCTGCTTTCCAGGGAACATGGAAGCTCCAGCTCGCAATGATCCAACCCCTCCACTGCCATCTACCTACCAGACCGACCCGCCCCTCATGCCAGCTGTCGGCCAGTCAGTGTGTGGGTGAGTGAGTAGCGAGTGAGTTGTGTCCGGTGTCTTTCATCGAACCCACCGCCCGCCATCCCAGCTTCAGTGTTCACAAGTGTTCCCTGTACGACCGACGGCTGCCACGCTAAAATAATGGATTGGCGGTGATGGTGGTGTTGTCATCCGTGGGGTTTCAGCGGGCTGCGACTAGCTCCTGGAGCTCTTCCGTCCCATGTGAAGATCTCAACCTCATTCTCGCCAATTTCCCTGAGCCTCAACTCAATTCGAACCATTACCCCTCGCAACCCGCAGCCGCATGGATCTTGTATGACCTCAAATAAATCACCCTCGGACATCAAGGCAAGGCTCCTGAGCAGCGGATCGCCTCTCGCCTCCAATGAGCATCCTTACGGCCCTCGGCCTTCGCCGCAAAAACAACTGGGAGCCTCCAACACTACTCGACTCGCTCCTCATTTCACCTCTCCACTTTCTCGTCACGATAATCTACAATATCTTTCTTTTCCTTCGCGGCCGCCCTTTCAGACCGCCCCGCGACAAGCCCGCAGTTCGAGTCGTCTGCATCTCGGACACTCACGACCATACCAATGTCGGCCTTCCTCCGGGCGATCTGCTCATCCATGCCGGCGACCTCACAAATGCCGGTACCGCTGCCGACATCCAGGCCCAGATCGATTGGCTTGCTTCTTTCCCTCATCAGCACAAGATCATCGTCTGCGGCAACCACGACAGCTACTTTGACCCCAGTTCCCGTCTGCCTGAAGACCGCGGCAAGACGCTTGACTTCAAAGGCATCCGCTATCTCGTTCGTGATGCGGTAACGCTGGAGTTCAAAGGCGGCCGTCGCCTCAAAGTCTATGGAGCCCCTGATATTCCTGCCTGTGGCGGCGCCGAAATGGCCTTCCAATACGACCGCGCCTCGCCGCCTTGGGCTAACACTGTTCCCATCGATACTGACATTCTTATCACTCATGCACCACCGGTACGTCTCCTCATATCATCACCTCACTCGCTCTAATACGTTCCAGAAAAGCCATATGGACTTGGGCCTTGGATGTCCGGGACTGCTTGAGGAGGTCTGGCGGGTGCGTCCCAAGCTCCACGTATTCGGCCACGTACACTGGGGCCATGGCCGCCAAACCGTCCATTTCGACGACTGCCAACGCGCCTATGAAGCCCTCATAGACCAACGCCCGCGTGGTCTCATTCGCGACTTCTTTCCTCACTCCGGGTGGTTGGATGCTCTCAGAGTTCTAGGTTACGGCATACACGGTGTCATCTGGAAGTGGTTGATGGTCGGTCCCGGCGGCAACACCAGCAGCCTGATGATAAACGCCGCCCAGATGTACGGAAACACAGGACGACTCGGGAATCCGGTCGAAGTAGTGGATCTATAAGCTACAAAAGACAATCATCCTTTGCCATTTATTTTGCAACCTAGCAGTACGTGCGCCCGTTGCGCTGGTGTGGTATCATGTGATCTAGGCTAATGAACGTGGTATAGTAAAAAGACCTAGAAAAGAAGTCGAAATGCTCCGCCAAATGCCCCGGGGCCAGCCCATCCTCTCCAAGGCCGATGCCATGTCTCTAGAAGAACATCAATACGAATCTGAACACCGCAATAGCGGCACCCACGCACACGGGCCACCCGAGATGCAGATCCGGCGCCGAGTTGATCGACACCACGGACGGACGCGGCGTTGCTGCCTCCGGGGGAGCTGTTGTGACTGGTCCCCCGCTGGGCCAGTATCCCGTTGCGGCGGTTGTCACCAGGGCTGCGGCGATCTGCAATGGCACCGTGATCGTAGCCTCGCTCTCGCCATGGGGACCGCACGCGTTGCATGGGACTACCGTGGTAGCCATTGGCACACTCACAGCGTTCGGTTGCCCGCCGCTGCCACAGTACTTGCTACATCCTGGAACCAAAATTGTAGTGGCGTGCTCTGTGGGCCCCATGGAGCCGTTGATGACAGTCGTGTAGGTCACCGTCGTTATCACAGTCGAAGTGGAGGGCGTGTGCGGTTCAGGATCGCCCAGAGGCGGCGCAGGCGGGGGCGTCTCGTCGGTGACCCGGCCATAAATGGTGAGGAGGTAGCTCGCCGGTGCGGCGCGGCGATGGAGGTGCATGTGTATGAGGCGCGAAGGGATCGGGGAAGAGTTCTCGTTTCCACCGCACGGCTCTGTACTGTTACCAGGACACGGGATGTTGCAGCGCAGCCGGTCCGCTTCAGCTCTAGTATCTGGGTCGAGCTCGCCTGCGCAGAAACATTCGCTAGAACATCACGCGTAAGCCACATTTCGTCTTCACCTTCTCGAACAGGGAGGCAGGCGTACCTTTCATGGACACCAGCATATTTTTCCGGCGAACAAAGGTTGACACATTTCCTCAGAGTCATGTCGCCAGCCGACGCTCGGGATTTAAACGTGCGGAATCCAGTTACGGAGCCATAGCAGCCCAAGAAGGCGTAGCCCTCGATGGTGGCCGGTTGTCGTTCGGGGACGAGCGGGTCAGTAGACGGGCTCGTTGGGGCAGTAGAGACGGAGGGCCTGACGGACTGGATGGTGGTTGAAATGAGCATGGTATTTGAGAGTGTTGCGGGATTTGGTACCGTTGTGAAGACTGTGGACGTGACTTTGACCGTCGTCGTGGTGGTTGGTTGAGGGGCTGCGGCGCTGGTGTTGTTGGTCGCTCCCCGCTCGTACACGTCGATGTAGTTGACCTCCCAAAACCTGTTTCAGTAAGCCTTTGATCAGCCGCATCCCGCTGAGAACGTACGCGTTCTTGAAAGCCCCGGGGTTCTTCGCGACGTATTCTACACAGGTCGGAGCACGCTGGTTGCAAGTATCGTCCCCTTGGCCCCAGATATTACCGGCGTAGTCACCGCAGAAATTCTGCGAGCCTCCCAGTCAGCTTCATCACCATTGCCACGCTACAGCCATGTCCGGAAGTAGTGCCAGGAGTTTGGCAGACTCACCGTCTGAATCACAATGCTCATGTCCTTGAAATACTTATCCACCTCACAGGTCGACGTTCCGAACAAGGCAGTCGGCAAACCCCATGTAGACGGATCAGGCTTCTTGGACTTGACATCGGCCGGGATGCTCTGTCTCGGCCAGTGCCATATACGTATGCTCTCCTCTGTCCAATCGAGAGCGTACACACCACCACCCACGGCGTTAAACGAGTCTCCGTAGGTATGCGAGTTCGAGGCGGGAGGGAGGTAGTTGCAGCCGGCGTTGTTGTTGGCCTTTTCAGCTGTCAGTATGCAAGTGCCGCTGAGACGTGTACATGAGGACATACTCCTGGACTCGTGCAGTCGGTAGAGAGCGCCTGCCCGCTGGTTGCTGGTGTACTCGGCAGACTGCAGCCTCGTGTTCTACCCCGAATTAGTCCCCATATTCACGTGTATTACTCCTAAGCCATCCATACGTATGCCCAGAGACGATGTTTCTGGTGACCTGGTTTGCGCCCTCGATGATGTCGATCTCTCCGCTGGTTGGCCAGTTGGGACCGTACATCCAAACTGCAGATTTCCAAGATAGTCAGTACGTCATCGCACGATGAGAAATTCTGCCTTTTGTCTATCACAGCAATGAAATGTTTGACTTACACGCAGGCCACAGCCCACACACCGACGACGGCATATGTGCAAAGTCCCCAATGAACAGACCTGAGTTATAAACTTGCTTGCTCTCAAGCCTTAAGCTCGGTCGACCCTCACCGAGGCCGTAGACGTTGGTATGGTCTACCCCGAGTGTCACGGCCTGCGTGGCGGGGTCAATCGAATACAGGCCCTTGGAGAGGGCATCTGGCTGGCTCTGATATCTGTTCGCAAGTTCAGCACCTACCTCTCTCCCCTCGACCCGCTACAGGCATGATATTGAGAAAAAAAGGTTGGACTTACTTGACGAAACCATTGGAAGGGTCTGCGTAGTTAATCCAGTTGAAATCCGAGACGAAGCTGGCCCCAAAGTACGAATGCGATAGGCTATATGCCATGTTTTCCACCTTTTCTGTTATTACGCCTCCCCGCGCTCTGACTTGTTCCCTGAAAAGAACTACAAAGAGAGAAAGTGAGTGATAGAAGCCACCAATAACCGAATACAAGCGAGAGAGGGATGATGAGAGAGACAGGCAACGAAGGACTGACGCAGGCAGGGTTCGTAGATGGACAATAACATCCCAATACTTCACTCCCCAAAGAGAAATATCGAGAAGTCATGCTTATATCGTACTCATACTCATCTCCCTTACATTGATCCAGAAACCGCATCAGCGCTCCAACATACCCAAAAGAGAAGCCCAAGACCATCTTACCTACTCACCATTGTCACCCCTCCATACATCGAGAAACGCCGCGCCGACACTATCTGCTCCAAGACTTCCCCAGCCTCCTCATCGTCCAGGACCCTCTACCCCTCTCGACGAATGACGTTCACCGGCAGCACAGGGCCGAGGTGGAGCTGAAGCGACTTGGTCCCATCTGGTGTTCTCACAGAGAATTCAATACAGTCTATCCCATTCAAGCGCAGGCCGCTATCAGGCAAACCCCAGAGAAGTAAGAAAACTAAAGCGGAAAAAGGAACACCGGGAATGCAGACGCACCGCTGGCGTGGGTCGGAGTTGCCTCCTAGCAGCAGCCAGCCTAGAACATGACCAAGACATCCTGACGTGAGGGTTGGCACCGTTCAAGTTCGAGACCCGTGTCTTCAAGCCGGTAAAGCTGCCGCGGCCTCAAACCAATACATACTCCAGGAGGCTCGTATCGAGTGTCGCTATCGGGGCAAAGAGAAAAAAGAAAGAAACCCCGAGAGAGGGAGAACGTGGGGTCAGCACCGAAACAGCTAGACGCGTGAGATGGGGAATTTCTTCATTCCTAACGGCGGCGGGTGTGAACATTCCGCGTTCCTTCTCGAAGCCCTTGCTTCGACCGCTTCTCAATTGTGAACTGCCAACTGTCTATCAAATTTGCGCTACACAAATTCAGATCAAGGGGGTATATTACTCATGTGTACCTTATATATGACAGTTTCCATGACCCAAACGCCGGCCTTTCTGGCCCGTGCTCTGAGAAAAGTCCCTTTTCTCGATGCTTCCCGTAAATCAGTCGTCTTTCGTTCTATTCTTACACCATGATCCTCCGCAAACCCTCCGTGCCACCAAGCACGCGTCGGCCAGTGACCGCGCACCGTCCCTGCCCGCTCTCCCACTTCCCTTCCTTGTCGGCCATGAAATCCTCCTGTTTGGGATGAACACCCTCTATCCAGCGATGAATGCATGTGTAACAGAAGACAATGCCGGTCTGGCATGCTGTTGGCGTAACAATGGGCTGCTCGCAGACAGGACACAACCCGGAGTCCTCGGGTCCGGGCACCGTGTAAATAGGCAGTAGGGAGGGCGTCGCAATGGGCGCTGTCTCCGCGGCCGGGACAGCCGCTTCCTCCTCACCGCCGGCCTTGTCTTTGCCCTTGTCCTTCTCCGTCGCCGCGCCCTTGGCGACTGCTCCCTTGCCTGTCACTCCCGAGACGACGGGTGGCGGGAGGTCCAGCGTCTCTGTCGCCTTGCGGGAGAGCTGCTTCGCAAAGTCCGAGGCGTGCCACCACTCCAAAAACTTGAGTGCAAAGATGCTCATGGGCAGTAGCATAGACAAGCTGCCCAGCAACCGTGGACCCATCTCCCGCGGTGAAAACAGCGAGCGCCAGCCCGGGGGCGCGCCGCCCCTTGCCGGCTTGGCGCTCGTCAGGGCGTCAATGGCCTGGTAGTCCGCCCCCGTCATGCGCCGCACGCGGGTGCCGATGAGCCACATGAACGGGTTGTGATACTTGCTGTTGTCGAAAAGATACGCGAGATTGAAGGACAACAGGGCGAAGTAGTACGCCGCATTGACGCTCGGGTAGATGTTTCGCAGAAACCAGCGGTAATAGTGTAAAAACCTCTGCTTCAGCGTCGGGTTCGGCGGCATCTGGGTATACGCGGCGCCCAGCAGCGCGCGGGGAGCGTTGATCTCGTAACCCTCGTCCAGCTTGCGGCGGAGATAGGGTATTCCCACCATGACGGCCAAGTTCATCCAAACATCCTTCGAGCTCAACTTGAGCGTGTCTCGGACGACGTTCGGGGCGCTGGCGCTGGCGCGCGGGATCTCTGCGTGCAGAGCCTTTTCGCGCTTGAGGCCGTAAAAGTGCTCGGTGAAGCTGCCGCCGCGGGTTTTGAGATAGTGGCGCTCGACGACGAGCATACACAACGCGTACAATTCGTCGAAGGAGTTGAGGGCGCGGAGGAGGTAGCGCGGGTAGCGCTGGGTCGCGACGGTGAGGAGGTAGCGGATCGTGGGTGGGAGGAGGGAGTTGAGCTGCTGCTCCGACAGGAGTTCGAAGAGGGAGGGTTTCTGGTCGTCGAAAGAGCCCCGGAGGGCGGTCATGAACTCCATAGCGGGCGATCGCGGAGGCTCATCGAAGTGAAATGGTCATGGGATTGGTATGAGAGCGGATAATGGCGATGTCTAGGCATCGGCCCTGGCGATGTGAGGCTGTCGTCGGTCTTCGGCTTGCCAGAGACGGGAAGTTGCAGGTACTAGGTATCGAAAGGATTTGCCGAGGCACGCAGTGCTAGCGCGCCGAAATTGGGACCAAGAACCCGGGGAAATCAGCAGCGATTAGCAGGGCGGAGACACGCTGACGGACTCCCCAGCCAAGGCACCTACCCGATACAGGGGGTCATTTCGGACGCTCGTTGGGACTTGACTTTCACAACAGACATTTACACCCTTCATTTCAACAAACCATAGACTCATTTGCTTCAGGGTCGCGATAGAAAGATCAATTATTTGCATCATATATATTGAGAGAAACGTGTGACGTTGTCTTGGGCACAGAACTCTTTTCAGTTCCTACACCTCATCAACATGACCAAAGACGCCGCCCCCAAAGAGACCGCAGGACCGAACACCCCGCCTCATTTTGCATCAATCTTCGATTCCGAAGACCCCGAGGATCGGATACGAGCATGGATGAGCCTCGAGAAGAATGAGAACGGCCAGCTCAAGTCCGGTGTACGTCTCCCTCCCCGGACTCCGTTTGACTCTCACTCTCCCTCACAATCCCTTGACGGAGTCCATCAACTAACAATCGACAAACCTAGAATTGGATGCGCGAGATCATGCCTCACGTCACCCTTCTCTCCATCAACTCCCAAGGACCTCACCCCTCAGCGACCTTCTCTTTCACTGTCCAGCCGGACCATTGCAACAGGGCAAACAACCTCCACGGCGGCTGCGCGGCTACCCTCTTCGACTTCCTCACCACCCTGCCCCTGGCTCTCATCAACGACAGGCCGGGCTACTGGCAGTATCTAGGCGTCTCCCGCACCCTGCAATGCAGCTACGTCCGCCCGGCCCCCTGTGGCGAGGAGTGCATTGTCGAGTGTGAGATCGTTGCCATCGGCCGCACACTTTGCCAGTTGAAGGGTGTCCTGCGCCGGAAGAGCGATGGTGCCATCTTCACGACGTGCGAGCATCACAAGTTCAATGTCGACCCGCAGCCGAGCAAGCTGTGAAGCAGAGCGCAAGGCAGAAGATGGAGTGTGGGCGGCGCTTGGGTCTATTACCAACGTACAGGATAGACGATGTAAACAGAACAGTGCAATGCAATATACCCAATACTTAGATGACATGATGCCCGTTCAGCACGAGATCGATAATTTCAACATCAGCGGCGGCCAGCGCCGCAAGATCCTGCGCCATAGCCTCCCTCTCATCGCCTTCCTCAAGCTCATCGTCTTCGTCGTCCTCGCCCCACTCTCCGACCACGAAGTCCTCGTCATCATCTTCGTCGCTGGCCAAGTCCGCATCAAAGTCCATAATCGGCATGAAGTCGTGGAAGCTGATCTGCTGGTCGTCGCCTTTCGGATTCGGCGCCCGATCAGACACCTTGAAATACGCGCTGGGGCCGCAGGGTCCGTGGGGATCGTAGTCCCTATTCTCGTCGTGAGCACCTCCATCACATAACCGTGGCGATGGGACCTACGTGTCAAACCAATGTCCCACGACACCGCGCGCAGATCGCACACCACCGATTTGGATCCCCTCGCTGCGCCACCTCGCGTGGCCGCTAAAGATGGAAAACGTGGTCCAACGGACCTCGCCCTCTTTCGTCAGGCGGACGGTGCCTTTCACTGCTGATTAGACGAGAATTAACAAAGACAACGAACAAGATACACCAAAACACGCCCACCTACCTCGGAGGTCTGAGTTGGCGTTTTCGTCCCATGAGTCGTCGATTGAACGCGAAATGCCTTCAAAGGATACCACGGGTAGGTCCTTGCCGTCCTCCTCGCCGGGAGGCTGTACGTCGGTAACGTGAATCTTCATGACGATGAGTCGGGTTGCTTCGCCCACATCGAGGGGCCGGCGTGGAACCTCTCGTGGCATCTGATCGCCGAGGGGGAAGTTGTAGCTGAAGAAGTCGTTGTAGTCGACAAAGCAGACCACCTACTCTCATCAATTAGCATCAACACGTCTTCATCTTGAATGTAACTTACCCTCAGCCACGTCCCAGCAACACCGTATGGGTCCTTCATATCCAAGTCCTGGATCCCCCTGTTCGGATTAGGCAAGTAACTTCTCGCCCACGACCCAGCAAATGGCCTCTCCCACAAGTTACTGAAAACTTTGGCCGTTAGATTCTGCGCCCGAATGTTGCTCCCCAGTACAATCAAAATGGCCTCAACCTTCTCCCAATCCACTCGATCCGAGCCGTCGTCCATGAACGGTCCCCATCTCGTCCGCGGTGTGTACTGTCGCAGGTCATACACCTTAGAGCACGCGTAAGGATAAACCCTCGATGACCGCGTGCGCCCGCAGTTGAGAATAGGACGTCCGTACAGACAGTGAAGCTTTGCGCTCTGCTGGTGCTCCTCTTTGGGCATGTCAGGGAAGCGGAGAGGACGCTCGCTGCGGGCCCGCTCGAAAATGAAGGAGCGACAGAGAAAGGCCAAGCGAGCTGGCTCTTCGCGGAAGAGTCGGGCCAGGATAGCGGCATTGCGGGACGATGCATGGGTTCCGGACTCATTCTGCGTCTCGCCTGTTGGAGATGCGTTCTTGAGAAGCCTGTTCACAGTGCTGTACACAAACGGTAGTTCATGAGCCTGTAGACCATGATGAGCTTCGATTCCGTGATCGAGTATGCGAATAAGGCAACTCACCTTCTCATTCACCTTGTCGTTGGCGCATAGCAAGTTGAGTCTCACGTAGTCGTGCAGCTCCTTCTCCCAATCTAGATCCGCATTCGCCGGCGTATCCTGGTAGAGATTAGACCTAGACCAAATTCATCACCACCAGAAGAAGGTTCTCACCAAGTTGGTCAGATAGACGTCCTTGCATAACTTCTGATTTCCCTTCACATAGTCGTGTAAAAAGCGGCATGTGCGGGGCAGGCGGCCGAGGTCGCGCGGCTCAACCCCGGACAAGATGTGATGAAGGATTTCGGCCGGTAGCAGGTTAAGATGCAGCATCTTGGACGATGGCCCGCCAGCGAGACCCATCTGTTCGGCACCTTAAAAAGTAGACACTGGGAGCAATCACGAATGAGAAGTCGTTTCGGAACAGGATTGAGCGCACAAGTGGTCGCGGTGAAGTCGGGTGGGAAGGACCTGAATGAGTAAACGGAACGGAAGCTTAAACTTACGTCGTCTATCTTGGTTGGTCCACCACGGTGAACTACCTAGTACAATAGTTACCTAGTAGGTCATCATGCGGCGGGGGGACGAGAGAACGGGGCCATCAGTGAACACTGTCCGGAGGTAGGAGGTAAGCTCCGACGTATCAGCGCAGTGGAGACTACGGCCGAATAAGGCAAGTTGGCGCCATCACGGTTCGCCAGTCGAGATGTGCTCTCCTCCTCATCCTCTCGTCCTCTCCAATACTCTCCCGCTTCGTGAATGGTGAGGCTTTGTGGCTGCCATCGGCCTTCTTTCTCCAGCCTCCGATCTCGCGCATGAGGTGACGCTCCGGAGCGCTACAAGTGCAATCGACCATGACGTAAGGCGCTCATAATGCATCGCGTCACTCCACTACCTTACCTAGGTACCTTCAAGTGTTACGGGTAGAGATGTCTCCACTCCGATAGACCCGCTCTGTCCGGTAGCCGAGTCCAGACAGGCGGAAGCCGGGGCCCCGCATTTGCGCACCGCGCCTCCTCGGCAGCTACGGCACCTAAGTACAGTGTATGTTAAAAGACCATCGTTCCGACGTTTCGTAAAGCGAGGCCCAACTCAATTCCAACCAAACGCCTTACACAGACGGTATCATAAGGCCATTGCAGAGGAGCCCACGGCCTCGATCAAAACCACAACACATCCATTCTGACCTCCGGATCTTCCGGGCCCCACCGCCGCAAAATAGCGGACTTTGCCTCCCTCCGGATCTCAGAAAGCAAGTTCCAGATCAAACAATAAAAAAAGCATGGAGACCGTCCCGTTTTGCTGGCCGAAGTGCCGCCAAACCCACGTGGGTCCCTTATTGCAAGGAGACAACATCCAGACGGAAGATAAATGATGTGGCACACCTCAAGCCATGTTGCCCGTCATGCACACACCCACCCACCTTGTTCAGTACGCGCTACCCCTTTCAAAAAGCCTAAATGAAACCACCAACCCGATGTCGCGACTGCCGTTATTATCCCCATCTCCGTCCCGGTAAATTCCTCGCCGGTTTTTTTTTTTTTTTTTTTTTTTTTTTGGTTTTCTTTACGATGTGTTTTCCCAGCGTAGATCAGGATAGGTGGGATTTATTCTGGGACCACTCGCACATGTCCCGCCGCCGCCTCTAGTCTCTCAACACGCCACGACGCATCTATCACCGGAGGGAAAAACCGGGTCAGCAACAGAATGATACCCAGGTTGCGAAAGTGATATGTGATGAGGTGAGACCGTTTCTCAAATGTACTATCTGACACTCGGTATTATATGCCTCGGACGTTATGCTATTCGTATGCCACAAACAAAAGCGACACGCCTTCGTGGGAAGAGCGATCGTTGGGGTATAGATACAATGCAGCACATAAAAAAATGAAGAAATGCGGTTACAAGGCCTGTCACGCCAAATTATCGTCCCGACTCCTGGGAAATGTCCCGAATGATAACGCGCAGAAAGTGGTATTTCGAAGTCAAGTCCTCCCGTCATCAGCGTCGCCGACGTGTCTCATTCCGACAGGATAGTCGGCTAAATTCGATACCGGCGAGGTATCGCGGTACTGTTCCTTGTTTGTGCGCACTTACGCTGTGGCTCCAGAATTCAGTTGGAGGCAGTTGTTCAGCAAGTTGGCTCCTTCGTGAAGCAACTCCCACCGTGTCGTCTCGAATGAATCCTTCAGCACAAGCAAAAGCGCCGTATTGGTGTTGATGCCCTTCATAGATTTGAGCTCTTCTGGCGAGGAAACGCCGCCGTACTTCATCAGATAGTCCCTCATCTGTAGCACCTGTTCCTGCTTCGTAGTCGGCGAGGGAACTCCGGGACATGGTCCTTCGAGAGCGAATCCGTAGCACCAGACGACCAGCACGGCGAAGTATAACACCCAAGGCCTGTTCAAGAGGACATCGTCTCGAGCCGTATAAGGCTCGTCGTAATTGAAAACATTCGACTGCGGTGAGCCTCCGCCGTCAGGCATGAGAACCGAAGCAAGGAACTTTAGAGCGTAGTAGGTCGCATCTCGAGCCTTCGCAGATGGCGCCCACAGATCTCTCATCCTTCTTTGGGCGCTATTGAGATCCTGCTGCCCGATGGCCCTTCCCAACAGCCGCTTTGCCCTGGCAAAAATCTGGCAATCGACAATGTCGACATGCATTGCCATGTGAGCAAGGTGATGCAGTACCGTGCGGCTTTCGAAAACGACGTTGGCCTCGTTCTTTTTCCCAGAACCGTACCGGTATGGATCTGCAGAGCCCTCGTTTCTCGTCAGTGACTTGTCGAAATCTTCCTTCCAAGCATCGAACGCCCGGGTAAGCGTGCCTCTCCATTTATCCCGTCCGCCTAGCGCTTGAGAGACACCGCCGCCAAGCACATTGACCTGAAGGTCTCTCTGATTCATATGCCAGCTCACGCTGAGCAGCCCAGCCATCAGGACCATGCGGCCGAACGGGTTGGTCTGCACCCCTTGGCCGCTAAGAGTCCTCTTGAGACCCTCGAGGAAGGATATTGGCTTGATACCGTTGGACATGATGTTGGATTCGATCCGCCCGACTTCTGCACCGCTGTTTGCTTTCCAAAGGGCGTCGTCACAGGGCAACGGAAGTCTCATCTCATGTGTCACCATGACGGTGGAATGGCCAAACATGGTTGCGTGGATCGAGTCTATAACGAAGGCCGCGAAAGCAGCTCGCCTCGTCGACTCGTTGGTGATCCAATGGTTCCACCACTCGTCGGCAGTGTGTGCTACACCAGACGCCGAAGACTGCCTCGAGCTGTTCTTGTCGTCTCTAGGGTTTGGCGGCGAGTCCAGGGCCGACTTGCCAATGAGTGACCTCCCACGGCGCATGAGAGTGATTGTTGTCGCGTGATGAATGTGAGCTCGCTCGTGCAATTCTCTAGTCGAATACATCTTTTCATACAGCTCAAGCAGCAGGAGCGTCTGGAACACCCACAGTTTTGCAGGTGGCCGGAAGTTGGGGTCCATGAAGATCTCCCATCGAAGGTGCCACGCCAGGAAATTGGACAATTGTGCACCGGCCTTGGTGACCTTCTGTCCGTGCGTCTTGTCAAGACAAGCTGCACCGATCGTCATCATTGCGAGGAGCAGAAGGTTGGGTGTTCGGTCAGGAGAGAATGTTGGTTTGTGAAGGATGGGGATCTGGTCACTGAAGTGAACCCAGTACGACCCAATGTAGGCCTGCATCATCCGCTTGCTGAGCATATGGTCGCCATCGGTCCGATCGCCTTCCAGAATGCTGTCGCGCTGCCGCAGCGCGGGGGCCTGGTCGTTCTCGTGAAACCTCTGGTTGATGAAGTCGTATATCTCCTGACTCTTCTCTTCGGAGATGGTGGCTTCCGGGAGATTTTGATCGAGCAAGTTGTTGACCGCCATGACCTGATGGGAGCCAGACGGGAAGTAGCCCATGGGCACTCCATCTGTGCCCACGTATGGAACGCTGTATGAGTTTTGATATTCTCCGTAGCTGACGTTGATTAGCGAAGCCCGGAAGAGACATCGGATGGACTTACTTGTTTGCGTACTGAGGGGGCACGATCTGCCCCATAGGAGATCCCTCTCCTTGTTGTGTGTTGAACAGGTAGGCAACGAAGTCTTCCGGGATTGTGACATACGGGGACTTGCTCAAGATGCTGTCTGTCCCGAAGACGGGAATCGTCCCCGGCATCGACATCTGATCAAGCAACATCATCTCGCCTGATTGCTGGAGATGCCCTTGTTCTGAGTACTCGGCCGAAGTGGTCGGTGCGTACGGCTGGCCTCCTTCGCGGGGTACGTTACCCGCGCCATTGGAGAAGTCGGAAGGTGGTAGGTTGAAAGGCGGAAAGTTTTGCTGAGTAGTGTAGGTTGCGGACTGCGGGGTGCCATGCTGCTGACTGTGGTATCCATGTTGGTTGGAAACTGGAGACATGTATGGCCCGTTCGTCTGTACAGTTGGACGTTGTCCGTTGTTTGGAGACTGATGCGGAGGCCGATGCGCCTGGATGTTTCCGTAACCAGCCTCATGGTGCAGGTAGCCGTCCATGCTCTGCGGCGCGCCCATAGAATACCCGGCGGGAGGTGTATGCGTTGCCTGTGCAAATGGGCTTCCGGTGGCATCCTTGGGAGACTGGTATTGAATTTGGCTCTGTCGCACATGAGCGAAGCCGGTGCTCGGCCGGCTGATCTCTGGGGATGCGGACCCCGGTAGCGGGTAAGGAGGTCGGTCAGTTGTGGGCGAGATGTGGCTCATCATGGAGTCCTTGCGGTTCAACGTCGAGCCCTTGGCCGTATGGCGGTCCCTGTGGCGATTGCACAGATCAAGTCGAACAAACGTGCGACTGCAGTCGGGAAAGTCGCAGGCATAGATCTGCTTGGGCGTGTGATTCAACTGATGTCGGTATCTAGAATCATGTTAGTCGGGGCTGCCAAGTTTGCGCTTCGAGACGTACAAATGCTCTGCTCTCGAATAACTTTTCCCGCACCCTTCTTGAGGACACTCGAATTTCTTGTCCAGGCCCTTGCGACTCCTCCGCCTCTTCCGCGCGGGACCACCGTCGGAATTGGATGAGCCGGCCTTGCCATCTTCACCGTCAGCCCCGTCGTCATCTAGCAAGTCGGCGTCCTTGTCCTCGGAGTCTTCCCGCGGCCTTCCTTTCCCTGGCTCGTGTTCCTGCTTGATGAATCGGTGCGGACTGGTCCGTGGGTCGTGCCCTGGCGCCATCTTGGTGGAAGTTCGTGGCGAGAGCGGAATCGAGCTGTTGAAGTCGGCGTGATGCGCATGCAGCACAGAAGTCATGTTTCCAAGCGAGTCGGTTCGGGGTAGGAGGTCGGTGATGCCGAAGTAGTATGCGACGCGGGGTCTGTTGCTATTAGGCGCGCCGAAAATTGAACGAAGCCGATGGTGAGAGTGGCGTCCGGCAGCGAGTGCAACTTGGCCCCCCAAAAATGAGTTGAAAGAGCGATATGAGGCCACGGCCGGGTGGCGCGGCGAGTATGTAACAGTGACCGAGGGTCGAATCAGTCCACCAGGCTTTCGTGACCCTCGTTTTTTTCGTGATGTACAACAGGGTGCGCAGAATCGCACTGGTGGTCGTTGGTTCGGGCCTCTCCAAAGCCAATTGGAGAGGGGTTCTCAAAACATGACTATTGGGAAAGGGAGATCTCTCGCCGGTAGAGTTAACGGCGGAAAGCAACGCGAGGGGTTGGAGGAGGCGAAGCGTAAAGGAACAAGGCCACCAGCTGAAAAGGCAGTCGGCGCAGGAAAGGTGAGATGCCCTCTTCTATGAATACAGTCTGTGAGGCGAGGTCAGGCAAGGTAAGCTGGTGGTGCTGATTGCTGGTGCCGGGGGTGGGTTAGCAAGTGGATGATGGTGGAGTTCGTGGTATTAATGATGGAGCTGCCGCCTGTTGCGGTAAAATGGAGGAGCGAAAGCTGCGTGACAGAGGGGAAGGGGGTGGGCAAAAAATAACAAAAAATAACAAAAAATAAAAAAAGATTAAAAAAAAAAGAGAGAGACGGCAAGGTTGGAGGTTGCGGATGGAGTGGACCATTGATCAAGGGCCAAGGGCCCATGGACCAAGCGTAAGGTAGCGTTCGGGGGTGTAGCAAGGACGGACGACTTGAACCATGCCGCGCCTGTCTGCCATCCATCCGCCATCCGTCATCCGCCGTTCAGAGTCCAGCCAAGACACCTAGCATGTAAGGTAGGTAGGTATTCGTAGAGATACTGAAGTAAGAAGGTATCGAATCTCAAGAACAGGGCAGGGCAGAGCAGAGCTGGGCAGGGCAAGGTCTCCTGCGCTCAGAAAGATGTGCGCTGCGGCACTTGGAGCGCAAGGCGAACGAACCCTGATAATGCACCCCAACCGAGTTTGGTTCCGTACGTACAACGGGCAAGGTAGCCTTGTGCACTATTGCGAGCACACAGATGACGAGACGACTAGCTCGATGCCAGGAAGAGAGCTGTTGGAGATGAGGGAATCTCCAGCTAACGCCGGGTCGGAAATGGAGGGCGCGGAGAGGTTTTTCCTGGGGGAGGCGCTGCCGCCGTTCAATTCGCACGCGCCGTGTCCGGGGCAGTCCAGTCTAGCCTCTAGGATGGAAGCAAGACAGGGACCGTCGGGCGGATGTGTCGCGGTAGACCAGACGAGGACTTGTCTACCTATGTGTGTATGTGTGTGTGTATGTATCGGTACGAGTTCTCGTCGGTGATTGCCGTTTCAAAGCCTGTGTTTGTGGTGCATATCAGGTATCTTCAGCTACTGGATACATTCAGACCGGCGTACGGATACGCAGTAATCCCCTGGAGCGAAGCGAACCGAAGCGAACCGTTGATGTCCGCCAGTACTAGTGGCATCCCATCCACGTCCCCAGCTTCCCAACCTTGGGTCGAAAACCAGAGGAAGGCACCCGCATCTCTGGAGGAAGGGCTCGTCGGGATGCGCCGTTGCTGTGGTCGGCAGCCGGCGCTCCGAACGAGTGCTGTACCTGTACCGCAGCAGTGAGATAACAGGCGAGTTCTGGGTTTGTGCCGTCCCGTCCAGCTGAGGCGTCGCCTTCCGGGAAACCATATCAGATTCGAACGGTGATCTGGTTCTGGCCAACATCCCGTACTGATCCATGAGGTAGGTCGGGTGGATGTGCTGCAAAGTGCATGGGCCGGACGGGATCGTGATTGGGACAACGCGAGGAAGGAGACGACGAGGACGGGGTAAGGTAGGCGTAGGCAATGGAAGGTACATCACCTACCGTGTGGAAGGGAGAGACGCGACATGTGAGAGACGAGACTGCCATACCTGAAGAATGATGTTGCCAAGTCGATCGATGCAAGGGCCGGCCAGATATGCCACGGATAGACACCAGCAGAACGCGCAAACGCAGGGCAGGGCAGGAATGAATCTATCTGTGCTTCTCGAAGCTTGGGGTTTGCGGCGCGGCCAAAGGTTGATGTCGATGTTGTCTGTAACAAGTGCGTCGGTAATTATGTAGGACATGTTCGGGATCTCATTCGTGTCGTGATGCTGTTGCCGGTAGAGTCTGACGGTCAACAATGACCTATCCGTACCTGTTGAGCTACCTACCTAGGTAGGTAGGTACCTTAAGCACAAGTCGGGTCCAGGTTCTGGGGAAGTGGGCGGTGGATACCTACCTACCTACATAGGTAGTGGGAGAGTGGGAGAGTGGGGGCTCGCTGAGTCTTGTTAAAGTAAGGTAGGGGGTACCTAGGTACCTAGGTAAGGTATAGATAGGGTGGCTCCCCCCGCAAGGAAACAGCCAGGTTATTCAATATAGTCTATTAACTAATACTACTACTAAAACTAATATTTTATACTTACTTATTAACTACTTTTTAACCCCTTTTTAACTACTATTTTATTTAGTACCTATCTAAGATCTATTTAGTATTAATTATCCCTATTAATCCCCCTAAATTATCTTCTTCTTCTTCTTTTTAAGCTATATATTACTAAAGCTAGTTTATAGCTATTATTAGTAATACCCTATATAAGTCCTCTAATAGGCTAATAGCCTAAAGAGCTATAAAGAGGATATAGTTATTAGGAGTTATTTAACTAAAGTAGAGGTAGTAATATATATAATATAATATTTAGTAATACCTCTAGATATATTATTAATTTAGCTATAATATCTAGATCTATATAAAGGTATTAACTATATTTATAATTACTTTATCTATATTACTTAATAGTAATATATAGTATAAAGAGTAGTAGATTGTTACGGCCAGCTAACTGACAGTGGGTTTGTGTTAGCAGTAAGTTAGGGATTGAGAACTGTAAACAGTAATCAGTCGTTTTGTAGGTCTGGTCGAGTAATCGTAGGTCTTCAAAGGTCTTGGTGATCAGTCAAGGCCTCAACAAGAGTCGTAGAGTAATCGTCACTTAGGTATAGCTGAAAGTATCGTGAGTGATAATCACAAGTTGATTGCTGGAGAGCTATGGAAGTTTGTCCTCGAGCGGACTCGAGTCCATCCTATATACAGGTCCTGGGTAGTCCTATTGCTGGGTGCCGTACATGCCCTGTACGGCTCCCGTATCCTTGGCATACGGCTTCCGTCTTTCTGGAATACGGATGCCGTATCTTGGTCATACGGATCTAATCTCTTATCTTATCGTCACGTGACCTGTACCATAGTTCTTCCGTTCCTGAGGGATCCTTGCGTGTTCCCGTGATCCTGCATACAAGTGTGTTGTCATAACCGCCCAGTATCCTAGTGGGGCGTCCTTCGTTGGTTATGCCTAACGGGTCGTAACATAGATCTACTAAATATAATATATAATTAATATAATAATTACTTAGAGAGTATATATATCTATAAAGTTAAATATAACTTTATTATTATATCCTACTATATAGTTTATAAAGTAATAAAAGTAATTTATAGCTATAATATAAAGAATAAATAGTATTTATATAGTTATTTAAGTTATTTAGGTATTATTAAAGTACTATTTAAAGAAAATAATTTAAAATAAAAAAGAAAAGAAATAGAAACTATTCTCCTCTTATATATTATACTCTATTTATAGGAGAAATATCTAAAACTATAATAATTAAAGCTATTTATAATAAAAAGTATATATATTTATTAGATTTTAATAATTTTTTTTTATATTAAACTAAAGTAAATCTTCTTATATAAGTATTAAGTATAGTACTAAGTTTATTTATCTTATAGTTTACCTACCTTTTATTACTAAGCCCTATAAGGGTTTACCTCACTATAAGTACCTCAGTAAGGTACAGATAGGCTGAGATTGATCCCTAAGGTACCTACCTACCTACCTATGGACAGCTCGACCGGTCTGAGTCTAGGTCCAAGGTACTGTCGTATCGGGCATGTAGTACGTGCCTTGTGTGCCACCTTCCAAAATGTGAGTACTGAGGTGCGGCGTGATGCTGCAATGCGAGACGAGACGCGGTGCGATGCCCTAAGGTACCCTGTCCTTAGCAGCACCAACAGAGCTGAAGATGATACGAGTGCGATGAAAACTCACCCATCATCAGAAGGCGCGGTAAGGTGCCTGTGCCTTAACAGGTAAGGTAGACTAAGATACACATGAGTTCTTTAACGAGTGCCTCCCAGAATACCTCATGTTTTACATACGGTACTGTAAGGTACCTTGCGTACCTAACATGGGAAATGCGGTTCGAACGTTGTTAGGGCCGTGATGCGACGGGGGTGCACTCGAAGAGGGGCGGACAGAGTCCCAGGACTTTGTATTTACCTGACCAGACGCACTGTCGGCGAGCCAACTGCTGTGAAGGTACTTGAGCTTGAGTACCTTTAGCACCAGGGCATGGAATGTGAGACGACATTCCAGTATGAGCTGTAATCAGATCATCAGTCGACGACATCCATCTGGTCCTTCTCGATCCGTGAGCCTTTGCCGTTAACTTGGGTCATTAGCGTCTCGTTGCTCTCATCTGATCCGAGAACCACCTCCTACGCAGTAAATCCTTCATTACGCCGAGTTAGAATTTCCCTGTCCCTGTCAGTGCCACCGGAAGCCTGCTTATATCCAACTCTCATATGCAAGCCATCGCTTCACTGAAAAGTTGGCAGAGGGTGTGAGCGGCACACATGATACATGGGCATCCAGCCCGCTTGGATTCGGTGAAAACCCGGCAAAAACTTGACAAGTGACGAGCCTGCGTCTATGCCATTCGCAAAATGAGGGCTAGTCTCGGTGACTTCTCGTGGCCGGTCAGGAGCACGCCGTTGATCCCGGTGGAATTGATGAAGTCGCATCTGAGCAAAGCTGTACGGATACAATAGCCAGCCGAGGGCGTCGCCGACCGAGCGCCCCCCTGTCACATCGCCCACAATCCGTTTCGACCGCAACGACTTCCCGGCAAGACATAATGCGGCTCATTCCGAGTTTGCTCTTCCGATTGTTTGGATCCTTTTCTGTCGTTCTACGGAACCAGAGAATCGATAGTCTTTCGGACTGAACGAGGGATCGGTTTCGGCAGGCAACCAGAGACCAAGGTCCCTTGACCAGGGGTCCTCCCCAAGACCCGCAAAGGGATTTCGATTCCTTCTTTCCATGTCGCCCTACGACAGGCATGCCCATGCTCTCAGTGACCGGCGTGGATACTCAGTGTGACAAGACGTGGGGATGGGCACGGTCTGGAGCTTGGACTTCACCCATCCGGGGCGCAATTCCCCCGACTTGCGGATGAGGTAGCGCGGATCGGCCGCCGGTGTCACCTGGAGCTCTGGGGGTATTGCGTCGAACCTTCGCTAACTCAAAAGCCTTGCCCACAGACGGTACAGCTTATTTCAACACACATGATCGTCGTTACTAGCGGTTCAGGCCGCGAATCTCTCGGGAACATTTGCCGTTGCATGCCGTGTCGTCGTCGTTTACTATTGTCCTTGTCCTTGTTGTTATTAGTGTCAGGGTGCTTCCAAGAGTCTTGATATGAGAGAGAGAGAGACGAGGAGAAAACGAATTTTGAAAGGGGGCCGCAGCGGTAGAACCATTAAGCATCCATACTGCAAAGTAGGTACGTCTGTGCAAGTATTGACCATCGTTACCGCTTGGGATCACTTGACCATCTCCCTCTGTCGGTTCCCGTCGCTCGCACCGATGGCCCCGTTGACCTGCCCGGCTATCGCGTCTAATCAGTTGTAGGAACATAGGACTATAACTAGAACGACTCAGGATTCGTCGTTCAAAGCCATGTCGTGCCACTGACCAGCTGAAACGCAGACAGCTTCTTTACCATCAACTGTCATGTTGTCGCCAGTTGATTGCCAACACCCCACACATGAGGCTGAATTGCACAGCGCGTATCAGGCACGAAGACCATGTTTCCGGGACTCGCATGGGCACACCGTCAGGCGTGGGATTACCCTGTGCCGACAGACGGATGTGTTGGAGGGCGATTCGCACTTTCGTTGATGACCACGGACGCGATCATCTTCTTGGTCAATTCCATCTCGTAATGGGTTCCTGATGTGGCATGGTAGCACACGACTCTCGCTAGCCGCAAAAGGCCTCTATCCTGCTGTTCGATATCGACGAAACCGTGCACTTCGCCGTGAGAGCCTTCTATGTTGATGACACTTGTGTCGCGCAGAGAAGAGTACCCCACTAATTGCGTGGGCGTCTTGACAGCTTCCTGTGGACTTTTCATGATGGTGAAGTTCGGAAATGGGAAATTCCAGACAGGTACATTTCCAATATCCTACCTCTTGTTCAGTACTTGATGACGGGAAGAGTCATGACTATCGTACGTCAAGGTACTTCCAAGCTCTCAAGCGGATGTTGAGACCTACGGCCAGCGAGAGAGACGCGGACGTGCTTCGACGTGATCAAGTATTCCGCGTACTGGAATGAAGCGGGATCATAGGCGTCGTCTGGGAAGCTGCAGGGGTCTTTCGGATCCTTGACTGATCGCCGGTTGGCATTTCATGAGCGAATTGTATCCGTAAGGTAGCGTAAAGCGGAAACCCCACCAAATGAGAGCCTCGATCAGGGACATGGGAAGTTCGAAAGTGTCCTAAGATGGGCGTCAAATGATATCCCTTGCTCTGTTCGCTCGACGGGGCGAGAATGGCTTCTCCTGAGGATGCCGTAACAGGAGAAACTTCGGACATATCACTCCTCGGTCTTGCGACGTCCGGATCTCTGCATCTCAGTCCTGCTTGTAACTGAGCTTGAGAATCGCTTGTAGGACACGGAAATGGCTGCAGGCCCGCATTAGCCTTGGTCGATTGGACGGTAGTGCTCCCGGCGCCAGGTAATGTGAACATTTAGGGTGCCTGGTTGAACACAACATGCTGTACTGGCGCCGACGGCTCGGCGAGGTTCCTCGACACCGGCACCTGACCAAGTGGTTATTGAGCGATTCGTTCTCAATCACTCGGCTGGCAAAAGCAATGCGCCGCACAACCTGTCATTTTGGCAGCCAGCCCTCATCTCGGAGGCCGTTGAGGGGAAGCATGCCGATCAATAAACAATCCGGCGACGTTTTTGTCTTCCAGTAAGATCCCAGCCCAAGCTTGGCGGTGCTTATAACACCCGGCATACTGATGTCGACGAATGTGGCCAAAAGGTCGATTTTGCATGAGAATTGCCTCAAAAGACATCGAGAGTCTCAAAGTGGCTTCGGAGAGAAGGTTGGAGGGTTTTAGTCCGGCGTCTGGACGTGGAATGTCCCCCAAGAGTTGAGGAATCAATTGCGCGCGAGTTGGTGACCCGGACCGCTGGGCCAGCCACTCTCGCGTGCGAGAGAAGAAAGTCCACGCATTCCTGCGAAAGTTTCTGTGCAACAATGTTTCGAAATCTGGCTGTTGACGCCAATTTCCAGCATGCTGAAATGCCCTTTGTGTAGGGAACGGGGAGTCGGTGGCAATGCATAAGCCCCGACGTGGCTTGCGTCTGATACGGCCGGCGTATTCTCATGCAAGCTCTAGGCCACTCTGAACCTGTTCTTGAGTGCGGGGAACTTTGGGTCGACATTTCCAAGGATGCTAGTTGCTAGTGAATGGGTCGAAAGGTGTCAGTCTTCGGGCTCCTGCATTTGATTTCCATTCGACTTCGGCAGACCAGTCTGGTTTCTAGAGATGAGGTGAAATCAAGTCGTTTGATGGGTATCCCGCGTGGGGAAGTCGTCTGCTGCAAGCCCATTCGCATGGGGTAAGCCGGAAACCGCTTCAGCCTGTGTGGCAGTCCCTCGAGATTGGATGAAATCTTTCCATGGGTAGTTGGGTTTGGAGAAATGGAGAAGTTGTGATAGCTCGCGGTTCGGTTCGGACTTCTTTGTCTCCATCATGCTGCGCGACAATGATGAGAACTCCCGTCATTGCGCTTGTATTTTTGTTAGTGCCCGTCATCGGCACCATCTTGTCCATAATCCCGACCTTTGTCCCACGCAGGAAAACGCTGTGGACGCGAAGGCATCGGTCGTTGACTGATGAGGGCTGTTGCGTTCTCCGGATGGACGGTATGGTTGTTCCCCAATCTCTACACCTCAGGGGTTCGGAGCAACGCGGGGTTCTTCCCCGTGAGCACCGTGGTCCGCAACAAGATGTTTGGGAGAGGGTAAAAAAAGAAGAGAAAAAAAAAGATTCCATTCCTGAGAATCTGCGGGATGAACGGGGAAGGAGCCAACTGCCACCCTAGGTAGGTGCCTAGGAAGAGACCCGACGGTTGAGGTGACGTATGGCGGGTCGGCACTTTCCCAACCTGGAAAGCAGTTGGAGCTGAAAAAGATTCGAGGGTCCATCTCGCCGTGAGGGTTGAGACTGGAGAGCTAACTCAGGTACTTAAGGTGCCATGGTGCTCTCAGGGGAAGTTAAATACCTACCTAAGCCTTAGGTCAGCAAAAGTCACCAATCTGTCGCTCTCCTGGGAATGGATTTCTCCATCAGGAGCCTCCACGTCCCGGCTGTAGGTAGGCACCTAAGGTAGGTGCCTACCTATGGTGCATGGGTTTGGCTTGTCGCACCAACGCAGGCAACTTATGGATGGGTCCCGTCATATTGGAAGCCGGGCAGGCGCAGAGCAGCTTGCCGGGTGGCCAGTCCCCGAATGCCGCCAGCGCCCCCGGGCCCGCAGCTAAGGAACCTACCTAGGTACCTAGGTTCTCTGTCGAGGTAGGCAGGCAAGCAGGGCCCTGAGCAACCGGTCCAGCAACCAACAGAGAATGACGTGAAAATCTCCAATTTCCCTACCCCCCCGACTCTCCTCCCGTTTCTCTCACACAGTCTGTCCTCTCAATCTTTGCTTCGAATACGATGTGATACCGTCCCACGCCCAATCCATATTCCGACGACCTCTAGCGAACCACCAGACGGCCTCGGCGATCCCCCAAACAAAGTCATCGTCGGTCTTCGTTCGTCATGCCACCCAAGTCCTCCAAGGCTGGTCAGGACGACTCCAAGGCCGAGAGTACAACCACAAAGGAAAAGCACTCGTCTGGTTCCGGAAGTCACCATACGAATGGCAAAATGCGACGTGTAGCCAGTTCCACTGGCTCTAACCTGCGCGAGGTCACAAACGCCAACGCGGTGGCAGACGCTGCGCCTACGAAGTCGGAACCTCAGAACCCAGGGGTAAGAGACTACTCTACCTATTCATTGCGAGGCAACGTGGCTAATGCGTTTCTCTCCTCAGATTCAGTGGAACACCTTCGATCGAGAGACCTTACATGCTTATCGTCGTGAGCACCACCTCAACACCCCAACTTCCTTCTCCTGCTCCTACCGTCAGCTGGTCCTCTCACGCCCCGGCGGTATTGGACTACACTCTCCGACCATGGCTCGAAAGAAAGTCGACCGAAGGCAAAGCAAGGAACAGCTGGCCATGGCTGTGCGGAAGCACTTCAATGGTGTCGGAGTCCAAGAAAACGACGTTATTGTCGACTTCATCCACAAAGTCAGGAGTCACTCCATTACCAAAGCCGACCGGAATAGGAGGCCAAACTCGACACCTCACGACGCCTGACGACCTTACATGACATACAGGATTTTATTTTTGGGGGCACATGCGTTGACATGAGCTGGTTGGCATGCGGATCTGCTCTCAGATCGCAGCCCGGGCAGGCTGTGGGCGACTTCGGACTGCATAATGATACCTCATCCTCGGCGGGATACGTACGACAAAAGACGACGGAAGCAAGACCTCTCGACGTAGGCTTTTCACATAGTTACGATACTACATAATGATATCATTGGAGTTTTGGGTTTGATTGTTCGCTGCGATACCTACCTACCTTGGCTTACTTTGACTGCATTTTACGGTGCCGGCTCCGACTCGCGGCATAGATTTAAGCAGAATGAGCCGCGCGAGCGCAGACGGTGCAACGCGCATGTACCCGCGAATTTCCACCCCACGCGGTGGGGCAGCTCGCGAACCACTTAAAAGTCGTCGCAAACTGCTGACGTTCCATGTCACTTCTGTCCTGCCTGCAGCAGCCGACCCCTCCGCTCTCCGGCCGCTCTTTCTGCCCGTGCTGAGGCCCGGAGCGGTAAGTGCCTCAGGCAATTAACGGTAGTCGGCTTAGCATCGGGCCAAAAAAGAATTGATATCATCGGCATCCAGAAAGAATTTGCGGGAATGTTCCACTGTGCGTTGATGCTTTTCTGCATCCCTCAGCCAATTTAACCCCCTAATCTCAACCATACTCTTCCCTCAGATGCCTTGTCGCGATTCAAAATGAATGCAAGCATTCTTACCAAGGCGGCGGCCCCGGGCCGTCTGCTCTCTCGTCGTATTCCTCGACAATCCAAGCTCAAGGAAGCTGTTGGCAAGCGCGCGAACATCCACACCGGTCCGTTCACAGTCCGAACTACGAAGTGTCAATCTCCCCGGGTGACATGCCAAGCTCATTCAACCAAGCGTGTAAGTATAAATATTATACGGAAACAACTGTACAGATTGCTCATCAATCACTTGACAGGCATTTCACGCAACATCCACCGCCCTTGCACCTAGCGATCCGTACAAGACGCTGGGCGTCGACAAGACCGCCTCCGCAGGCGACATTAAGAAGGCCTACTATGGCCTTGCAAAGAAGTACCATCCCGACACGAACAAGGATCCCTCCGCCAAGGAGAAGTTTGGCGACATCCAAAGCGCATACGAGATTTTGTCCGACCCCAAGAAGAAACAACAGTTTGACCAGTTCGGCGCTGCTGGCTTCGACCCCAGCGGCGGTGCGGGCGGTGATCCATTCGGCGGTGCCGGCAACCCGTTCGGCGGCGGTTTCGGCGGGCAAGGTGGCTTCGGAGGCGGTTTCAACTTTGATGACATCTTCTCCGCCTTCACCGGGGGCCAGGGCTCGCCCTTCGGCCGTCGCGGCGCCCGCAACCCGTTCCAGCAGGAGATTCTCGTCGGCGACAACATCGAAGTGCAGTCGAGCATTTCTTTCATGGAGGCTGCTAAGGGAACGAGCAAGACGATCACCGTGACACCCCTGACGGAGTGCGGCACATGTACGGGCAGTGGCCTGAAGCAGGGCACCAAGAGGTCGCAGTGCGGCTCCTGCAACGGTACGGGCACGAGGGTGCACTTCATGAACGGTGGCTTCCAGATGGCGTCGACATGCGGAACTTGCGGCGGCACGGGAACGACAATTCCTCGCGGTTCCGAGTGTAGGTCCTGCGCCGGCAACGGGGTAGTCCGGGAACGCAAGACCATCACCGTGGACATCCCCGCAGGCATCGAAGACGGCATGAGATTGCGCGTCGACGGCGCCGGCGACGCCCCGGTCACTGGCAAGAACGCGGAACCCAATATTCGCACGCAGAAGGGTGACCTGTATGTCTTCGTCCGCGTAGCGTCGGATCCCAAGTTCAGACGCGCGGGCTCCGACATCCTCTACACGGCCACAATCCCCATCACGACGGCCATGCTCGGCGGTGAGGTCACGGTGCCGACGCTCGACGGAGAGGTCAATGTCAAGGTGGCCACGGGCACCAACACAGGCGACAAGCTGACGCTCTCGGGCATGGGAATGAAGAAGCTCAACGGACGGAGGGGCGGCTCGGGAGACCTCAAAGTTGAATTCCGTGTCAACATGCCCAAATATCTCAGCGCGAACCAACGGACTCTGGTGGAGATGCTGGCGAACGAGATGGGTGACAAGACAGCCAAGAGGATCATGAACGTCACTCCCCAGGGGTGAGACCAGACGGACCCCTGAGGCGTAGCGACGTAGGCTTTTACTAACTTTCCGGCCTAGATCCCAACCAGCTTCGCCGGACGACTCTGAAAACCACAAGAATGAGGGATTCCTCAAATCCATGTGGCACACACTGACAAACCATCCCGCCCACCAGAAGGGCTCCGAGACTGACGCCAGCAAGTCTTCTGACGCCAAGAGCGACGAGAAGAAGGACGAGTCCAAGTAGGCCTCGGGCTTCGGCTCAACTTGAGGGGCGAGCGGGGGTTTGTATCATATCGGCCTCCGGGGGCGTGCGGCTTGCCTGCAGACATACGATAATCATAGACGGCGGAGGATGACTGCATGGAAGGTGTTCAAAAGGGTTGTTTTATATGATGCTTCAATCTTGTCCTTTTTTTAACGTCCTAGGCGTCGACAGAACGGGGTTCTCTAGAGAAAAGAAGCCCTTGCTTGTTTGGTTCAAAGAAAGCCAGACGATGCTTGTGTACTATTGGGAAGTGTACAATGTAGGTAGTATAGAGTCAAGGGGGGGAAGCGGAGGGAAGCCAGCTCCTGCGGAGGCCACTCACCTCAGACATTTGATAAAGACAGAATCGCCCAATCAATATCATGAAAGACGAGTTCATAACCAAAAGTTATCCGCACTTAGCTGCGAGGGGGGCTAAGGCGCCTTATTGTAATTGGGGTCGCGGTAGAGATCTGAGCGGTGAGCCGCCATGCGGCTACGAAAACGCGCGTTTGGCCCCTAGGATCCATCCGTCTGCGATTGTCATGTACCCCAGCGATGATGCGCAGAATGCTGGGTCTCCAGGTCGCAGAAACGGCCGCCCACGAAGATCGGATTGTCTTACAATGACAATAGGATCACCGGGTCCATCAGAGCATTGTTGTACTACAGTGTCTGAGTCTTTGTTTGAGTGAAAGAAAGAGGTACGGTGATGAATCAGCGAGGCTTGCCGAGGAAGAATAGTTGCCGGAGTACATCGACATCCCCGGGCCACACAACGGCGAGAATTCCACAGTTCTTGACCCTGCAGAGCGGGCCGTTCGGGTCAATACCTTGTTGCCCTTCCATGCCTTGGGCAGAGAGGGGTTCGGGATGAGGTTCTGGCCTCCCTTGTCACAGTCTGATGCTGCGGTGGGGTCGCGAAGCGCCAGCCAATAAAGGGTAGAAGACGAGGGGTAGCTCCTCGCATGGTCCGTCACCTGCATGACAGCGAGGGCCAATCTCGTTGCTTAGACATGGGCCGTCCGTTGAAGGCGATGGAGATGCTGGCGTTGTTACCGTTGTTGCTAGTGGTTGAGGGTGAGACTACTCGATATTATGTGTTCATGTTGCGCGGCAATCAATCTGGGAAGCTTATGATGAAGCCTTCTGGATGAGCAAACAGGCACGCAAGAGAGAAGCTATTGGAGATGTAGGTAGTGATTTGCATGTGTGCTTCCTGCAGCAGAGGTACATGATGTAAGCAGCAATGATACCGTGACGAGGAAGCGGTGCGGTCTGGCGGCCGAGTACGCAAGAGGATACGGGTGACGGAGGGGCATGCGAATTTCACGAGATGGGACGGCTCAAGCTGACTGGGTCGAACCGAACCGTCCAGACCTGCTGATAATTACCTGATACCCGATACCTGTGACTACCTTGCGAAGCTAAGCAAAGGTGGAGCGAGTGAGGAGGTCATGCAGAGATGGAGGAACGTCGCATCGGGTTGTCTCACTTGCTTCAGCGAAAGTCGATGGATAGGTTGTCCGGCCATGTCGACTGCTATTGTACTGACGTTGGGTGATGGATCTGGAGACAAACGGCTGAGGGGAGGTATGTGGTAATGCAGCTGTGTTGCTGAGTACATGCCGTCTTACTTATTTGCTGATAAAACAGGTAAGCCGATGGATTTGTTTTGATAACGGCAAAAGATTAACAGCGCGTAAGGTATGAGCCTCGCATGGTACCTAAGGTAGCATAGCTGCCCGACCACGAGTCTGGCCCGATGTTGAGAACCTTAGCTGCTACATTGCTTCCGGAACGTGATGGAAGATGCAGGAAGATCATCGGTCCACTGCAGGTCGGTCAATATTTGAAGGTCGTTGGAACGACTTTAGGGGCACTCGATACAATGGAGCACTGAGTCGGGGATCAAAAGACGAGGAGAAGGTTGATATCACGCCCACGGCAGTTAGTTGTGTTTGCTGAAGGAATATCCTCTTTGTTGCACCTGATCTGCCTACCTACCTACGGTACCGTAGGTAGGTACCGTAGGTAGCTATCTTTATCGAGTCAAGTGCCCGGGAGGTCCAGCTCCATCCAGCTTTGACAGACAACATCACCCAGCACCCCCGCTCAAAAGCCAGGCACATCCCCGGCCTCTGGTGGACAATAATCACTGCCTGGCGGCTACGTAAAACAGCCTAACGTATCCGTACCTTACTTACCTCTTTACAGCCCACGTTGCCCGCCAACGTCAACACCACGCCGACGGGAAGACCTCGATACCTTCCCCCAGCAACTCGGTCGGTACCTTGGGCGTTACAAGACCGAGAGACACCGCTCCTCCTCAACCCTCTTCACCTCCTCGTTTATTACTTGGCACCATCGGCATCTTTCCGGCGCTTCGTCCGCCAAACATATATCGCCAATTTCTGGTGCCGCCACCACGGCTGGAGACGACAAGAGTCACAGAAGAGCACGGGCAAGTCGAGACACCCTGCTCTGACGACGACAAGTAACCCGCCGACAGCTAAGGGCCTGCCCCTCATTAGGCCTCTATCAACTGCTTTATCCTCGCCTCATCAGGTCTCCCAGCATTATGACCTCACAGCAACACGAATTCGGGACACTTCTTCAGAAACAGTAGCCAAACCCTCACCAATTCGCAGTCGACTCCTCCATCGTGCCACCCATCTGCGGCACCATACCAGCATCCAAAACTACAACAAGGCCGGTCGCAGGACAGCAACCCGCCGCCGACGACGACGACGCCGCCACCGCACCTACGGTGTCTTCATCGCTGAGAACGAGAACTACCACTGTATAGTGCACCCTTGGGTTTTCCATCAGCACCGCCGACCGGCCTAGTCCAGTCTGCAGCAGCGGAAGCCACACCCACCTCTGTCAGATACGTACGTGCTGTACCTTACAGAGTACGTACTGCTTGTGACGGATCCTAGAGTGCACCGACGACTCCATCCCTCAATCGCCGCTTCCCGCCCCCACCCCGCACTACCTTACCTTACGCACACAACAGCACAAGACAGCAACCACCGACCGTCTTGACCCGGCGAGCTGCATTCGTCCACCTAGCTACAAGTTCCCGACGAAGGCCCCTTCCAACGAGGCCCCGTATGCCACCCAATCACCACAACATCTAAACAAGGCTGTCCGTCTGGAGAATATACCCTTCGAGCGAAGCACTGTCTCCAATCCACCGCCTGGGCCGGAAGCTCGCTCTCGTCTTTCAGAATGACGCAGTCGCCCATGATATCCTCGCCCCTCAAGGCCACGAACGAGATCGACTGGGTCACCCCGCTGAAGGATTACATCAGGAACACCTATGGCGATGATCCCGAGCGCTACGCCGAGGAGTGCGCCACCCTCAACCGTCTGCGACAGGACGTGAGGGGCGCCGGCAAGGACAGCACGTCAGGCCGCGACATGCTCTACAGATATTACGGCCAGCTCGAGTTGCTGGATTTGCGCTTCCCTGTCGATGAACAACACATCAAGATCTCATTCACATGGTAGCTACCAACCACTCAGCCCACGCGCTGTATTCGGACGAACTGACAACCGCCCCTCGTAGGTTCGATGCCTTCACGCACAAGTCGACAGCGCAATACTCCCTTGCCTTCGAGAAAGCTTCCATAATATTTAATATCTCCGCTGTCCTGTCATGCCACGCCGCACACCAGACGAGATCCGAAGAGTCGGGCCTGAAGGCCGCATATCACTCGTTCCAAGCTTCCGCTGGCATGTTTACCTACATCAACGAGAACTTCCTTCACGCACCATCCTCCGACCTCAGCCGCGAGACCGTCAAGACCCTTATCGCCATTATGCTGGCTCAGGCACAGGAGGTGTTTCTGGAGAAGCAGGTGGCGGACAAGAAGAAGGTGGCTTTGCTGGCTAAGCTTGCCAGCCAGGCGGCATACCTCTATGCGCAGGCAGTTGAAGGTGTCCAGGATAACTTCAACAGGGCCATATTTGAGAAGGTCTGGCTTCTCATGGTCCAGGTAAGATCTGTTCGCCCTGCCACCCTACCTTCCGACCTGGGCGCGCATTCAGTACGGGATCGAACTGACAATTGCAGGTCAAATCCAACCTCATGAACTCCATGTCGCAATACTACCAGGCGCTTGCCGATGACGAAGCTGGTCAACATGGCACAGCTGTTGCGAGGCTCCAACTTGCGGAAACGCAGGGAAAGGAGGCAAACCGTATCGCTACGAACTTTCCCAACTCGGTCCCCCCCAGTTCCAACCTCGGCGCGGAAACGGGTGGCTTGCTAGTCGAATTCTCAAAAAGACACTTGTCGACTGTGCAAGAGAAGCTCAAGGAATTGAGCAAGGACAATGATTTCATCTACCACCAGAATGTGCCAGCAGAGGCCAGTCTGCCGCCCGTTCCCAAGCTCCCAGCATCGAAACCGATTCCCGTAAGCGAGCTTTATGCCGGTCAAGACATCCAGCGAATCACCGGGCCCGATCTTTTCTCCAAGATCGTGCCCCTCGCTGTCACGGAATCGGCCAGCCTTTACGATGAAGAAAAGGCCAAGCTGATCAGGGCTGAGTCGGAGAGGGTCGAGATTGCCAACGGCGAGATGGCCGCCAGCTTGGATTATCTGAGATTACCTGGCGCACTTCAGGTGCTCAAGGGAGGGTTTGATCAAGAAATCCTGCCGGACGACGAATTCAGGACATGGTGCGAAGACGTTGCTGGACATGAAGATCCGACATCCATCTTTGAGACTCTCCGGACTGAAAAGGAGTACATCGTAAACACACTGGATAAGAACACGAAACAGTTGGACATGGAGGAGAGCGTGTGTGAGAAGATGCGATCGAAATACGAAAACGAGTGGACACAACAGCCGAGCTCGAGATTAACCACTACTCTGCGAAGCGATATCAGGAACTATCGAGAAGCGTTGGAAGAAGCAGCACGGAGCGACAACCAATTGGCAGCTAAGCTGAGACAAAACGAGGCCGACTTCGAGGAAATGAGAGCGGCTGCAGCACATGGAAACATTGACGCCCTATTCCAGCGTGCAGTAAGCAAGGTACGCGGGAAGATGAGCAATGCCGCGAGCCCTGCAGGCAACGAGAACCTCCTGGATATGGACTTTGACGAAGGAGGCCCGAGTGTCGTTGATCAGATCTACAAAGTGGAAGAGATCATGAAGAAGCTGAATCTGATCAAGAGGGAGCGCAATCAGGTGTTGAAGGACCTCAAGGAAAAGGCAAGTCTTACGCTGAGCGTAGTATGGAGCGAGATCTAACAAAACCAGGTTCACAACGACGACATATCGGAGATTCTCATTTTGAACAAAAAGTCGATTTCGAACTACGAATCCCAGCTTTTCCAGTCGGAATTGGAGAAGTTCCGGCCTTACCAGAACCGACTGCTTCAGGCCAACCACAAGCAGTCAGCGCTGATGAAGGAGCTTACGACTAGTTTCAACGCGCTGTTGCAAGACAAGCGCGTAAGATCAGAGCAGAGCAAGTACGAAACAGTACAGCGACAAAGGACTGCAGTTATGAATAAGTACAAGCGGGCGTATCAGGAATTTCTCGACCTGGAAGCTGGTCTGCAAGGCGCCAAGACGTGGTACTCCGAGATGAGGGAGACTGTGCAGAGTCTCGAGAAAAATGTAGAGACGTTTGTCAACAACAGGCGTTCTGAGGGCGCTCAATTGCTCAACAGCATCGAGCAAGAGCGGTCCACGCGCAAGGACTCTCATGCAGAACTGGAACGTGAACGTCTCCGGGGATTGATGGAACGTATGTCTATGGAACCGTCAGCAACCTCCCCCAACCCTACTTCGAATCGTCCCACGCCGTCGCCCCTGAATTTCACCAACTCCTCGACGCCGCGGTATCCTCAAACCAACTTTCAGGGGCAGTACCAAGTACCACAATCCCCTCCGGCCAACCAGCCGCAGCCGTACCCCGGTTTTGCCGCTCCTTCGACCACACAGTCGTACACGCCTCAACCAGCCAATACCTACGGACAGCCAGCGTATAACCCAAGCCAGTATGGACGCACGCCAGGTCCGACATCGCCGCCGCCTCATCAATCCACCTTTGGACCGACTGTCCTCCGCGGCCCTGTCTCTCCGCCTCCCACGCAAACGTCGTTCAATCAGGGTCAACCTTACGGCGGATTCCCAGGTCAGCAGCAGCAAATGCCTGCTGGTTTCGTACCACCGCCTCCCCCTCCCGGACCGCCGCCATTGGGTCCTCAGCAAACATTCTACGGCCAGCAGGACTACCAGCAACAAAACCAGCACAGCGCGTACCCGCCAAGCGCGCACCCACGTTCAGCTCAGCCGCAGCAAAACAACGATCCGTGGGCTGGGTTGAATAATTGGAAATGAGCCATTTCATCATTTGACGGGTTGATGCGACGGTGTGACGATTTCGGAGAACGTTTGAGCGGTACGGATGTGGAATGAGTTGTGCATGGACCTGGAGTCTTTGGAGTTGTTTACTTTATGCCCTTGAGGTACATGGACGTAAGATGGGGATGATGGGTGGCTCTACAGCCACAGAAGATCGTGACGAGCGGCTGACGGTTGAAGAAGGATGGATATGAGGACAGGGTGGCAATGACACGTGCGGAGGCAAACCGAGACTTTGGCAAGTCTCACATCCTGAATAGACAAATGACCATGATTTGGTTTTCGCACATTGAAGTATTCCTGAGACCGCCGACTGTCCTGCCCTAGAAGAATAGCGGTGTCAACGATAGTGTAGAAGTGTCAGCCTTTGTGATGATTATAGCCGTGTGGCCGTAAGCCTCGACATTATTGTGCCCAAGCAAAGCGCATTGCGTCTGCTAGATGCCACGTGCTCGTGACGTCCGATCACACCACGAAGAAACATACGTTGAAAGGAGTAGCTTGAAATATATATTTTTCTCACTGTTATCGCGCACCCAAAGTATCTAAAACGATTCAACGCGAGAACCCGTCTGCGTATCCAAACGACGGCCGTTACGGACTGATCCATCCCCTCCCAGGCTCGTCTGATGCATGCTTGTTGTCTGTATATGTATATATATATATATATGTAATGCTCGAAACCTACGACAGGGCCGACTTTCCGAGGGGAAATAAGAGATGCAATGCCTCGTCGTCGTCGTCGTCGGTGGGACGGAGCCCCCTCTCGATCTTCACTGCTCCCCTGGCTGAGCATGATAGCAGCCGACAATCTGCACCGAATGCTTGCTTCCTCGCTATGCTGTGTTCCTCTTTCTTACCCGTCTTGATCATGTCTCAAATTAACATTTTACTCGTTCTCTGCTGCGATGCAAATCTCGGAGGACGCCGGATAATCAAATCTTTCAAATTCGAGGGGAAAACAAAACATAGTGCTCATGCTTCGCCCCAAGCCTTCGCCGCCTCGGCGGCTTCTGTCGTGGCCTTTGTGTCCTGGACGGGTTCTTCTTCGTCGTCTTCGGATTGTGCTTGTTCTTTTTGCTCATCTTTGGTGGTGGTGGTGGAAGTAGCAACAGTCGTGGCTTGAGGGGTTCTCTCGTCCTTGTCTTTCTTAGGCTCAGTGGCGTCCATCTGGACGCTTCCCTCCCCGCCGTTTACCTTTGTATCGATACTCGCCTTCGCTACCGGGGTCTCGACGGCAGCGGGAGTCGGTCCGTTCTTGGACTGCGGTCGGCGTTCCCTCTCAGGACTGCCAGGTGCAGATTCCACCGTCCCCGCCGAAAACAACGACTCCGTGTACGAGTCCTGCGTCAGGGGACGGAAATCGTGGTTGCTGGTGCTGTTCCTCTCCTGAACCTTCTTATCGTTCGTCTCCGTCCCGAACGACGAGGTAGAGGCTCTCGGGTCCTTCTCGCCGCCATTCTTACTAGCGTCCGTCTTGGATTTGCCCCATCCCCTACCCCAACCGCCGTATCCTCCTCCGCTATTATTGCTGCTCGTGCTGTCCCTGTTGCTGCCAGCACCGCCGCCGCCGCCGCCGCCGCCCCAGCCCGCTTTGCGCTTTTCGCCTGCCCAGGTTACCCAAGAGCTAACATACGCCCCGGCTTTGGACTGACCAGCTCCTTGCGGTTTGGTGGCCTCCGCAGATGTTCCCACAGTGGGCGAAGCAGCCACACTGCCGGCCTTCTCGGCCTGCGCCGCGGCCTCACGCTGTTCCTCGGCCCGCTTCTCGCGGAACGCCTCCATGTCCGCGTAGAACTTGTTGAACATGGTTGACGCCTTCTCCTTTCCAGCAGCGAAATTCCGTCCCAGCACTTCCTTTCCCACGGCCAAGCGCTCGTCGATGTGCATATCTTGCACCTGCTGCGCGATGCGCCTCTGCACGTCGTCGATCGTCAAGCCGCCCGCGCAGGGGTGCCGCGGCTCGATGATGTCGAACAAGTGAGAGTCGGTATTGGCGTTCCAGATGCGATGGTTCTCGGTCCGGATCCAGTAATCAATGAAGTCGTTGCCGAAGTCGAGTGAGGGATCGCCTTCAATATGCGGAAGCAAGGCGCGCGGGTTGTTTGGGTTCGCTAACAGATGGGCGCGGTACTTGACTGAAGAGAGGAGGGCAAGGATGTACTCTTGGAATTGTAAGCGGATAAACTCCTCGCTGCCGACGTAACCCATGGTCTTGGGGCGTCCCGGGTTGGCCTCGTCCCACGTTTCGTTGACTTCATTCGTGAGGTAGTCAATCCATCGGCGGTCTGCGGCCGAGAGGGCGAGGGCGTTGCGGAGGGAAGTGGACGTGACATTAACTGTATGTTCGTCAAGGTTGATGAGAATATCGCTATAACGGTCTTTTTGCTGGAGTAGGAGGGAGTTTGTGCTGCCGACAATGTATGACTTTGTCCCGAAATCGGCGAGAATGTCGAGCTGTTGGAGGGGAGTGTAGGGGCCGAACAAACTGCCCTGGTGATTATTAGCCCGGTCTCGAGAGGGTAAGAGGCGTATGTATAGCGCACCTTGCCAAAGATTTGAAGTGGCAGGCCCATGTAAGTGAGCAGAGAGTTACGATCACTCGTGCGGCAGCTCGTCGGTCTTGTCAAATTCTTCTCGTAGTTGTTCAGCTCCGGGTCGGCGCAGTCGATCAGATTACGAATAAGACCGGGTATCAGAGTAATTAGAGAAAACTGCATCATGCATAAGCGTTCACACCGGGAACCGAAAAAGAGCATCTAAAGCTGTCAGTATATGTGCCTGCGCCGTATCCATGCTACTCACCTTTGGCTGCAACAAACAGCACTTGAATAAAACCAAAGTCTGCCACCTGAACTCGCGCACCAGCTCCCTCAAATTCATGCCGAGATATTGGTCGCGACTCTCCTCTTCGGTCAGCAAACCGCGCTCCTTTTCCTCGGCAAGGCTCTCCTGGAAACGGCGCAGTATCTCGGTGTCAGTGAACTCGCGTTGTGCGAACCAGGCTTGAGTAACGACGCTGAGGCGCTCGCGCATCATGCCAAAGTGCTGCGGGGTGTCGGCGATCACGACGACGGCCTTCTGAACCGTCGAGCGGGTCACGTCGGCGGGGCGGTTGAGGAGTTGCGAGGCGTCGAGCTGTCGCGTGCACGAGATGCCAAAGAGGGAGGTTGCGGGTTCCGAAGCGGTCGCAGGACGGAGGAGAGTAAAGTAGGAGAAGTCCTCGCTCGATCTGCTAGCTGTGAGCTTCTGCTCGGTATCGCACTGAGGTCTGTAAAAGATTCCCCCAGAACATGGAGTTTACTCACAAATGCGCGCCATCACTCAAAGCCATGAACGGTAGCAATCCCCAGTCGTAGTCGGCGGCCGGATCGCTTCCCTCGGGCACACCAAACCACATCTCTACCTCAGGTCCGCGGGCATGGTGGAAGTCAACGACCGTGACGAGTGGTATGAAGCCTGGCTTCGCCGGGGTCGACGGCACAGTCAGCGGCGTGGCTACGCCGGACGTAGGCGTCGCGACCTCGGGAGTATCCATGTTGTGTGCCTCCTCTTGTTTTCCCGTCTTCCTGTCGATGTCTGCCCTGTCCACGACGCAGTCTACGTCGGATCAACAATCTCGGCGAGAGTGGCCGAGAAGGGCTCTGATTCAATGGCACCAGAGCTCTCAGTGTGTGTTTTCTGCTCTCCTTGGCGCGACTCGGCCCACTACTATGGCTTTGCCATACACGGAGTATGCCACCTCGGTTCCTTTTTTGCAGTTCGCTTCGGGTCGGGCCCCCCTTTCGACAAGTCCGCCGCACGTTTCGTCGCAAATTCGGGTTCGACGTTTTCTTCGGGATTGCGCCGCTGTCAGCCTTGCCGTGCGTGAACGCTGTTCGTCCCTCTCCAAGATAGCTTAAGGAACTGGTGCCCTTTTCCCCCCTACTCCAAAGAACCCCAACGTGAGGGGTTGGCTAGCTTGGCTGGATTTTTTGTTCCGACGTAGCATTCAGTGTCGGCGACTGAGAAGAGGGTCGGTAATGGGACACAGGTATGCGTGTTAGGAGGTTGTGTGTATCCAAAGATAAGTTGGCGGGGGCGGGTTGATCGTTTTCTAGGGTGACAGCGACCGAAAAGTGTAGTGCGCTCGCGGAAATTGACTGCAATCGATTCTCCTTACACGCTCTCTTCTCTCTCTCGAAGCAATCGGGGTTGCCGGTGCAAGAGTCGGTCGGTGGGCGAGGTCTTGGTCGGGGCAGGTTGCAAGTCGCAAGAGCGGTGACGAAACGTCCCTTTCAACCAGCGCGCGTGCTGCTACTGCGCGCGCGTGTCGATGAGCTGCGAAAGTCGGGGGTCGCACCGGTGGCAGTCCCACGTCGGTGATTCGTAGGCCAGGCTGGCGAGCGCTTGAACGAATTAGGGAATGGGGATTGGGGAATAGGTGGCAGCTAGCTTATACGAGAATCGAATCGCAAGACGAGGATGCAAAGCTGAAGGGCGAAAAGTTCGCCTCTTCCAAGCGGAGGGGGAAGGATGGAGTTGTGAGTAAAGGAAGTCGAGGAGACATGCCTCCGTGGTGGACGGCAAGGTAGGTAGGTGTTTGCAGTACCTCGTCAGTCTTGCCAAAGGGTCGATGGATAAGAGGCGAGATTGGACATTGCGAATGAGAGGTGGGTTGATGCGTTGTTGAATTAGCGCTCATGCATAGGGTAATACTCTATTACCAACTTCCACTCTTTATTTCACTTCCCTAATTTTCTCCTTTGGCCATTACTCACGAGGCCCCCCGAGTGGTCAGTCAGTACATCTCAGGGAAATTTTCGTGCAATTGTATGTATTATCGTCCCACTTAGAGGCACGGGTCAGGGAGTCAGGGATTCGGCAACACAAACAAAACCATTGATATTAATCGTGAACCCCGCGGCAATCTGGGAATAATTCTAGACTCGAACAAACCGCGGGCAAGTGCCGGGGGCCCTGCTTCGAACGGTGACATGATATGTCTGGAAATCACGTGTGGTGAGACCAACTCAGGGTCACTGCTTGGCACGGCCCGGTCGCTGCCACCTGTCAGTTTTGGGGAGAGTACGGAGGTACCTACCGGTTGAACATCTTGGGCGGTGTTAAATCTCGAATGGTGATCTCTCTTTTCGTGTCAACACTACTTGAGTGCATCACGTGTGCCTCACACGAGAGCAATGGTTTCAACAACAAGAGCAACTGTTTCAACAACAAGAGGCTTCAACTCTGCCATCTATTCAGCAATTCTCGCCCCCAACACAGCGTAGCGCCAAGGGCCGACCGAGCTACACCGATATCCGTTTCCGTACACGGTCCACGATCCACCACAGAGACACGTCAACCATGCACGGAGCACCGACCACCTCCACCTCAAGCCGCGACATCGTCCTTCCGCTGCTGAGGAAGTCGGGAAGGATTCGTCAGAAACAAAACCGCAGTCTTCTCGAAGCAGCCAACCACCGGAGTCAACTCCTGCTGGCTTTGGGCGGGGGAAAAGCCAAGGAAACCTCGGAGAGGCAAACTGCTTGCTCCCCCAAGAAACATCGGAGGCGAACAAAACACGTACACCCGCAACAAAAGCGCACCGCCAGCGTGTCCTGCATTGCATGAGCATGAACCTTGGGATGGTATTCCCATTGAACTCGCCCATTGAAGTCACCTCAGCTCCTTGCCCCTGCCGTCCGTCCCATCTCACCTAATGTTACCTCCGCGTACTAGTAGGTAGATATGGGCTGCTGAAAGAATCTGGCATCCCCCTCTCCCCCTCACCGTACCCTCCATTACAGATTCGCGACTGTCTGTTTTTGCCATTGCTTGGTCAGCCCGGTTCCCATCAACTTTCGATAGAAAATATTGCTCAAGGTTGTCGTATGGCGTATATAGCACTTCGATATGATTGTGTTTGTTCGTTGAGAGAGCGAGAAATTTGTGATCGTGGTGGTCGGCGCCACATGCTGTGCAACCTAGATATCCTCCCACATATCCTCCTGCCTTACCCTTACCGCGACGCGACCAGATTGAGATCGGGCGGCGTTGATTTGGTATCAGTCATCCCAGTACGGAGAGCGTGAGACACTATTCGTCCTATTCGGCGTAACTTATCTCTTTTCATTGTTTCTTCTATTTTTTTTTGGTCGTTATTCTCTACCGGCGTGTCCCCGTCACCATCAACCGCTCGTCGGGCATACATCGTAAAAGCCCCTTCTGGTAACCGTTCTGAATGGCTGTTCGTGTTCGTTCGGTATGCAATCGGCCGATGCTCATATCCAGGGCCTCGAAACCCCCTTCACCACCACCCTCATGCCGCGGGCTCTGATCTAACACAGTCGAGGGAATTCCAAGAGAAAAGAGAAAAGGAAATGCCGTTGGAACATGGTTGAAGAAAACCCAAGAAAAAGAAAACACCTCCTAGATGCATGCCATTTCCTTTATCGCGTTTACTGTTGGCCCTCTGCATTGTGTCAACGTTACAAAAACCGAACCCGTCTTCCGAACACCAAGGCAGTGTGTGAATGTACTGAAAACACGTCCCATCTGGTTCTGCGTGGTATCATAGCCTCCTCGCCCCTGTTTGTCCTCGCTTGCGTTGACGTCTATTGCCCGTTGAATTGTTCTTCCATCTGCTCCATCTGTTGCGCTGACGCGTCCACGTTGTGATAGTCGAGGATCTCAGAGTACCTGCGCGGGCCTGTTAGCTTGTGACCGTGTATCAAACCGGAACTCTGCAGACATACATCATGATCTTCCACGTGTCAACTGGTAGGTCAGCGTCGTTGAAGCTCCAGTCGAACTTCTCCTCCGCGACGGGCTCGTCAGTGGGGTCGTGGTAGGGGGAAAGGTAGTCGTGCGAGAGCGCCTCCGTGGCTGTTATTCTCTTCTTAGGATCGAAGACCAGCATCCTCTCCAAGAGGTCAATGGCAGAGGGATCAGCATTCTTAAATTTGTTCTTCAGCGGTTGCCTCTCGCGCTTGGGGAGCGACTTGACGAAGCGGAGGGTCTGTTGCAACATTAGCTGAGGATCCATCAAAACACGCCATCTCCACTCACGTTTTCACTCGCAATGGTGTTGATGACATCATCGGGAGGAGTGCCAAGCAGTTCGGTGATGATGGAGAACTGGTTGACATGGTCCTTTCCAGGGAAGAGAGGCTTGCCCTCCAGCATCTCAGCGAAGATGCATCCCGCACTCCAAATATCGACCTCGACGTCGTATTTTTGCCATGTGAGCATGATTTCGGGGGCGCGGTAGTATCTTGTTGAGACGTAGCCGGTCATCTGGGGATCCTGGATACGGGCCAGGCCGAAGTCGCAAATCTTCAAATCGCAGTTCTCGTTGACCAGAATGTTGCTGGGCTTAAGGTCGCGGTGAACGACACCGGCCGAATGGACATACTTCAGACCGCGCTGTGATTCTGTCAGCACGTGTGCCGGGGTCATGAACTGCGAGGGGGTCGAGAGCGTACCATAATCTGATAGAGGAAGTACTGGATGAATTGCTTCTCCAGAGGCCTCGAGGTCAGCAGCCTGTGCAGATCGGTGCCGAGAAGCTCTGTGACGAAATAGATGTCCTCCAGAGGAGAAATGAAGATGTCGCTAAGGGAAATAACCTGGATGATATCAGCGATGGATGCTCACGCGTCAGTGCCGTCGGCGGCCAAGACGTACGTTCTCGTGCCTGAGGTGCTTCAGCAGCTTAAGCTCTCTGTATGTGCGCTTGGCTAGCACGGGCGTGCTGAAGGGCTTCATGATCTTCTTGACGGCAACATTTTGGTTGGTGAGCTGGTCACGGGCGGAGCTGGCCGCGGGAATGCATGTCAGCAGGAGGACGTGAGGATCGCAGCGGCAATGGCAGCGACGAAGACGGCTCGCAAACTAACCAAACGAGACCGAAGGCGCCCATGCCCACGGGTTGCAAGTCCGAGTACCTCGAGGTGATCTCAAAGGTGGTACCGAAAATCTGTGCTCTGATGAATTCGGCCATTTTGTGCGATGGTCGATCTTCGCGATCGTGGGTGAGTCTGGTTGTTGGGAAGCTGACCGAGCGAACGAACGAGAAGGAGGAGGATTCGCCGGTGGGTGAAAGAAGGGCGTAGAAAGGATTAAAGAGTTGTGAGGGGTGGTGGAGTAACGAGTACAGGCCCGGGCGGGTGTCGGGAGATCGACGATGAGATTATGCTCCTTCTGCGCTTGTTGCAATGATGAGGGAATAAATGGGCAAAAATGAACAAGTCGATAGTCGAGGAGAGCGGTTTTCGATGGAGAGATGCTGCGTTTAAAGCGCGATGTGCAGCTTGTCCGTCTGGCAAGAAGGATGGGGAGGATGGTAGGCGGAGGAGTTGGCTGGGTTTGAGAGAGGAACCAGTGACGGCGGGGAGGAGCGAGCGAGCGAGCTTCAAGGAATTGTTTCGCAGGAGGGGCGGCTGCAGGGCGGGGCGTCCACGTCCAGTGTAAGGTAGGTGAGAGGTGAGGTAAGGAAGGTTGAGTGTCCAGCCCGAAAGAGGTTCTGGTTTCTGGTTTCTGGTTCTGGTTCTGGTTCTGCCCTGGGTTGAGGACCGGAGCGAAGACAGCGGGGTAACGAAGGTCGGAGGTGGCAGCAGCAGCAACACAAGCTAAAGTGCACGTACGGATACGTCTGGTTCTGGCTCTTGTCTGTGGCTCTGGCGTTTTTTTTTCTGCTGGGATCTGGAGCAACCTAGGCACTGTGGCGACGGGATTAGCGAGACTTCTTGCAAGGAATCGAGCAGCAGCTTGGTTAATGGCAGCGGGTAGCAGCAAGGGTGCGACTAGAGGCTGCGAAACAGAATTAAGCAGGCCAAAAATCTGGTTTTTCTTCTTCTATGTTTTGTCCGTCTCTGACGTTTTACCCTTTCCGTTGTCTACCTATGTATGTCTTCTGTTTGCCTGTGGCGGCCAGCTGGGAAAACCATTTTTTATGCAGACAAAACGTAGAGCACACCAGACAACGATACCACGGCGGTTTTTTGGGGTTTTTTTTTTGGTGGTGTTTTGGGGGAATTGGGCAGTGTGATTGATACTGAACATGGGCAGTTTTGGTAGAGAAGCTTACCTGCACAATGACCTGGTCAGGTTATTATCCTCTGAGTCTTCTTCTTTGAAACTGCTCGAATCAAAGGCCTCTTCTCTTCTCTTGTGTATGCCGCAACTGTCCGTCGGGTTCAAGTCCGGGCGGTAGACGCTCAAACCAAAAGGTGGCCGTGGCCGTGGGAGTGGCGGTTGCACGTGGAGAATGCAGGTAGCAATCGGCACGGATGTCGATCAGTCGTCGTCGTCGTCGTCGTCGTCTTGCTCTCTTGTTCGCCGCCGCGGTGAAGGGACACAGAGGGAAATGCAGTTGAGAGGTGGATCTGCAACAGCTCGTCGACAGGGTGAAATGTCGTCCTGATATCCGCCCTTGGATGTTCCTTCGAGGGTAGTTCTCGTGTCGTCCCTTCTTCTAGACACAAGATTACGTGTTGGCCGTAGAGATGATGAGTTGGATTCGTTTTTGAGTGAGGATGAGAGAGTGAAAGGTCGAGCAAGAGCAGAACGGGACTGAGCTCACTCATATGGGTGTGGAGGGGAAAAGTACATTTAAATTGTTCCAGAAAGGCCTGGCCTAGGAAGGTATCACAACTTAGCGGAGCGCATGGAGGGGTGGGGGGAATTGAAGTGGAGGGGAAATGGTGAAGGAAGGCAGGAGGGGGGTGTGAAGCGAGGAAACCTGGACACGAAAAAGACAGGAGCTCCAACCTACGGCACAAGAAAACGCTGAAGCATACGGTGCCTACCTCAGGTACCTAAGGTAAGCACCTACATATATCTGCCCCGCTCTCACTGGCCCTCGAACTGAGAAAGTAGAGACTTGACGATATGCTCAGTATAGAAAAGAACAGGGCGGGGAGGGGCGTGTCGAGAGAGGAGCTGGAACGGTGACTTGTTCCGTAGCAAGGTACCTTGCCTTACCTGATAATACGACAGTAAGGCAAGGAAGGTCAGCTCTGGCTGGACGGAATGAAGCTTAATGGGAACGGTTTCTACCCCCAGCATGAGGTGGGCGAAAGTAACTCGGAGCAACACACAAGAATTACTGATAATGTCCAATGAGGAGGGAGTCCAATACCAGGTCAGAGGGGAGAGGAGGAAAACGTCCGAGGAATTGGATCGAGAAACCGACTCGCGGGAGAAGCAAACATCAGGCCGTTTTCGACTGTCTAAAGTTGTTTCTCTTCCTCCATCTAAGGTATGTCGATCCCACGAGCCTGAGCCTGAGCCTGAGCCTGAGCCTGAGCCTGAGCCTGAGCCTCGGCCTCTTGTTGAATACCCTCTGCTTGGGCTGGGAAAGTGAGAAACATGAGATGGAAGAAGGAAATGATTGACCAGTCGTCGCTAACGCGACAGCCATCCAACGCCGCAGAGGCATGTTAAGCAGACATGTCACTGAACCGCTGCTTGGAATGGTTTGAGCATCAGCGGCACTACTACGGTAATACCCAATTCCCCTCCAGCCCGCCATGGGAGCGCCCCCGAAAAGGGTGGGAATTTGCAACAATGCCATCTTCGTCTTGTTCGTTCTCTTCCTGCGCAGGTGTCTACGGGTTCAGATGAGTGGCTGGCAAAACTACCTTTGCATCGTATTTGAATCTTCTGGATAGCGTCCTTCGAGACATGTTGGCCCCCTTCCACGCATCCCACCCAGCCATAGCCCCTTACCAGAAAGGTCAAATGTCCACCATGAAATCTCAAAAATGCCATGTTTTGCTCGACGCACTTTCACCCTCCGCTTATTCTCTCCAATGCCTACCCAGCCAATCCAAACCAGCCCCCCGTCAATATCGATGTCGATGTCGATGCCGATGCCGATGCCACCACCACCACCGCCGCCGCCAGCCCCGAGCCCAGACGGTGAACGGCTCGCAGTTCACGGTTCTGCTTTTACGGTAAGATCAAATCGCATATGCACACCCTCCTGAGGCCGCTCCAGGGTTATCCCCTTGCAATTTCACCGGCCGATCAACGTCTCTTTTCCAGCATCAAGCCTCAACACCACACCCTTCTTTTTTCTGTTAAACCTTTGGCAAGTCATTGTTGACTTTTCTCTACGTCCTAAACAGACGTCCGAGTGCAATTCCCACAGACGATCACTGTTTTACACGTGTATTTGACACGGCAACACCGTTCCTGTGCGATAGCGCCGCATAACCAACACCACATGCCGTGCCCGCGCCGGTTTCTTGGTCAAGATCGCTAGTCGCTCACCGCTGGTGGATGCCACGCATATCCAAGTCGCATCCAATCCGCCGTGTAAGGGGCACCGGACTCATTCCCGGCCGTCCAACCACGAAACCCCAACGACAGCGGGGTTTTGGAGGGTTTGTGCGCTTTACACTACGAATACAGCCTTCTGGTTCTGCTGCCGCCTGAGAGGGAGAGGGGGAGAGAGAGAGAGACAAGCTCCCAAAAACCCCACCTGGATAAATGACGTCATGCCGCGATTCCATCGAGATGGCTGGCGTGGGATGCGCTGCGCGCTACGGGATTTCTGCGCTGTCGTCGCCTGCCCGCCCCAGAATTAAAGAAAGGAAAAAAAAAAAAAAAAAAAAGGTAGAAGGGCACCTAGCTGAGGAAGGAGGGGAGGGGGGGGGCGTGTGTCCTCCTCCCGCCCCTGCCCCGTCCTAGCTCTGGCGTTTTCTAGCGTTTCCCTTTTCCCCTTAGCGTTCCGAGCCAGTAACCAACTAGCGGCTCACCGTCTAAACGTCAGAAACCTCAGAAGCACTATCTCCAAGCAGGTATCTTTTCAACAGCCCACATAGCAGAAGAGGACCTCGCACACAATAACCATCCTCGATCCATATTCCAAGCTCTCTCTCTCTCCTCTCTAACCGAACATCGAGATGGCAGCGAGGATCGAGAAAAACCGAAGACGGCGCCCCTTCCAGCCGGTCCAAGGATGTGTCCCATACCCAAACTCGGCATCTTACTGGCTCTTTCACCGTAAACCCTCTCCTCTCTCTGACAGATTTTCCTTTCCCACGCTTCATCGGCGCTCCAGGCTCACAGCTCCAGAGAAATCCCGTCACGAGTCCCCGTGGATCTCGTCGAGAACCCCCCCAACAGAACAGCCGCATGTTCTAGCCCGGCCTAATTGTGCCAGTCCAGCGCATTACCTGCTCTAGCTAGACATATCTCCGCAAACCCGCAACCTCACCTCAAGTCTCTCGATCAAGCGTCAGGCGGCCACCCGAACGAAATAGCCAAATCGCCTCCATGGTGCATGGGTTGGAGAGGGAAAAGGATCCCAAACTAATGAGCACTCCCCCAGCTGACCGAATTCTTTGGCTTTGGGTGGCCTCGGCCAAATCAATCGAGATTCGCTGGATCCCCTTTCAACAATGCCGTGTACATTTCCATGGCTCAAGCACCGTCCGTGACCGTGGCCCCAGTCAAGTTCACAAATCGTCGATTGCCACAGTCGATATTCACGACCCTCCTTGGCTCCGTTCCGGCCACTGGTGTTGCGCTCCGTTCCGCCAACCGTCTTCAGGACGATACCACATTACCTTATGCTGAGAGACACGGAGCAAGGCACCTTTCGGATGTACCAACGATCGGTCCGTACGTAATCCTTCGGCGTCTCCTCCGTCCGGCCAACCCGCCCGCCCGCCCTGCCTGCCGCCGCCGCGTACCCCCGGCCCACGCCCAACTCATCCCGCCCAGATCATCAACAAGTTTGCGTTCGACGCCCGTCATGATGGAGTTCCCATCGCGACATACTATGATACGCCCCCCATGTATGCCCTGGCAAAGTTTGCCAAGCTGGGAAAGGGGCCCGTCATCCAAGATCCAACCCGAGTGGCTCCCCTTATGGCTCGTGGCCCCAGGGTTCAACCTGTAAGTCATGCTCTTCTGGCGATACTATCCCGAGCTGCAGGATACACAGGAATAGCTCGCAGATGGCACCGTCCGTAACACCAACAAACTAAAACTTCCGTCCACCCAAAAAAGCACCGTCCGGGAAGGACCCTTCGAAGACCCTGAACTCTCTCGCCTTCTCCCGAGTCCCGCGTCCTGAAGATCAAATCTGCACCACACTACACTACCGTATCCCGCCGTGCTGGTAGTCGCCAACAAAGGCACACACGCCATTCTATCACGCCCCGCGCAAGAGTGATCACAATCCCACGGCCACGGCGCCAGGAAGCGCGATAAGGGCCCCAAAAATGCATAGCGTGAAGCCTCATCAAGACGCCGTCAACGCCTTGCCGCAGACCACGAGACTCCAGAAACATGTCTTTCCACATGAAGACGACGACGACGACGACGACGATGACAACGACAACCACGGTAACTGCCACCGTCTCCATCACCCTCACCGTCACCTCAACTGACTCTTCGACGCGTCCACATCCAAAATAACCTCACCGCACGAATCAGTGTATTACAAAGAACATGCAGTGTAGTGTACCGTACCCTTCGAATCCCACATAAAACAACCAGGGAAACTCCACCACGGCCTCCGTTCCGTTGCCGGCCGGAACACCAACCTTGTTCGCGTACTGCCTCGACCGACTGACTTTTCAACACCGTGTATTCCATCCCCATCTTCCTGCGTATCTTAAAATCTCCAAGGGTCCCTTTTCTTGCAGCGTGCCTGGCATTCCTTCCCTCTGATGTCATCCTGCATCTGACAGGGCTAGTTGCCTTGGTCCCTTGATTTTTTTCCCCCAACCCTTTCGTCGTCACTTCCCGCTCGACCAAGACCCTGCCTCTCTGCCTGCTCCTGGAGTATCCAGATTCCAAGAACCCAACGCCTCCCACCTCCGGACATTGTGCCCCGGCAGCCCAGCCCAGCCCAGCCCAGCCCGCCTGCATCTTGTGTATCGTGACAGCTTGGACGCATTGTGTGGCTCACTCAGTACGTGCCTCTGCAGTACACCACATACTCGACGCCGTATCCCGTCCCGCAGACGGAGTCTGGAACCTGCACGACGTGCGGCATCGATGGGAAAAAGCGAACAATACCGTCCGCAATCTGACTGACCGCCTCTCCCAAGACTCCAACGGGGCTTCAGGAGGCTCCCAAAAGACTCAAACTGCCATGGTACCCGCTACGCTGGCTGAATCTGCCCGTGTCATCCTGAAGTGGATTCCACGTCATCACGGACGACGTCTACTTTGCGGCATAATTACGTCATTGAAGCTAGATCTTGCCCCGCTGTTGCCGACCCCTGCTCAAGTATTGGCAACGTTCACGTTCGTCCGGCTCCAAACGAACCGTTTCGGCCTCAGCCCACTGAATCGTTTTGGAGGCGCGACTCAGGCTTTACACACCCGTCCTCTTGTTCAAGTTGCATCGGACACGATAGTCTCAGCGTTCGTAATTGGTCTTTGAATACTGAATAGCCTATACAAAGAAGATACTATCTAGCACTGATGTTTCTGCAGCGCCTTCCTAGGAATAAAGTGCAGTAGGTACTTTGGTCTGTCCACGCCATACCTTTATGACCCGGTCTGTCTCGTGTATCCCATGTCTTCGTCTATTCGTCAACCTTCAGAGGTTCAACGTTCCAGATTTCCTCTGCGTACTCGTTGATGCAACGATCACTGCTGAAGAATCCCATACGGGCCACGCTCGTGATGGACTTGGTAATCCACTCCTCCTGATTCTTGTATGCTTCGTCGACGAGATGGTGGGTCTCGATGTAGCTGTTGAAGTCGTCCGAGACGAGGTAGTAGTCTCCATGGTCACGAACAGCTGAGATCAGGGCGTGGAAGTCTGACGGCGAGCCGAAGGTGCCCTTTTCAATCTCGGAAAAGACCTTGGCGAGATTCTCGTCGATCGAATGCGATCCGTATGTATGGGTGTGGCGGAGATCCTCGACATCTTCGGCCAGGTTACCGAAGAGGAAGATGTTGTTCTCGCCAATCTCGCGCGTGATCTCGATCTAGTCTGGTTTCAGCATCGATCATCAACAGCTACCGTCGATTCGGGTTACTTACGTTGGCACCGTCGCAAGTGCCAATGATGAGGCCACCGTTGAGAACAAACTTCATGTTGCTGGTACCCGAAGCCCTAAACTATGTCAGTGAAGCTCAGTCCCGGATCTCGACGTCTACTCACTCGGTGCCGGCGGTCGAGATGTGCTCGCTGAGGTCCGAGGCTGGAATGATCATCTCGGCCTTGCTGACGTTGTAGTCCTCGAGGAAGATAACCTTGAGGAGATCACCAATGTCCTCGTCCTTGTTGACGACAGAGCCGACGTTGTTGACCAAGTGAATAATCTGCTTGGCCATCCAGTAACCAGGAGCAGCCTTGCCACCAAAGATGGAGACCCGCGGCGCCACCTTCTTACGGTCCTCGGGCGACATGGCCTTGAGAGTCAGGTATCGATGAATGACTCCAAAGATGTTCATCTGTTGACGCTTGTACTCGTGGATTCTCTTGACCTGGACGTCAAAGAGCGCGGCGGGATTGACGCTTACGCCCGTAGTGTTCTTAATATACTTGGCCAAGCGGACCTTGTTGGCGTACTTGATCTCGGCCCACTCCTTGCGGAACTCCTTGTCCTCGACGCTGAGCTCGAGCTTGTTCAACTGCGTGAGGTCCTTCAGGAACTCATGACCGCCAGTCTTGGAGGCGATGAGGTCAGACAGGCGAGGGTTGGCCTGGTGCAGCCAGCGTCTCGGAGTGATGCCATTTGTGACGTTGGTGAACTTGTCAGGGCCGTAGATGTTGACAAAGTCCTTGAAGATGGTGGTCTTGATCAGGTCCGAATGCAGCTCAGCCACGCCGTTGACCTTGTGAGAGCCGACGATGGCCAAGAAAGCCATGCGGACCATCTTCGGTTGCGATTCTTCAATGATCGAGACCCTGCCCAGGATATCACGGTCATTGGGGAACATCTTCTCAACACTCTGGAGGAAAAACAGATTGATGTCGTAGATAATCTGCAAATGTCTGGGAAGCAGGTGCTGAACCAGACCGACTGGCCACTTCTCCAATGCCTCGGGCAGGACGGTGTGGTTGGTGTAGCCAAAGGTGGCAGTGACCAGGTTCCAAGCCTCGTCCCAATCGAGCTTCTCCAGATCAACCAGGATGCGTTGGAGCTCGACAATGGCAAGTGTAGGGTGGGTATCGTTCAGCTGAATGGCGACCTGGTCGGGGAACTCCCTCCAGGGGCGTCGAGACTTCTTGAAGCGGCGAACGATGTCGTAGAGTGATGCGGCCACCCAGAAGTACTGCTGCTTCAGACGAAGCTCCTTTCCTCGTTCGAGGTTGTCATTGGGGTACAACACAGCACTGATGGTCTCAGCCCGCTGCTGGTCGGCCACAGAATTTTCGTAGTCACCGCTATTGAACTTCTGGAAGTCGAATTCGCCGCTAGCAGCCTTGCTAGACCAGAGGCGCAGGTTGTTTGTGGAGGGGGTTGCGTATCCCGGAATAGGTACGTCGTATGCCACGGCAGTAACGTTTTCACCGCCCTCCCAGCTGGCAATGGTCTTGCCGTTGGAGTCTGTCGACTTCTGAACGTGGCCATAGAATTGGATCTTGAAGGGTTAGCATGCGTCCGAAACCATGTTCAACCGGCGTGACTTACATCAACAGTCACATCGTGGCGCGGGAACTCCCAGGGGTTGAAGTCAAGCCAGTAGTCGGGAACCTCTACTTGGTAGCCGTCGATGATCTCCTGTTTGAAGATACCGTATCGGTACCTCAAACCGTAGCCCCAGGCTGGGAAGTTGAGGGAAGCGAGACTGTCGAGAAAGCAAGCAGCCAGTCGACCCAGACCACCGTTTCCGAGGGCAGCGTCGTGCTCCTGCTCAATGACATCCTCGATACGAAAGCCGAGATCGTCCAGTCCGGCTAAAATATTGTCAGGACGGTTCCTCGTAGAAAGCTTTATGTCTCACTCACCCTTGGCAACGTCCTTCAAGCCAACATTGAGTATGGCATTGTCGAGGGCTCGGCCCATGAGGAACTCGAGGGACAGGTAGTAGACACGCTTCCCATCGACGAGGGTCTGGCGTTGCTGAGTTTTGTTCCACTCCTTGACCAGACGGTCGCGGAAGGCCAAGCTGGCAGCAGAGTAGGCGGCCGTCTCGTCGCAATTGAACATGCTACGGGCGAGAGTGGTCTCGACATGGCGGACAACCTCCTTCTCGAACTCATCCTTGGTCTTGAAGGGGCCGGCCTGGGATCTGCTCCAGGCCTCGCGCTGAGGCTCGGGGATAGAGGCTATTCAGAGACGGTTAGCAGCCATGCCTAGGCAATTGACCTGCAGGGCCCTAGTGTTTGTGTGTCGGGGAGAATGAAGCTACTGGGTCTGTGGATGTGGCGTGATGGAGCTTCCGCTGATCAGTGCGGGGTAGGTATTTGGGGACTGAGCTCTGCCCCTCCGAGCTCCACGACAGCTGCCACAAGCTCTCCCGCAGCGCCGGAAGCTGGCGGGCACATGGCATTTTCCTCGCAATTCATGCAAACAAATGGAGAAGACATGTGCAAACTCACCCTCGACGCTCTTGATCTCGCTGGCACCAAAACCGGTGAAAGTTCGCTTGTGCTTGGGGCGGGAGATGCCAGCAGGGCCAACGGAGCCCTGAATGTCGACGATGGGAGCACTCGTGGACGGCCGGCGCTCTCGCATGGGAATGCGCTGCTCCTTGGTGTCCGACATTTTCGATATACGTCTGGTCGTCCCAATTGGAAGAATCTAGTGAGCAAACAGACTCAATTGGCTCGGCTTTGGCCTCGACTACTTCGGAAAACTATTGCCGTGCTGTTAGCTTCGGCGAAGTCTCCAGAGACGAGAACACGGAGAGAAATCGAAACACGACTCGGTGCTGGGCATGTAGAGGGGTGACAGGGAGTGAGACGAGGCGGAGGAAGAGGTCCAGACCGGGACTCGACTGACAGGCGGAGCAAACGGGACGTACGTCAGGATTAAGCCAGGATGTTGGTGGGGAGGAGAGCGGGGTGCTGGACGGTGCCTGAAGCTCAGTCCACTACTTGCGGCGGGATTCGGAGTCAGCGAAAGGCCCAATGGAGCGTCTCTTGGGTTAGGATAGTAGAAGGGGCGTGTTTCTGTGTCGAACGAGGTTGAATGAGAGTTTTAGCGATGATGGCGGCGATTGGACTGCTCTCGTCGTCGTCGAAGGTTGTAACGAATACAGCTAGCTCTGCTTGGAGAAGACGGGCCTCTGGACAACAGACGGGATAGAACTAAGTACGGAGGAGAAGACCTCAGACAGCGGAAGCGTTTTGAAGAGGAGGAAAAGAAGAGGGGAAGATGGAGAGGGGTAGAAGAGAAGGAGAAACCATCAGAATAGTGAGGGGTGGAAAGGGGGTCGGCAGGAGCTTAAGAAAGATTCGAGAGGTATCATTCAAGACCTGCCGGCCATACCTTACCGTAGACAGGTAGTAAGCCATGGCATGTTTGACTGGCGGTAAGAAGGTACAGGACGTGATGGGAAGGAAGTGGAAGTGCAAGGGGAGGCTACATGTTACCTTACTCGAGATGGGAAGGCATGGCATGTGGTATGGGCTACCTAAGAGCATAGCAGTGGCTTACAGTCAATCGCCCGAGATTGCGGTCTTGCACAAAAGACCTCCCGAGGCAAATGAAGATGAGGTAGGTAGGTACCTTAGTCTTAGTGTTGCACCTCCCAACGGAAGATACTAAACTTGCCTTCTCTTCCGTGTCCATGGCTCTTGCATGGATGCCATTGATTTACTAGGTGATCTGATCTGACAACCCGCACACCCAAAAAGACGCGATGGATCTGACCCCGTTTCTGTCTCCATCAAGGTCTTGTCAGGCCCAGTCTGGCCTAGGACAAGAACCGAGGAAAACAAAACGCCTGATATGACCTCACCATGCCCAATCGTGGAAGGGGGTAGACTACCTAGCATCCTGAATGTCTGTTTTGCCATCTGCATCCTTGTGCGTGAAACCACGCCGAGCAGATGCAGCACTAAAGTCCATGGCTTGCTGCTTGTTGCTTGCTGCGTCAACAACAATAATGCGGGGTGACTAGGACGGCAACGCTTAAAGGAGAGACAGCATTAATTAGCCGCAGCAGCTCATGCTTAAGCTAAGGCAGCAAATGCAATACGCTGCGCAATATAATATAGCTACCCTTATAATCTAGCTATTAATATTATCTCACTATACCTAATAAGTATATATTTAATATTTAATATTCTAAAAGAATAAAACTCTATCCTAATAAGCTTCTTAATATACTTAATAGTATATTTATAAATAGCTTTACTCTTAAAGTTAGAGGGGGTAAAACCTTAATAAGGGATATTAATCTATAAGAGACTATCCCTTCTATTAAGACTATATTATAACCTTTATTCTTTTATTCTCTATTCTATTCTTTTAAAATATTATCCTATATTTTTAGCCTTATAATAGCTTATATTAATATCCTCCTTAAGGTAATTATTACCTCTAACCCTCTTTAATCCCTTAATATTATTAAAAATAATATCCCCTTTTATTTAGACTATATTAATAAGACTCTATTTATATATTATATTAATAAGAATATTATAATAGATATTATCTTTTTAAAAGAATAAATAATTTAATAATAATATATAAGTTATATAACGCTATAATAATATTTAAACTTACTTATAGTTTAAGTAGTAGTTAGAATAAAGAATAAGCTATTATTAATCTTTAGTATATTATAATATAATAAGCTATATAATAATATAGGGATTAGCCTACTTAATATTTTAGTAATAATAGGATAGTATATAGAGGTATTAGTTAGGATCTAGATATATTAGATATAAGGTTAGTAGTTTTAGATATATTAAGTATAATTAGGCTTAAATCAATCCTTATTATTAAATAATAGCGCTAATATAGGAAAGGTAACATATAATTAAGCTAAGGCAGTATTAGGTAACACAGCATAGCATGTCTTGAAAGGCAACATACCGAGTTCGCTGCGGCTGCCAGTCCGGTCAAAATGAATGTCGTGAACCTGGCCTAACACAATGGCCTTATTCCACACAATCAGTCGAGACGCCGTGTCGCCCTTCCCACCCTGCCTACACAACTAATAACAAGACCAAGGTAACAAGTGTGCTTCACGCGGGATGGCCTGGTCGGAGCGGCACGGCTTGGAATGGTAACCCGGTGAATAAGGTCCTGGGGCTCTGGGGCTCTGGAGTTCTGGAGCTCGGGGGCCGGCACGCAGCATCCACCGCCCATCACCAAATTTAGTCAACACCCTGGCAATCGCAATGGTGGCCCGTAGGTATTGTAAGTCGACACGCGCATGCCTCGCTTTCTCAACTGGGTGAATCGATACCTTTCACCGATATTGTCCTGGAGACCAACCGAGCTTAATTCCAGCCATATGCACCACCTACACTCATAGACCTCCGCCATGCCTGCGGCCTGCCTCCCGGCAGCAACCCATTGGCAAGAATTCCACGCAGCGTTCTCAATACCCCGGTGACGACGTGGACCGCCCCGGACTTCTCGGTGGTGAATCACCAACCAAACCGCCGTCCTCGGGTTCCACAACGCTTCTCTCATCCGGACACAGCGCCAACGGCTGCACATCGCCTGGGGCACCCAAGGTACGGATACGGACGGATACCTTCCAAGGGTGAACACGCCAGCAAGCCAACCAGCTGGTGGAGTACATGGAAACGAACACTGGAGAACCGGGGTTGGGACGTTGAAGGCTGGCACGATACTCAGAGGTCCTGTCCTATCTGATCTGATGGACTCTGCGGGAGAGTAGGTACTTTACGATACGAGCTCTTCGTCTTCTTCCGATTGATTCTTCACACGGTTCGAGCACGTCATTGGCTCAGACTCCTCGTTCTAACCCAGCCTCTTCATCCCCGCATTTTCTGTCGTTCGGCAGCAAGTCTGAGGAAGCACGACATAATACCGGAACACAGTGCAATGCCCTGTAGTCCGTTCCGACATCACCTGATGCTTTTCTTGGTGACCCCAGACGTGATAATGTTCACCGTCTCATCCCACCGTCCCGCCGATTGCTCGACTTGGTCACCGGTTCCTCTCGAGATATCACTTGCATACATGATATCAAGACGTAGTAGGCGGCTGGCAGGGGAGAGGCTCTTGCACCCCTGTTGATGTGAATCATTCTTCAAGCGCCACAGCCAGAGTGAGATCCGAACCGAAAAACAAATGCGCCGCTTCCAGCAGAGCACAGCCTTGCGTGATTAAGACGATATAGTATACAAATAAGATTTGCGAAGCCTCAAGCCGACCTACCAAAGGCGAGGCGCCTCCCCACACTCACCATCTCCTGACCGGCAACTGTCAGTCAGTCCCCAGGCCAGCCTCATCTTCGTATTTCCAACGTGAGGTGCCTCCTAACCCCCGACCGCCTTCTCATGAGCGATGCCTCCAATGAATGTCACATGAGCCGCACAGCGTAGTACAGGCAAATGTCACACAACAATGACTTCTTGCTTCTCATGGCCTTACATCATGAAGCTGTCGCTCTCCCGCGGTCCCATACCAAGCTTCTGTCGAAATGATGGATGCTGTTGCTCTCCCGAGTCTCAAGCATCATACCAAACGAATGATTCCATCATCACTTCGTTTCCCAACTTGTTCTCCTGTACTCCAGATAACGGCTTGCTTTTTCGCACCTCCGTTGCATTGTACCGACCTTCCATCTCCCCACCCCCATTCTCTTGCTTGGGGCGGCGGCACACCAGTTGCGAATGCCCCAACGGAAAAACAGAAAAAAAAGCAGTTGGTTCTGTAATGCAAATGAACGAGGTTGCCGCTGCCGGATTAGGGCTCAAACCGTCGACCGCTCGTCCGACCGTGTCGTTTAGAAAGCGAGCGTGAAACCCATAATACGCCGTCCAAACGAGGTGCCGCCCACAACGCCCGGCAATGCTGTAATACGCTGACCCGCAACAGAGAAGATGAGTCTAAACATTAAGGAAAAAAAGGGCTGACCGCGCGGATCGATAGCGCCTCAAAGGATTCCCGAGTCTCGAAGCGCGTTGTTGAGGATCGTCTCCTTGACTGCCGCGAAGACAAGTCGGATGTTTGATGTATCGGTCGCTTGAGTCAGGCTGGCATCAAATTAGTCCCCGCTCGCCGAAACAATGACGCTGTACTTACTGGGGATAGAGGTTCAGATGTGCCCTGTTCACTTGATTGAAGCGCCAGAGCAGATACTTGGCCGCCTTGTTGACGTCGTTGCCGCCTGAGTAGTCAGGGAAATAGTTGCCCAACGGTGACCGCCCAAGCTTCTGCTTGAAAATGTCCACCTTGTTCAGGAACAAAATAATACTGGTTCGCATGAACCACCTCGAATTGACAACGGAGTCGAAGAGGAGCAGACTTTCCATCATTCGGTTCTGCGACGGTTAGCGCCATGGTGGGGCAGGGTAGTGATCCCAATTTCATCTTACTTGACTGCTCTCCTCGAGCAAAACTTGGTCGTACTCGCTCAACGCAACGCAAAAGATGATTGATGTGACATTCTCGAAGCAGTGAATCCACTTCTTTCTTTCACTTCGTTGACCACCAACATCGAACATACTGAAATCCAGGCGTTAGCTCCGCTTGCGATGCACCGATCCACGACTTACTGTATGCTAAGCTGGCCCATTTGAAATCTTGTCTCGTAAATACCGGTTGTCTTCGTTCTCGCTCGGAGGACGTCCATCTCGGTTGGTAGATAATCGTCTGAGACGATGCGCATGACCTCTTCGAAGAAACTGCTACTTGTCAGTCAAGATTATGTGAGTGCCATGGGTACACCCACTATTCTGCAGAATCCATCAGGTAGAACTCGGTTTGCCTCTCCATCAGCTGTTCCCTCGCCGGATCGCTCCATATTGACTGAATGGCGATGCCGATTTGAGGGTCAATGTGAGCTGTTGGCCCGGACTCGGCAGTGTATTCCATCAGAAAAGTGGCATAGGCCTTGTTTTCCTCGATGACGGGTTCGATGTCGAACTGTCGCATCGCCTGAATAACTGCTTTCGCGCATTCCACCAAGTTCTTGAAGACGGTCGGTCGGTAGTTGAAGAGCTCATCATCGGAGTAGCCCTTCAGGTGGATAATCTTCATCTGTTTGACGATGGTCGACTTTCCACTCTCACCGGAGCCTGTTCAGTTGTCAGCACCAACGCGCCGCAGGACGACAAGCGAGACTGCGGCCATGACCTACCGAGGAGGAGAATCTTGCATTCTCGCCGTAACCTCTTGGAGTCTTCCTCCAATTGCCTGTCGATGGCCTGACTCTTCTTCTTCTGCTCCACCTCCTCATTATTGGAACTCATACAGGCACCCATGTTGGCAACGTGGTGAGGCTTGAGGTAAGCCAGTGACCGAGATGGCAATCGGGTGCGTATGTATCGTATCGGTACGCGAGCGCAGACTCGAAACGCCCGATAGGTCAAGTCGTGTATGATGGCCAAAGCAGCGCAATTTAGATGCCCATAGTAATACCAGAAAGTAGAGACAGGCGTATGATTGATCGCAGCAGGCAGCGACAGGGCGTGGGCGTGGGCGTGGGCGTTGGATCGGGTGGTCGTGGAATCGAAGCGGTTGGATCGGCGGAGGACTCGGCGGTAAAGAGCAGGCGTCGGTACTCGAAAGGGCCCAATAGGTGGACGTTGAAGTGCGGACGGCAAGGCGGGGGAGGGGAGGCAGCGGTGCACTCTGATGGCAAGCGGCGAGCGGAATCGAGAGTCGGAGGCAGCGACGATTGATGAGATGATGAACCGGCGTGGATGATGGTTGGATTCGGGGTCAGACGGAAGCTGTCGAGGGAGATGGGTAGCGAGGGACGGAAGGTGTGAGGTGCGACCGGGAAGACGGGCAAGGACAGTGTCGGAGGAATAAATGTGGGTATCACAAGGACCTCAACAGCTGTGAGCGCTGGCGGGCGGGTAATTGGTAAAGCGTGCAAGCTAAGGCATCCGTCGCTAGCGAGTGAGCGGGCGAGGGTGGTGAGTGGGCGAGGCGAGAGAGGAGGACGCAGTAATGGATCCGTACAGAGGAGGAGGAGGTGCGGGAGCGTGGACGACCTGAGTGAGGAGCCGAGCCTTGCAGGGCAGGCCACGGGCAGTTCCAGTTGCAATTCGGGGTCAGGGTCGCTCGGCAGCTGTCACAGAAGCAAGCAGCGTGGTCGGAGCAGGGAATCGATGTGACAGAGATCAGGCTGGTGGTGGTAGTAGGGAGATGTGCTTGTGCATGTGCTTGCTTGCGATCTGATGTACCGCACCGGCAACGGCAAGTCGTTGCACCAACAACGTACGAGGACGGAGAGGGCGTCGATTGAGGGAGAGAGGTAGTCGAGATCGGAAAACGCAAAAGACACACAGAGGCAAGACGACAAGACGGACGGACGATCAGAGGGGAAAGAGATGGAGAGAGAGAACCGAAGGTCCAGGCAAGGTAGGTAGGTAGGTAGTGTGGAGTGTGGGTAAAGGGAAAAAAAAAAAAGGAATTCTGACGAGCAGAAAGTGTAAAGTTGATGCTAGTAGCAGGTCGAGAGTCAGACAGAGCGTGAGCTACCTTGGGTATCCGTACGCTACCAGCGGGTAACTTTGGACTGCCTCTTTTCCCTATTGCTGTGCTGCTGCGCTGCTGTGCTGTACGGAGTCCTGTCGCTGCAGAAGGTGCGGCAATGCGTCGGGCCAGTCACGGCACAGGATAACGTGCCTGTCTGCTGCTCTTCTCGGGGCGGAACTCGAGGCTCGGGATGCTGAGTGGACGGCAACAAGAAGCAAGACAGGGCCAGGGCGGCGGTGATGGGGGGTGCGAATGCGTTTGCGTGTGCGCGTGCGGTGCGGTGCGGTGCGTTGTGAATGTGGTGGTTGGTGTGTGGAGCGGATATGTATGGGTCCTGGGTCTTGCTTGGGTCTTGGAGACGTATGCGGACGGACTCGGTCTGTTTCTCTCTCTCTCTCTCTCTTTCTCACCCTCACTCTCACTCTCTCTCATGCTCGACTTCTTCAGGTCGACTTGAGGCGTGGGGGGTCTTGGCTGCCGGAGGAGGAAGGGACGGAAGGATGATTACCTTACCTTGGCTGGCAGTGCCAGGTGCGGAATGCGTATCCATAACTAAGGTACAGATACGAGAAGGGCAACTGATGAGTGAACAATTGGCGGCAGTACCTATCCAAGGTACTGAAGTAAGTTAAGGCAAGACGTACCTGACATCTGGTGGCTGGTGCTCTCCTCCGTGCTATTCACATAGAGGGAAGCTAAGACACCGTACCTTAAAGGCAGCCCGAAGCTTGCTTCTTGCAGATTTCAATCTCGCAAGAAACGGCTCGTCACTTTCACGGACGGGGAAGGATATCATCGACTCGACAGCGGGCTATCTTATCCAGTACATTAAGACAGGCCCATTCATCGACTGGCCTAGATGTCTGTCCTCTTACCATCAACGTACGGATAAAATCAGGTACCTTAAGGTAGGTACCTAGAGTAAGGTAGGTAAGATGAAGCAAGGTGAGGAGACTCCTTCGATACGTACCCGGCCGGGCTGGAACGCCTCACCTTACCTTCCCGCCCCGATAAGTACTGAGCTCTCTCGACTGGGTAAGGTGGGCATCTGACGGATCACCTCCACTTGTTTTAGTGTCTTGTTCCTCCACCGCATGCATGGCATTTGAGTATCAGAACCTGCCGGTGCGGTACGTATCTTCTGCTACCTTATCCAGTACCTACCCTACCTACCTATTCATAAAGCTAAGATATTGAGAGCCCTCTTGCCATTTCCATCACTGCCCTGGACTGGAACATCATCTTTATCCTGGACATGGCCCCCAATAGCAGTGTTGCTTCATATGACAACCCTCGCAGCCCGACCAACTCCTTACCTGAGGCACGTAGCGGCAAGGAAACGGGGCGGACAACGTGACATGGAAAAATGCAACTTCCAAGGCGAATGCTGACGGGTCCATCGCGAGAGATGAAAGTTTGATGGATGACGGGCCCTATCCGAGCCATAGGTTCTCTTCTCTTACACGTGCGCCTGACCCGATTTCTGCTTGTTCTTGGCCAGCGCCAGCTGCAAGTGCGTACACTACCGTACCCTGGAGTCGAACAAGGTTCCGCTCTTGAAGAGGGCTTCCTCGTCTTAATTACATCGTCTTCATACGCAATTTAAAATTGAGCAATCAGATCTGTTTCTTTCTTTTTCCCAACAGACAATGATACAACTACGTACGCACCTGAATATTCTCTCCTCCTTCCTTACCTAATCCGTGCTGCATCTCATCTCGTTCTGTAAGCCAAGGCACGAACACATCGACAACGCAGCCTCCGATCCCAGAGCGTCGGAAAGATCTGCCTTCGACTTCGTTTCATTTCTTCTTGTTCTTCTTCCTTTCCCGCTTTTCCCTTTGCTTCTTTTCAGGATCATCGTCATTTCAAGCCTCCCCTGCCGACCATCTTTCATGTTTAGGACCCCAATGTCTGTTCTCAGGCCGGTAAATTCCAGCCCATACTTGAGCCACACCAATTTGACCGCGCCCAGCAACGCGTCGCCGCATTCGGCAGCCTCAGACATCTCCTATGAGCGAGCGCGGACTTGTCGCTGCTGAAGGGGGGAGCCAGGCACAAGGCAATGTAACAACTGTTTCAGTCACCACTCCCGAGTAATGACCCTCACCCACAACCACAACACCTGCCATCTCCAGCCAGCCAGCGTCCAGACCAGAACACACACTCCAGACTACGGACGGATACAGAGTACCAACAAGGCCAACAACCCCGACCGACTCTGACCCTGGCCCGCCAACCTCGAACTCGCCTCAACCTTGGACTTCGACGACGGCCTTGCCTTGACCACGGTATGGTACCTTCTTACATATTCGCACAAGGCAAAAGGCGCATTCCAGAATACAGATGCAGAACGTGGTATCTGGAATATCTGCACTCGGATGGGACGAAAATGACGCCAAGAGACAAACGAACTGCTTTCTAGACCACATCTTGACGCCAGCACGCCTTCTAGTCGCAATCATCCTTGCTGTCGTTAACGGATCGCCAAACATCGACCTGATGCAAGCTAAATTACCCTCATCCTCTATATCCCGAGCCGGCAACCACTCAATCACCAGCCCGACGCTACGGTTTGAACAGACCAAGAACAAGACGGATGGCTTCTACCCGCCACCTAGCTGCATGTCCGTGGCTTGCAACCGGTCTTCCTTCCCTTCCAATCATCTGCAAAGATGCGCCCATCACGGATCGCCTTTTGCCTCTTTCGGCCTGGCTTTCGCTCTCCTACATCAGTCAACCACCCCGTCATTGCCCGAGACCACTATGTAGAAGCTACTACGGTATCTCACCTCACCAACGCATCCAGGCGAGCCGGGAGATGAGGTAGTTACTCGACAGTTTGAATATTGACAACATCGCGGTTGCAGTTGCACATGAAGACGCTTTTTACTTTTACTGGCCCCAACCTACTCAACAGCCACGTTCCTCGTCGCAGCATTCCGCGAACCCGACAAACCGATGGCAACCCGATGACAGCATCATGCCGCACTCATGGACGTTGCCTTCGGCTGCTGTTGCTGAACGGTCGTACAGCCAACAGCTTCAACTTCCTACGGGCACTTCCAAGTTCCTGCATGGTGGTCAAAGATGCTGCATTGGCGGGGCACTCAATGGACGGTAATCTGGCACGTCCACGTCGGAGGCCATAAATTTCGACCACCGCGTAAACCTTATAATCGCTATGGGCACTTTCGTCACTACTTGGCTCTATCATGATGGCAGCTTCATCCTAGTTCCGTCCTTTCTCGCTTCAATTTCAGGCTACCCGTTGACTCCGATTTCTCCGTTGTTCATTCGGTCTCGCTTTGTGGCTGGCGCCGAATACGAACAACCATGAGTTGCGCCTGCGTTCGATCATTTGTCTTCTCGATCACGTACCTGCGGGTCAAGCCACTGCTGTCCAGAGATCTGGATCTGGTTCAGACGTTTGTGGACTTCGAAGATGGTTCAGACTCAACGGCCGACTCCGCCTGGGGTTGTCCTTGACATCAACACCCTCAATGGCCCCTTCTGCATGAATGTCTGCTGGATGCATTCGTACACAATTTCTCCCACAAGAAGGACGGGGCATTTGCCGTCGTTGTATGAATGGGTACCCCGGTCTTCGTTCACGTTTTCGTCAGATAACTGGCACTAATCAGGGCGCTCGTCTGTGCCCCTGGAGGACCATACCCAATCGGCTAGCGTCAACTTGTCGGCTGGCCCAGTAGCTTTTGGAACATTATCGGCAGGGAGCACACGTGGGAGGAGAAGCTTCAAGTCTCATCTCTGCGGCCAGTTTAAAAGTTCACCACACAGACAAGGGCCCAGCCGAGCACACAAGCCACTCGGCCCTTACCTTCAATACGGAGATATTTCAGCTCAGCAGCCATGAAAACCCCTGCTGAACAGTGCTGACGTTGTTTTTGCTTGCTATATCGGCTGACTGCGATACTGGAATTCGTGGTTCACACAAACGACACGACGGGGGCCATGCAGAGCTTGACCTGTCAGATTCGGCTGTCAGACTGGATCCCGTTTTCAGTAGTCGCTTTCTATTTACGAACATCGACACTATCCCCCTGGTAGATTGGTCTTGACAGCTTCCTGAACGAGAAAAGCTCCCATGCACCCCGACTTCATTGGCCTTCCAGCATCTGCTTGCGCGACCTCAGAGCCAGGCGGTCTCTCGGCGCTTAGCCGCGTGTCTAGTCTGTCTTGTTGACTTGGATAGCGAGGGTTTCCTGCAGGTCAACCCTGCGATGAAGAACTATCGGATCGGGACTGGAAGTTTGCTGCCACCAATCGAACGGCCGCTGGACCCGCTTCCCGATCCGATGGGTGATCTGGCCGCCGGTGGTCACAGAGAAGGCTCCTGCCTCACAAGCTTAAGAACTGCAAATCCCGTCTCCAGTTCCTCTGGGCTTGCCATGCGAAATGCTATCAAGAGATCGTTTCGACCGCAAACCCTGAGGGATCTTCTCATCCACGCGAATTCAAACGAGGGCCGTGCGAAGCCAAGCGTTCATATATCATGTTGATCACGGATATGTAGCAGGCATGCTATGGTAAAACGAAGGGTCTTTCGGCAACTGCATCTCGGGACGGGTTCTTGGCCCACGGCTCTTTGACCTTCAGGAACGGATACCGTACCACAGAGAACGTGTCCACATGACGGCCTACTGGAGCCGACGCCGGCCTTGCGCTGGGAATAATTCCGCTACTTCGAATGTGCACTCATGAACCCTGGTTTCCGCTGCTGTGTTTCATGTAGACCCGACCCGAGTAGGAAATTTGGGCAGAGTTCGGCCTACATGATTCGTTGCGTTCCTCCTTCTCAGAGGTGGTTACTCCGGCATGGAAACGACGACTTAGAGTTGGTCTGGGATGAACGGAGACGGTGTCACACGATTCAGCCCAGCTGCCTCGCATCGTCCGGAGCTGAGAAAGCTTAGCGATGCCGGGCTTTGCTCTAGAGTTGCGGCGACTCGGCCAATGATTCGGTCAATTCCCTTGGCCACGTGCTCTCGAAACACCAGCAAGGTCTGAGCCAGCTACTCCGGAAACATCGTTCAATATTTTTGCGGAGTTGCGCGTTGAGTTGAGGCATCTGAATTAACGGCTCGTGAGTTTCTCGCGGCCGCTTTTGCCATACGGCGATGTCGACTCAACGATGTTTGGCGCCGAATGTCAAGTTTCAATGTCGTGTTTGTTGCTGAGGTGCTATACAGACCCCCGGAATGATCGCAGAACCTAGGAAAAAGACTGCCCCGCGGATTGGAAAAGTTCACTACTTCAGCAGAATGAAAAAAAAAAAAAAATGGCCATTTGAAATCATTCTGTAAGAGGACGGAGGTCCCCGGACATTGTCGGCCTAAAAAGTCCGGAGTCGTTCGGCGTGATAATACGGCCGGCGCGCGGGTGGGGCCGGGCGGTTCGTCCGGCCTCCGGCCGAAGCACGCACCCTCGGGAATGACACCGACTACGATTTCGTGGCTTCCCGCGCGGCACGACTGCAGGACCCAAACAATTACTTACGTGGAGTTTCTATCTGTGTTGGCGTATTTCGAATCATGACTAAACGGCGAATCGTCCGATTTGTAAGTAGACTGCCCTCACGCGGTCAGAGTTGGCTAAGCTCGACGCAGGCCAGACGCTCGTAACTGGGTGAATTACGCGATGTAGGGTTAACCTCGTCGTCTCTTGTGCGATTCTTTTACGAGCCACATTACGCGACTGTCACGTTGCGTCGTCGCAGAGCAAGGTGTGGTGATGTCCTGTTGGGCTTCGGTAATGTGTAGGTGTTACGGACGACTGATGTCGTCTTTGTCACCGGTAATGGAGGCGAACGAATCTGGAATCTATAAGAAGAAATATGCTGCTCGACAAAACGAGATTTTCAATCCAGACAAGCCATCCCATCGAAACTCCAAGCTCTAGATGTCATTTCACCTCGGCCACATCAACATCATGTCTTCTTCCACCAAGCCCCTCGTATTGTACGGTCATAGTATGCCAACTCCCAAGAGACCCCTAACTTTCCATGCAGTCTGATCACTTAAACAATATTTAGGCTACACGCCCAACCCAATGAAAGTGGCTATGATTCTCGAGGAATTAGAGATCCCCTGGGAGATGGTACGCCACCGCCCAGCCACGTTCTCATCCCTTTTGGCATAAATTGCACCACGGGCACCCAGTCACTTTCAGATTTCGACTAATAATGACCCGCATAGATCAAGATCGACCTGGCCAAGGTCAAGGAGGAGGCCTATACCTCCATCAACCCCAACGGCCGTCTCCCCGCCCTCAAGGATCCGAACACGGGCATCACCCTCTGGGAATCGGGCGCCATCATCGAGTACCTCGTCGATACGTACGACACCGAGAACAAGATATCGTACGCTTCGTTCCCGGAGAAGTATCTGCTGAAGCAGTTTCTGCATTTTCAGATGTCTGGCCAGGTAAGCGGTACACCTTTGATCATCTCGCCGAGCAACTCGACGGGCGTGAGGTAGATGGAGCCTTGACTGATGCGTGCTGGAATTTAATCAGGGCCCATATTTTGGCCAGCTTGGATGGTTCACGTTGTTCCATCCCGAGAATATCCAGAGCGCCAAAGAGCGATACGAGGAGCAGACCGTTCGCGTCCTTTCCGTCCTTGATGCTGTCCTCAAGGGGAAGAAGTATCTCGTCGGAGACAAACCGTACGTCAAACTTCTGATTCCCCGTGCCTGTCCATGTTGTGCTCTTCTCCATTGGTGGTCCTGATAACTAATGATGCAGAACATATGCCGACATTGCCTTCATGCCCTGGGACTACCTCGGCCGTCTCTTGCTCGGCGATGCCTGGAACGACAAGTACGACATCGACTCCAAGTACCCTGACTATACGGCATGGGCCGAACGAGTCAAGGCCCGACCTGTCATCAAGAATGCGCTGGAGACGATGAAGTCGGAGCGGGCTAAGGAGAGTGGGCATTAGCTGTGAAGAGTGTGCCGTCTTATCTGGTGGACTAAGTGATGGTGACCGTCATCCTTCTTATATACATGTCCTCATTGTAATGAAAAGCCCTATACCAACATCGAAGAGAAGTCTTTGCAGCGTGGTCTTCTGCGTGCGTCTAGTCCTCCCAGATGGCAGCCTTGGCCCTCTCCGTCTCCTCCTGCTTCCTCTTCTCCGCCGCCTTCTCCTCCTCCCTTCGCTTGCGCTCCTTTTCCCGGACGGCCCTGTCGTAAGCCTTCTGCTCTTCCGTCTGCTTGGGCACCTTGACGCCAAGAGCGCTGGCGATCATACGCCTGGCCACCGCGTCCGTCTTCTCAGGACGGCGCGGGCCACCGTCGCTGCCGCCGCCCCCGGGCAGAGGCGCGCCCGTGGGATCCGTGTTGCCGTAAGACGGGAAAGCGTGTGACGCCGGGCTGTGTGTTGGAGAAATGGGGGTTGGGGGAGGGGCCTTGGAGCCGTCGTTTTGAGGCTTGGCTTCCTCTTCCTCTTCCTCGTCGGAGGACAGGTCTTCGTCTTCCCAGGAATCCACGACGGGCTTCTTGGTCTTTGCCTTGGCGGACTTTTTGTCGCCGTCTAATGAGAGCTTGGAGAGAGAGGCCGCGACGTCCGACTTTTGTGCTGATGAAGGCATCTTGACTCGTTTGTGTGTAAGTGCGAAGAGAAAAGAAAGTGTTTGTTGTTCCTGGTAGACGTGTAGGTGTCTTAGCAAGGTGCTGCTTGGAAAAGGCACGACGTTCTAGTCCCAAGACCCCGGGTACGGTACCGTCGGGAAGCGAGGGTAGGTGGATAGTCCCGGGGCAGGGAAGAGTAGATCAAGGAGAAAAGGGGGAGGAGGCTCCGTAACGTCACGGTGGAGGAGGTGGGAAGGATCAACAAGGTGATGCAGATGCAGGTCGAGATTGAATGCTTCGAGTTGATGGGCTTGTCGAACAATCTCTCTGTTCTTGAGAAGCCGGGTTCAGGGGAGGGAAGGGGAGAAGCAGACGAGAGAGAGAGAAAGAGGAAACGAGGGGATTTGGACCCTAAGTCAGTTTATTCGTAGGACTGAAGTCTGGTTCCAGTTCTGGGGACGGTCTGGGCAACGGCTCCAAGTTTAGACGGGATGGGATGGACTAGGTATTCGAAGAGCCTGACGGGAACCTCTGGCAGTGTGGGGTAAGGTATTTGCTTCGGTAGGCCGTTTTCCCCGCAACGAGTCAGAGAGTTCGGACAGACTGGCCGTGAGATCAGACTGCGCCGGCTAGAGCGCCACAGCATACATACTGTGTATCTTCGACATTTGGACTGTAAATGGGAATGAGAAACAATTGTTAAAGGACAGTGTGAACTATCACCTCCTAGTCGCAAGCCAATCGCCGTAGTCCGTGCCGCCCCCAGCTGCCCGGGCTTGTAAGGTAGATAGGTAGGTAGCTGACGTGCTGATTGAGGGGAACCTTCAGCGTGCAACAGCAAGTGCCGCCACTGATGATGGACCCTGAAGGTGCCACGGCCAGACCTACCTACCTACCAACTGAGGTGGATCGGATCTATGGAAGCACCGGACTGACCAGGGCCGATGTTCTTCCAGGCGCTTCCAAAGCCACCAGTCGGGTGGAGCCGTGGCTCCTCTTCTCAGTGGCCGAGCGGCGGCAACGTCAGTGCTCGGCTGGCTAACAATGATTTTTCTGGTGATGCGTTTACTCTTTAGTCTCCGGTGGTCTCCATAATAATCGTAGAGTTACCTTGACTCTCACTTTCTACAACTTTGTATTTGTAAGGCGTCAGGAGGCGATGCGCAACGCCATTTAGGACGAAGGGTCCTTTCATTCTGCACAAATAAATCCCATCAGGCACGTTTCAATTGTTCATATAGCCCGTCACTTCTTTTCCCCCACCTCTCCCCCGTCTGCAGCGGCCGCACCTAATTCGCCTTCGGCCCTGTATTCCCCGACTACCACGTGCCCGCAACCGGAGCTTCGTCGACGTTGACTCGCAACTACCTTCGCCGTCAGTATGGTGATGCGATCGACACTTCCGAGGCGCCTCGCCCTCGGCCGTTCAGCCAACCACCTCAGACGCCCCTACTCGACCCCGACTAGGTTATCTCCAGCCAGTGCCCCGAGGTGCTCGGCCTCAACCTTCGACCGCTTGCTGCTCTCCGCCCCGAGGTCTCGGCAATCCGTTTCCCAATTCTCGACCTCAACATACCGTTTAAAAGAGGAGGACCAGAGCGGCTTCTTCGACCGCGCTGTTGAGCCTCTATCCGAGGAGGAGCAAAAGGCCAATCTAAAGCACCAGCGCGAGCTCGAGGAGGAGCAGCTGGCCGAGGCCAAGAACTCTAGCTCCGAGTCATCTGCCAAGAATGAAGGTTCCGGAGGAGCACAGGATGGTAAGGGCAGTGCGGCAGGCGGCTCGTCGGCTGGCTCTGGTAGTGGTGGAGGTGACGATAAGGGTGACGGCAGCGGCAAGAAAGGACGCAAGTCCGACAAGAGCTTGCAAAAGCCCGTCGTCCCAGACGTCTATCCTCAGGTTTTGGCCATTCCCATTGCGAAACGGCCATTGTTCCCCGGATTCTACAAGGCTATCACCATCAAGGATCCGAACGTAGCTGCCGCCATTACGGAGATGATCAAGAGAGGCCAACCGTACGTTGGTGCATTCCTTTTCAAAGACGAGAACCAGGATGAGGACGTTATCCGCAACGTGGATGACGTCTACGATACTGGTGTCTTCGCGCAGATCACCAGTGCCTTCCCGATGCATGGCGAGCAGGGCGCTTTGACGGCTATACTGTACCCTCACCGCCGTATCCGCCTGTCGAGTCTGCTGCCACCCGAATCCGACGAGAAGAAGTCGAGCGAGGCCAAGGTCGAGCCCGTTCCCGAGCCCATACCCCCGAAGGCAACCGAGGAAGAGGCACAGCCAGATAAGAAGGGCGATGTTGTAGCAAGCTTCGAGGAGAGTGCCGTGGCCCCTAAGCCGGACCAGGCTGCGGAGAAGTACGAGCCCACCGCGTTCCTTAAGAGGTATCCTGTCAGTCTTGTCAATGTCGAAAACTTGACTGAGGAGCCCTACGATCCCAAGAGCGCCGTCATCCGTGCGGTCACAAATGAGATCGTCAACGTCTTCAAAGAGGTCGCCACCATGAACAGTCTCTTCAGAGACCAAATCTCTACTTTCTCTATGAGCCAGTCTACTGGCAACGTCACGTCGGAGCCTGCAAAGCTCGCTGATTTCGCTGCCGCGGTTTCTTCGGGCGAGCAGGGTGAATTGCAAGAAGTTCTTTCCAGCCTGAACGTTGAGGAAAGAATGCAAAAGGCCCTTATTGTGCTCAAGAAGGAGCTCATGAACGCCCAGCTGCAGTCCAAGATCACCAAGGATGTCGAGAGCAAGATTACCAAGCGTCAACGCGAGTACTGGCTGATGGAGCAGATGAAGGGCATCCGGAGAGAGCTGGGCCTGGAGTCTGATGGCAAGGACAAACTGGTGGAGAGGTTCAAGGAGAAGGCCGACAAGCTGGCTATGCCAGAGCCTGTTCGCAAGGTGTTCGACGACGAGATCAATAAGCTTGCACATCTCGAGCCCGCGGCCTCTGAGTTCAACGTGACCCGCAACTACCTGGACTGGCTCACCCAGATCCCATGGGGACAGCGCAGTGCCGAGAACTTTGGCATTAAGAACGCCATGTCGGTCCTGGACGAGGACCACTACGGATTGAAGGACGTCAAAGACCGCATCTTGGAATTCATTGCTGTAGGCAAGCTCCGTGGCACCGTCGAGGGCAAGATCATCTGCTTTGTCGGTCCTCCTGGTGTTGGAAAGACGTCTATCGGAAAGTCCATCGCCCGCGCTTTGAACCGCCAATACTACAGATTCAGTGTGGGTGGTCTCACTGATGTGGCCGAGATCAAGGGCCACCGACGCACTTACGTCGGAGCTCTACCCGGTCGTATCATCCAGGCGTTGAAGAAGTGCCAGACCGAGAACCCTCTGATCTTGATCGACGAAATCGACAAGATCGGCCGTGGTTACCAAGGCGACCCTTCCTCCGCCCTTCTCGAGTTGCTCGACCCCGAGCAGAACAGCTCTTTCTTGGACCATTACATGGATGTCCCTGTCGACTTGTCCAAGGTCCTCTTTGTCTGCACAGCCAACATGACCGACACTATTCCGAGACCCCTGCTTGATCGTATGGAGCTCATCCAGCTGTCCGGCTACGTTGCGGACGAAAAGAAGGCTATCGCTGACAAGTACCTCGCTCCCGCCGCCAAGGAGGCTGCGGGCTTGGCCAACGCCGATGTGAAGCTCAGCGAGGAAGCCATCGAGGAGCTCATCAAGTCGTACGCCCGCGAGTCTGGTGTCCGCAACCTCAAGAAGCAGATTGAGAAGGTCTACCGCAAGTCGGCGCTCAAGATTGTCCAGGATCTGGGCGAGGAGGTTCTACCCGAGAAGGAAGCCCTGACAGAGGACGGCAAGGAGGCTCTCGCAGAGGCGGAGAAGAACACCGAGGCCGCCCGCGAGACTGGCGAGCAGCCAACCGAAACTCCTGCAACCGAGAAGCCCCGCGTCGCTCTCAACGTGCCGGATACCGTTCATGTCACCATCGGCAAGGACAACCTCGTCGACTACGTTGGCCCCCCTGTGTTCACTTCCGACCGCCTATACGAAGTCAACCCGGCCGGTGTCGCCATGGGTCTCGCATGGACCCAGATGGGAGGCGCCGCCATGTACGTCGAGTCCATCCTTCAGGGTCCTCTTCGCCCCAGCAGCAGACCCGGCCTCGAGATTACGGGTAACCTCAAGAACGTCATGAAAGAGTCCTCAACCATCGCCTACTCGTTCGCCAAGTCACTTATGGTCAAGGAGTTCCCCGACAACCACTTCTTCGACAAGGCCAAGCTTCACCTTCACGTCCCCGATGGCGCAGTGTCCAAGGACGGCCCCTCAGCCGGTATCACCATGGCCACTTCGCTTCTCTCCCTTGCCTTGGACACCCCCGTCAACCCTACCGTTGCCATGACTGGCGAGCTCACTCTGACCGGCAAGGTTCTCCGCATCGGCGGTCTCCGTGAGAAGACAGTTGCCGCTCGTCGCGCCGGATGTAAGACAATCATCTTCCCGAAGGACTGCATGTCGGACTGGCTCGAGCTCCCCGAGGTAAGCCACTGAATCACCGCAACAAGAGAACGTCGCGTTTACTAACATAACTTACAGAACATCAAGGAGGGCATTGAGGGCAAGCCGGTCGCCTGGTACTCTGAAGTCTTCGACCTCATCTTCCCCGAGCTTGACCGCGAGGCTGCCAACAAGTGCAAGACTTGCGAGTGGCAGAAGGAGCAGGACGACAAGAAGAAGAAGGACAAGAAAGACAAGAAGAACAAGAAGAAGGACGAAGACGAAGAAGACGACGATTAGATCACGTAATTCAAGGTGGTCGATTCGACTACCCATGTTACACCCCGCCCTTCGCGAACGACTTCCCTCCTCGGCGCCCCGCTCGCATCCCCTACTACTGGACCGGCATCCCTACATCCCATGGACGATGATGTCGTCAGTCACGGCGGCCCGAAGTATGGTGTCTGGAGGTCCTTGACGGGAAGGGCCATGCGAGGGTTTGGGCACAGGCGCGGACGACGACTGGACGGGCGTTATGGGCGAAGAAGAGGGTTGTTTTACCGCACAAAACGATTAGACGAGCCCGCATAAAGCTGTCACGTGTGCTGACATGACCTCACAAAACACTGCATCTCTACTCTAGATGGTTATTTTGTTCGTTTTCTGTTTGGCTGGCTTGATTTAGCTCAAGAAGGGGGAGTTGTTTTTTTGGGAGAAGAGGCCGGGACCGGGCCCCTTTGTAAGAGTAGGGTTGCAGAGAAACCCCAATAGCATAGACCTCGCTGCAGCAGTTGCTGCAATCAGCACACCGGATGGTGGCTGTCGATAGGAAGAGCAGGGCGCGCTGTTTTGCATAGGGTGGCTATTGGGCAGAGGCAAATTCTTGTACACTATGGTCGTAGCCATCAATGGGCACTCGGCGAACAGCCACACAGCACGGCTTGCTCCTCCTGGGATTTCTCAGCCAGATGATTCGTTGACGTAGGTGCAATCGGTTGCGTTGACAGCACTGCATTTTCGATTGGTTTTCCGATCGAGGGGGCGTGACCTGCAGTCGATGCCGTCCAAGGCGAGCGAAGCGGAATAACGAAAGAGGCAGACAACATCCAAGGGTGCGATGGACCAGTTTACCGGAAACGCTGACGCCTGCAGATGAGAACGGGGCCGACATGGCCGCCACCCACCAACGTCGAGCGGCCGCGGGCTGACTTCTGTCGCTGGTAAGACTGCTGCGCCGTGCAACACGTCCGAGGCGTTCGCGGCTGCGGGATTGGAGTTGAAGCCCCGAAGTCGCGGATGGTGCAGTGGCCGTTTCTGCGGGATTGTAATACAGGGCCGCCTTTTGTGATATATGACGGGTCTCATGAATGTTCGTTCGATACGAGGCCGAGCCATGCCATGGTGACATTGTTACATGTGCCTGACTGTAGCCCAATGCCTCCGTTCGACGATATTTGACGTCGAAGGCTGTGCTGGATGGGTGCGCACGCTGACGTTCCGTCGCGCGAGTTCACAATGCGATCATTACCTCCGGTGGCGGGGTCACTCTGACGCTATCCTTCAGGGTCTGATCTGGTGGCATGTCCATCCACCCACGCGGGATCGGTGGGGTTTGCGGGAGGAAACTGGGATCTGTCAAAAGGGGGCAGACGGGAAGACCCTAGCATCGATACACCACGGGCTTGTTTTGTGCCCTTTCGTCCCGCCACCGACGATCGATCTGGAATCTGTTTTGGCTATCTGCCTTTCAGCACGTTGAAGACGGGAGATCACCAGACTTGCAATTGGACCTTGCGCTTAAGGAAGCATGGTTATGCTTGCTTCCAGCGCGTGAAGTCAGCGATTGAGAGGTGGTCCAAAATCGAGGCAACCCGTCTATGCGTCTGACGATTCCGGGCAGTACAGGACACATCAAGGTCGCGTTTTGTTGACAGCTCGACGTCAATAGAGCCGAGTCCACTTGGTGCAGATGCAAGGCATGCGTGCAGGACAGCCTGTCAATGTCAAGACAGCCTCACCATTTGGGCTGCATCGGTGCCCAAATGCAGCCAGCGCATCAGAAGGGGTTAAATGGGCCGACCATTGGCGTCGACCAGTGGGCAGGGCTGACAACAAGTGCCATGATTACATATTGCATCCAACGACGTCCCAGCAGAGGCAGCCCGGCTGTACTGGGAGGCCGGCCGGCGAGCCGTACTTGAGACTAGCAGGGGCCGCGGGTAAGCAAGCGGCTTTTCGGGGCTGGAGCATCAAGACGAGACGAGACGAGACGAGACGCCATGTTGCAGCCGTCGGTACGGATGCAGCACCAACCTCACGAGGAGATTCTCAATGACGCTGGAGCGGTTCGTTTCGTCTGCGCATGCAGTGCTAGGTCGCCGTGCCATCGGCTGCGATGCAGATGCTATCTGCGTGTCACCTTGGACATACTGGACGCAGCGTCAGGCAGTGGAGGGAGAGAGGATGGCAGTGGAGCGCTGATTGGCGATGTGTTGGCGTTCGTAGCTGTGGATGAGGGCATTGGGTCGTGCAGAAGGCGTTTCCCGCATGAGAAAAGCAGGCACGTGGGTATCTCGTCTGCATTGTGCCGTCCAGTGATCCCAGAGCAGCTAAGGTAGGTAGAGCAGACTGGAGCGCATACAGATCTGTCAACGTATGTTGGAGTTGGACTCGGTCTTTCGCGGAGCCATTTGTGGAATAGAACGGGTCGGAGCAGTCGGAGGATTTAGCCAGTCGATGTGCTTACCCCTTCGGCTTTCTGAGTAGGCGTGATTGGCACCGGCGGCAAAGGATAGACGGCGCTTCTGGCCGGTGACTCTGGGCAAAATCCGGAGTCTTCTCGTCTTTGAAAGCAGGACCGTCGCGTCCGGGACTCGGCTTCGGCGGGCATGAGAATGACGGGCGAAAATAGAATCGGCAAGTGCGCAATCGGACAAGCTGCCCCAGGTTGAGATCTCTCCAACATCCAGACTGATTGAGTCACGATTGGTGGATGCAACGGGGCAACTTGGGCTTGGGTGTCCATTATGACATGCCCCTGTCGATTGGAATCTCGACAACGCTGCTCCGATCGTCGTCCAGCCCCCCTTGCCAGTTCCTTTTTTTCCTTGACGGGTGGACCAATATGAGGAAGAAAGGGCGGTCAATTGCTTGATCGGAAGTTGATGAATGGGGGAGGTTTGCATCAACGAAGTGGATGTCGGCGGGTTTGAGGAAGAGCCCAACGAACCCAATTTCCACGCGCGAACCAATGTCCAATCGCGTAGGGAGGGCTGAGTTTTCAGGTCATCGTACATGGACCAAAGCCGCTAGAGACGGATGGAGAAGAATATCGAAGTTGTAGTCGAAAAGTACCTAACTTTTTGTATGGTCAGTATGTCGATTGGTGGTGGGCAGCCTTAGGAAGAGTAGCGCTTCGAGATGTTAGGTAGCTCGTGCAAAGACCAATGACCTGGGAAGAAGACTTCATCGTCCGATAAGTTGAAGAAAGTTGCTCGCAGCCCAAACCGATAGAAGAGTATTACTCCGTACTTTGATGTGATTGTGATGAATTGAACATGACATGTATGTAAAATGGAAATGACGGGAAGGAACAACGCATCAAAAAATACCTTCCTCAGGGTCCACCTCTGTAAACGGTCAACCTAAACTCCTCGAGGTCGCAACGTCCCGCGTGCCTTCCATATTGCCATCAGGTAGGTGCCTTCATTAGGTAGCGCGAGGTGCTGATAATGACGATGCAGAGCTCCAGACGGGAATCACTTTCTAAGGTAGGTAATTGCCTTGCCCGCTACGAGAAAAGGAAATCCGCCAGCTCCAGACCAGACGCTGCATCTAAACCCGAACCTGAACCTGAACCCCACGACACCGACACGGCCGCCGTCCAGGGCAACGGTGCCCCTCCCCCTCTTCTCAGAACACCCTGGTCAAGGTCGCTTGTTTTCTATACAAATCAGACGGACGCTCGCCTCATTCAGCCTGCCGCGCCCTCGCCGAAAGCCCACGCCCACACCTACCTACCTTACCTACCTACCTACCTTACGCCAGCAGCCACCTCGCAGACACGCAGACACGCAGACACCAGACGCAGACGCAGACGCGGACTCGCACTCTCCCACGCTTCTCGCACGCGGCACGCCCAGTCCAGCCGAGCCCAGCCATACCCAACTTCTTCCGATCCAATCCAGCAACGGCTGTATATGTCCTACATCAGAACATAGCTCGCCCATCTACGAAATCCTCGACGTCGTCTGCCGTCATCCTATTCAAAACCACATCTATCTGGCCGAAACCCAGACTGACCGAGCTCGACTCAGGTCACGTACTGCATAGCCCCGTCCGTGTCTGGGGGCCAGGCAAATCATATCTTTTGCAAGACCGATTTGTCGCCAATAGACAGCCAGCACGACGCTGCAGCCCTCAACTACGAATACCTGACTGTCGTCTAAAGTGAGCCCATCCAGGGTTCTTGATACTTCAAAACCACCACTCAACTTCTTCGCATCGCTTCCGGATGACAACACATATACTGCAGCTTCCCCAATCTACACCAATTATCTGTCGATAGCCTCCTACTCGAGCTTCGCAATTCCTCAAAAAGGCACATCGACTCCCGGTCGATCCTCCCTCGTTTCCCCCCACACACATCTTTCCCTCTCGTCTGAATATGCTCGGCGTCTTCACCATTACCCCTCTGCACATATCCATCTTCTTTCGTCACAGCATCTGATGTGCCATCTTGCTTGCGGTTGCCTGCATACTATCCGCCACCCTCGAGTTGCAACTGAACGTCCACAAAACGACACCCGCCGTCATTCTTGTCTCGCCTTCCCCGCGCCCGACCACTCCCCAGCCGCTGCCGCTGCCGCTGCCGCTGCCTCTGCCGCCGCCAGCCCAGTTTAGCTCCGACCTGCCTTCAGGCCGGCCCAAACCAAGCTTCAAGGTTGACCGTCTTTCCCTTCAGGGCCCATCCTTGTCTCCCGCCTGGTTCGCTCCCGGACCTGGTTCGCGGGCCTATCCATAATTAACACACTTCACCCCAAGAACCACACCGCTCAGAGCCTCATCTCACACCGTCTTGTCGAGCTCCTCGAGAACTCGTCGAGATTTGACGTGTTCTCCAAATTCGATTCATCATGGCGCAAACAAGCGCCTCCTCTACGGAGCCGCCTCCGTCGTCGACGACCCATCCCAGTAGCACTAGTTTCTTCCGCAAAATCTTCGGACGAAACAACGCGGCCCCGGCTCCCGGTCCTGTCGGGCCGCCCCAGCCAAAGGAGCCCGAGCCCGAACCCGAGCCCGACTCCGACGACCCGCAAAACGCTGAGCTGGGACGCCGGATCTCGAGAAAGGTCGTGCCTGGACTTCCTCGAGTGCAGACCTTCAAACGTCAACAGTCAGAGCGTAGAAATAATCTCGCACCAGTGGAGCCTTCACCAGCTGAGAGGCGTGCTCTGTCGGTGGATAGACGCGTGCAATCTTCACGTACAGCATCACAGGCCCAATCGTTTCCACGAGCTAGCGCTCCGGACCTATTCGAAAATGCCTCCTTCGAGGTTCAATCAGCTATATCCGCACCCGTCAGCCCCATCGAGGAACATGTAGAAGGAACGCTGCATCACGTGGTATCCGAAGTCACGGAGCCTGCGGTGGAAGAAGCTCATCTTCCCGAGGTCCAGTCGAACTCGGACGCGCATTCTGTCACAACATCTCAGTCTCAATACGAGGCCATGATTCATGACGAGCTTGAGACCACCTGGATTCTCAACCTCAGTATGCATTTCAGGGATAAGTCCAAGAGAGAAAAGTTCTTTGTAACTTACCGGGAGACGCCTACGCTGTGGCGCCGGGTCACTATCTCGCTAGACTATCGTAATGCGCCGGACAATTCGCTCGAGATGGACCTGTTACATACCAAGTCCCAACGCGATAAGAGCTCCAAAATTTACGAAGCAATCAGGGACAGCCTGCAAGACATTCAGTTTTACCAATCCGTCACCAACCTCAAATTACAGACTACTGATGGTCGACTTCATGTCCACGTGGTTGAAGACGTAAATGTGAGTCTGAGCGAAACAAACCTAGTTGAGGGCGTATTAACTTTTGGTAGGAAATCATCCAATATCCTACCGTCCGCCAAGTGCAACATCTAGGATGCCGGAGGATAAGAGAAAGCGATATCGATTTCGACTCTCATATGTCTGGTTTTGTTTACAAAGTGTGCGTTGGAGGCGAGGTGCTTATAAAGAAGGAAATCCCGGGTCCCGACACCATTGACGAGTTTCTTTATGAAATCAACGCGTTGAACCGACTCCGATACTCGAAGAACATCATTCGATTCTACGGGGTGGTTATTGATGATGACGACGAACACGTCAAGGGATTGCTCATCAGCTATGCCGTCCATGGCGCTCTCATTGATGTCATTTATGACAATCGACAAGAATCAGAGCTTGGCCTTCCCTGGCCGATTCGTGAGAAGTGGGCGCGCCAAATCGTGCAAGGCCTAGCGGATATCCACGAGGCTGGCTTTGTTCAGGGTGACTTCACTCTCTCGAACATTGTCATCGATTATGATGACGACGCCAAAATCATTGATATCAACAGAAGAGGCTGCCCTGTGGGATGGGAGCCTCCGGAAGCCACGCCTCTCATCGAGAGCAACCAGCGCATTTCAATGTACATTGGCGTCAAGTCTGACCTCTACCAGCTCGGCATGGTCTTGTGGGCGCTGGCCGCACAAGATGACGAACCCGAAGCTCAGGGACGTCCGCTGATGCTTGGCGAGGACCACGTCGTTCCCTCGTGGTATCGGGAGATTGTGGATATCTGTCTTAGTGACGATCCTCGATTACGACTACAGGCCTCATCGCTCATGGCACTGTTCCCGGATCCTGTGGACGGCGACGACATTGCTCCACCGTCCATTTCGGTGGATGACGGATACACAATGCAAGAATACTTTGTGGACGGATACAACGGCCCTGGGAGAGTCCGGACTGTTCAACCTTCGCAGGACTGGTCGTACGTAAACATGGGCCATACTTACGCCAACCCGAACGTGGGATTCTCACAGGACCCTTACTACTACACCAGAGGTCGGTCTCCGCCGAGCCCGCTCCCGAGCCACTACGGGCGCTGTGAGTCTCCCGGTAGGGGTCGTAGCATGTCCGGGTGGGCTGGCGCGAAGAATATCGCACCGTCTTACAGTGACATTGGAGTCGACGAAATGGAGGACGAGCCCAAGAGTGCGACGCCGACAACCAGCAAAGATTCCATTGCGACGCCGGAACCGTTGGAAGAGACGAACAAGGCGATGCATAAGAAACTGGAGAACCTGCAATTGACGCCGATGTCTAACGACTTGCCCTTGGACGACGTCGAGGTCGACCAAACCCCAGTGCAGGAGGACACTAAACTTGTGAGCGAGGAGTTTTCCAAGATCCTGTCCAGACACGATCTCGAGGAAAAACGCACGTCTGCCGATCCCATCGATACCAGGCCCTTGATGGCAAGTCCTATGACAGTCCAGAACGTTGCCATTGGTGAAGAGGAAACGAAGGCAGAACCTGAAAAGGTGGAGGAGGGTAGCCGAACGACGCCAGAGAAACAAAACACAAACGGGCAATCAGCGCCCGAAAAGGGGGACACAGGACCCAGTGACCAGATGGACAGAATCAAAGTCGCTTTGAGCGAGAAGGATGGTGCCGCGCAAGTTTCGGAGCACGAACTTGCTGCAGCGGATGCCCCCGCATCTCTGCCGGCTGACGGAGCGTGTACGGGAGGCGAGATCGGCTCAAGTGCGGAGGTGAGGCCGGATTCTGAGACCGAGGCCAAGCCTGTCGCCGAACCGAATATGACGACGCCATCCGACGCTGCAACTTTGCGAGCAGAATCATGCTCCGATCAGGAACATCGACTGCCCGAGATCGAAACCGAGAAAACGGAACCCCTGACGGGCTCATCCCAGTCAAGTTCTCAGCTGAGTTTTACAGACAAAACTAGCACGCCCAACGCTGAAGCACCGGAGCTCAAGGGTGTTGGGGCAGCTCATTCAGACTCGGATGAGCAAATGTTGCGGGAAAAGATGTCCCTCGACGATGATTTGACAGTGTCAGCAAAGGCCGCCACGATATCGACAGACGCTCATGTATGAAAGGTTGTAACACTAGAAGGACGGGGCCGGGCATTTTCAGGCGATTTCGTGCGTCGTTTTGCATAAGAAGCGACTGGGTATCCAACGCAGGAGGTTCTGTCTTGATTTGGCGATGTCACGGGAGGTTTCTAGCATAGCATCGGTGTAGAATTTCGGGGATCATGTACGTGTAACAGATGATGGATGGCGCAAGACCAACGTACCAACTCAAACTTGTGGCAATTGAGAATCAACCGATTTCGCTCTGAAGTCTTTTTTGGCTACCAAAAGTAACGATCTGATACCGGTAAAGGGTGCGAAGGTTGCTGGGACCAGACCGCCGGTAGATGTGCATTAAGTTGTGGCGAGATATTGGATGAGACGGTTGTTCCATTACCTTGGACTGGGGCAGCTGCTAAACAGACTCCGAGATCGATCGTGACGTGTGACGATGCAGCACGCCTCTGAGCGGTCGATCGGTCGGTCCAAGCCCAGGCCACGGAGACTTTTCTCCAAACTGCCCCAAGGAGAAGTCGGGACGAGTGGGAGAGAGCTCTCAGCTCTCAGCTTGGGAGCTTGGGGCGCCTCAGATTATGGGCGGCTAGCTCCCGCGGCGACAGTGTTTGGACGAAAGCAGTGACGGATTGACAGGGCGGGGTCGGGTGTGGCGTCGGCCAAGTGCGAGAGGGAGCGCCTTACCGTATGAGTACTAGCATGGAAAGGTTCCAGAATGGCGAACCCTTAGGTTTTCCTCCGATGAGGAGACTCTGGTGAAATCGTTGATCGTGAGCGCCGTTGGCGTGTTGTGATTATCTAATCCCCACGTGATCCATCAACAACCGCCACCGCGATGAAGGGAGCATAAGGAATGGCGATGTGCGTCTCGCCGTCCAGAAAAAATCCACCACGAAGAGAGAGAAGAGCAACCTCGGGTCGACGGCGGGCAAAGACACTTGTGATCCCTGCCGTGTCCTGCAGCTCTGGGGCGGAGGATTGCGGGGCAGGGTCCTGTTTCTGTTGGGGATGGGCCGGGATACCGAAGTGGAATCGCGAATGTCGTCTTTTTGGTCGCTTTGAAAAGATCTTCGGGGAACGGGGATTTCGTGGATCAGGTCCGGCCTTTGGAGCGAGTGTCACAAGGAGGCATCTGATGAAGCCGAGGCAGAGGAGGGTGGGGGTTTTCTTGCCCGTGGCCGACAATCATGTTCTTGCTGTTCTCAACACCAACGGCGCGCCACCGTCATAGGTAAAGTCCGGCAATCGTGGAGGGCGGAATGGGCGACGTCGCGTATCCGTAGGTTTGGAGTTCCACGTAATGGTTGTCGCGGCGATAAGGGAGGGAGCGATAAGTTCCCTGCCCGTCGGTGGACTCTGGAGGAGCCTTACCACCGCGAAGCTCGGGGGCAACACTTGGACGTGAGACCTCCGTCATTTGATGGAGCTTGGGTGGAGAAGATGTTGAGGCACTCCAAAGCAAACGCCACCGCCGATTGAACTCTGGCAGCTTTGGCTCACAGTCGTCGTTTCGCTGTCGCGGCGTGTACTGAATGAAGTAGTAAGTACCTATCTTAGGTCCTCACGCATGATCTGGCGGGGCTCAGAAAAGAGGTCGGTTGATCGGTCGGTCTGAGACAGAAACTTGTAGGTTACAAGTAGTGAGTCGCTTCATGCTTCTGACGAGGTCCCGACATTTCCCTTTCTCGTCCGATGAAGCGGTAAGCGGCTGTTGATGAGATTGCCCAGGCAGGCAGCTGCAGGAACGGCTACTGCATGTGGTAAGGCGGAATATCATGACGGCAGGCGAGAAGCCTTAAGTTGCCTTGTTTGTCGAAGAGGAGAGCGTGTCGAAGATGGCCGCTTGTATCGAGGGGGCATTTGAATCAGCATCGAAGAATCGCGATGCGTCGTTCGCATGGAGCACAGGGATGATCAACAGCAGTATGAGGGATAGACCTCGTGCCGCGGTCGCGGTGGTTTGAGTTGTGCTGTGTTTCCCGCCAGATGAAGCTCTGGTCAGCCCTCAGCCCTGGGGCCGGAGGAGTTGGAGTGGAGGGTGGACCCCATTCCAGAAAGGGAAAGGTTCGATTGCAGCCGCCAATCCGCCGCGCCCCAGAGGCGACCACATGGCAAGGGTCACCCCCTGCTTCATCCAATCAAGGGCCATCCATATTGAAAAGCGTTGGGGAAGTTGTTGGGAGCCGGGGCCTCTTTTTTTATTTTTTTTTATTTTTTATTCTTGTTTTTTTGGACTGCATCTCGTGCGTGCTTGCCAGTTATTCATTGCAGATTGACAACCTCGCATCGGTACAAACGATGTCAACGCAACCCCAGAGCTTGACAGGGTGGGAAAGAAGCCAGCGAAGGTGTGACCTGATCTGGGGCCGTCCATCGTCTCATCCTCGGCTTTGCGGAGAGATCCTGCGCGGGTTTGTCCTGAATTTGCTTCTGATTCTCGATCCTCGAGTCGTCAGTGGCATGTTTCTTTGCCAATATCGTCATGTTGGATGACATTCGAAGCCTTTTTGTTGGCTCTTTGAAATGGAGTCTTTGGAGGACATCTAATGACTATGCTAGATGAGTATGACCATCTTGATCCCCAACGAAGAATGATGCGTCGAGATGGCTCGGATCATGTCCTGCGCGGCGCATGGGCGTGAGGTTAAGGTTGAAGCTGTTGGGTGTGAGTGAGGCAACAAACAGACGGACCGACGGACAGACGGAGGAAAGGGAGGGATAGGGATGCCTGGGTAAATGATCAAGGTGAAAGATGAAGCAGAGGTGATGATCTATCTGGCAATGGCTCATTCGGTAGGTCGGGTCGGGCAATTGCTGGAAAACAATTCATGCAAAGGCAGTTGCTGTGATGTAAGAAACTCCGAGATCACTTCCTGTTACGATCGCTTTACACCACCGATTGGCACGTCTGCAAGGGAAGGGAAGGGAAGGCGCGTCCGGTACCTTTCCGGCGGTGGCAGGTGTGGGAGGTACAGCATCCCGATTATCCCGCCATGCTTTTATTTTTATGCTCATCTCAGGTCCCAACTTGTGCTTTTGTGCCTACCTAGGTAGGATGCCTGCCTTCCATCCGCATCCCACTTCGATTTTGATAGCCAACATTTCCTGCTGTTAAAGGGAAGGCAGGTAACATCTGACACTGTCAATCTGTACGGATACTGAGGTGAGGTACATCTGGCCGCCATTCGGATACACGCGTCGTCCGGTACCTCTCGGGAAGGCCATGCAGGAAGCTTCTTCTTCCCCCTTCCCATCTGCCCATTCTCTTTGCAAATCCCGGCCAGATCGAGGGTCCGGCCCATTCCTTTCTGGCAAGTCAAATCCAAACCCCACGACCCACGGCGCATCTGCCTTTGCATTTTTGGGCAATTGTGACTGACGGGACCTGACCTGATTGATTCACTTACACCCCTCCCCACCACACCTCCCACCCTTCCACTCCCAATTCCCACTCACTCAACTCGTTTGCTGGGATTTTTGAACCTGGTGGGTGGCGGACACCTCACCAGCATCAGCACCAGCACCAACTCCAGCACTACCGCCTCTCTCCTCGCCCAAAGGTACCCCGGCCTCTGTACTCCGTGCCTTCTCCCGTCCTTGCTGGGGTCCGTTAAACCTATCCGTTTCTCTTTATATAACTCACAACTCTTCGTTACCCTCCATCCACTTCGACTTTCCTTGTCCTCAGACTTTCCTTCACCAAACAGTCCACTGCCTCCCTGGCCCTTGGACGTCGATTCCATCGTGGACGTTGCTTCATCCTACAAGCACCAAAGCATCGTTCGAGTTGTCTCTGGAGACAGCCTAGGAGTTTCTAGTCTTGAGAGCATAACTGCCAACCTCGACCTACACATCTGAAGTCTGTTGGCTTTGTTTCCCGTCATCATGGCGACGACTTCGTCCTCCGCCGCCACGTCCAAGGCCGCTGGCAACTTCCCCGATGGCACCTCCGACTACATTCCCGCTCGTGCCTCCAAGGCTGCCGACAGCAAGAAGCCTCACATGTTCGTCTCCAATCACCCCAGGACACCCTCTTGGCATTTACTGATTTCTGAATAGTTCTACTCAGCCAATCACATGGGGCAACTGGTATAAGCACGTCAACTGGTTGAACACGACGTTCATCCTCGTCATCCCCCTCGTTGGCCTGATCTCCTCCTACTGGGTTCCTCTCCAGTGGAAGACCGCTGTCTTCGCCGTCGTTTATTACTTCAACACCGGTCTTGGAATTACTGCTGGATACCACCGTCTTTGGGCCCACCGCTCCTACAAGGCCAGCCTCCCCCTGAGAATCTACCTCGCCGCCGTCGGCGCTGGTGCTGTTGAGGGCTCCATCCGATGGTGGTCTCACGGCCACCGCGCTCACCACCGATACACCGATACCGACAAGGACCCCTACTCCGTCCGTAAGGGCCTTCTCTACAGCCACATCGGCTGGATGGTCATGAAGCAGGACCCCAAGCGCATGGGCCGAACCGACATCTCCGATCTCAACGAGGACCCTGTTGTCATGTGGCAGCACATCCACTTCATCAAGTGCGTCATCGGCATGGGTGTTGTCTTCCCTACCCTCGTCTGTGGTCTCGGCTGGGGTGACTGGATGGGTGGCTACATCTACGCCGGCATTCTTCGCATCTTCTTCGTCCAGCAGGCTACCTTCTGCGTCAACTCCCTGGCTCACTGGCTCGGTGACCAGCCCTTCGACGACCGCAACTCTCCTCGTGACCACGTCATCACTGCTCTCGTCACTCTCGGTGAGGGATACCACAACTTCCACCACGAGTTCCCCTCCGACTACCGCAACGCCATTCAGTGGTGGCAGTACGACCCTACCAAGTGGAGCATCTGGACCTGGAAGCAGCTTGGCCTTGCCTCCGACCTGAAGCAATTCCGCCAGAACGAGATCGAGAAGGGTCGTGTCCAGCAGCTCCAGAAGAAGCTCGACCAGAAGCGAGCCAAGCTTGACTGGGGTGTTCCCCTTGAACAGCTCCCGGTCATCAGCTGGGACGACTTTGTTTCGCAGTCCAAGAACGGACGTGGTCTTGTTGCCATCGCTGGTGTTATCCACGATGTTACCGATTTCATCAAGGACCATCCCGGTGGCAAGGCTCTTATCTCTTCCGCCATTGGAAAGGATGCGACTGCCACTTTCAACGGCGGTGTCTACCTCCACTCGAACGCCGCTCACAACCTTCTCTCCACCATGCGCGTTGGTGTTCTTCGCGGCGGTTGCGAGGTTGAAATCTGGAAGCGCGCTCAGTTCGAGAACAAGGACATGACCTATGTCACCGACTCCAACGGCCAGCGTATCACTCGTGCCGGGGATCAAGTCACCCGCGTTCAACCTCCCGTCGCCAGCGCCGACGCTGCATGAATGATACGAGAGTTGGGAAAATTAATGACATGGGGAGGCTTTGTTTCGATCTAAACTGGGTGGGGGTGATGTGAGAGTTCAAACTCTCATTTCAGTAAGCGGCTTCAAGCCAACCGACGAGAACCGCTTACTCCGGCTCTAAGGCCGTAATTGGTGTTCGCCCTACTCGACTCCTGAGGAAGAGTGGAAGCCACAGCCGACCTCACAATTATGGGTGTTTTTAAGGCGTTTGCGGGGTCGGGCATTGCAAAGGGCGTTCACTTACAGTTCTCAAAGCTGTTGCTTAGACTAGAAAATGAAAAGTCCATCAGAGGACGAGAATGACATACGATACATTTTACTTCATCTTTGAGAATCTTGTGTGCGTAACACGTGTGAGACTGACGTGATACTGGAAGCGCCTTGAGATATTCGACGTGCCACTGCGAACCAGGCAAGTTGATATTCAGATGGCGAGCGTCGTCGACTACGAAAGTGACTTCATCAGCCTCTAGCTCTTGGAGAGCCGCAATCACATGTTCTTTCTTCACCAGACATGTCCGTAATGACGGAAACCCCTCGCTTGGCATCATCCCGCACGCGGCAGATCAGGGGCATGAGGCTTATCTTGGGCTTGTGTCCGTACACACGGGGTCCCGTCGCCGCTAGGCCAAGCAAAGGAAGACCTGAGGGCATCCTCCTATCGACGACCGTCGGGGCGGGCATCGGGTTGGGGCGGAGACCCGGGCGAACGGCTCAGCCGCCGGACGGGGTGTGTAGTATACCTGATGACTTGACGGGCTACGAGGTGGATCGGCCAACGTGAACCGAACCGCCCAACCCTCCTCAACCGCCGCTTCCCCCCCCGCTGGTGGGTGCCGTACGGAAGGAAGGTACTTAACGTAGCGGGAACTAAAAGAGATGAATTATGCGCGGCGGTCACCAAGACCGACTTCCCCAACAGTTTCCTTTTTTATTTCAACCCCATTCATAGAAGTAAGTATTGACCGAGTGCTACTGCAACCTATCCCTATCTTAGGCCAACCAACTATCTCTCTCTAAAAATAAAAGTAAAAAAAATCGCACGGAATGCTCGGCCGTGGATGACGTCCCAGAGCATTTTCGGCGGCGCTTGGTGATCGAGATACATGCAACGGATAAGCGTCATGCCTGTGAAGGCCACTGGACTCATCAACGCTGCCTCGGGTTCACGAGACATGGATGTCCAGACAACACATCCCCGCGTCTTCACTTGCCACCCATCTCGGCCAACCCTTGCTGCCATGGTTGCCATCCACATCACCATCGATGGTCAGCAAGTGCTGTGGCGGTATTGGTGGTATACTGCCAAATTCAAAACGTAGCCTCGGGAGTCATCGGACATGTGAGTTGACCTATGTGAATTGCAAAGTAGGCAGGCAGTTCTGCCCTGAAACTATCGAATCTTCTACGCAATGCAATGCGTGTCTTCCCTCTTCAAAGCAAATATACCCTTCTCGCAGAGGGCGAGATGTTACTGACTCGGCAGGTCTAATGCAAATCTAGTACTTCATAGGAGAGAAAGAATACGAAACCAAACTTGCCCTCCGACGCCGCCCCTCATCGACTTCAACCCGCCCTCGAAAAACATGTAGCGGTGTGGTATCGTCACGTTATTGGACGTTGAAAAGTAGAATGCCTCCCCGATCCCTTACACCAACAATGCAACCGCCACGATCCAGACGAATGGGGCCATAAGTCTGTCAGGAGGCGAAATTTGGAAGAAGAAAAAAGACAAGTCGGGCTCAAATGCCTCCCGACAACCAGAGTTGCCTCAATACCGTAATTCCCAAACGCCTGCGTGCTATGATTGCGCGATGCAACTGAAAATATGCCGTCCCAGAGTAACGTATCGTCGTCGAAAATCATTTGAACAGGCTTCTGAGATCCAGCAGCCGTTGCCGAGCTGCTTCGCCCTTGTCGAAGACTCTGTCCTTCCTATCCATGCTAAGACTCGCGAGCTTGTTCTTCTTGTCCTGCAGTTCGAGCATCTTCTCCTCGAAGCTGTTTCGCATGATGTATCTGACCGTGCGGACGGGACGCTTCTGCCCAAGACGGTGGACTCGGTCAATAGCCTGAGCCTCGGCAGCCGGGTTGTACTGAGGCTCCATGACGTAGACGCTGTTGCCAGCCGTCAAGTTCAGTCCAAGACCTCCTGCTGTGATAGAAACAAGAATGACGTGGACGGAATCGTCTTCACGGAAAGTGTCCATGGCTTGAGTGCGGGCGATGCGTGTCATGCTGCCATCGAGCCGCACATACTTGATCTCGAGACTGTCGAGAGCCAACTGGATCAAATCAAGATGCGATGTCCACGTCGAGAACACGACGGACTTGTAGGGGGGCTCGTCCGGATTGGCATCGGTGTCGGCCCTAGACTTGAGGAGGTCTTCAATGAGTGCCCTGGTCTTTGTGTGAGGTCCGGAGTATTTCTCAAAGCTCTTGCGGCCATTCGTGGTGGTCTTGTCCTTAGCAGGACCCTCGTGCTCTGCCTTGACTTGGGACCGACGAATGTCCACGTAAGCAGGCTTGACAACAGCAGAACAGATGGGGCATGGTCCCATAGTCTGGCCGCTGGGCAGCAGTCGCTTGGCTTGCTCCTTGATACCCTTAATACATGAGCCGCAAACAATGTGGAAGCAGGGCGTCATGTAGCCCAAGATATCCTCCTGTCCCTCCGACTCGATGCTAGCGTCGTCGTTGGTGCCTAGCTTCTTGGAACAAGCGCTGCATATGTCCGAATTCGTCTCTTGCATCAACTCGAACATCTCGTACGCCTTGCGATTCGATAAGCCCGGCTTGGCATCTTCATCGTCGCTGTCCAGGTCAATAGCCATGTCAGCTGTCATTCCTTGAAGAGCCTCGAGATCTTCGTCGTTGAGAAGATCTTTGCCGTGAGCACAGAGAAGTCGCAGGCGCAAGATGGAGCGAAGGATATGAATGTAGGAATGACCTCCCAAAGCGCGCTGCGTGCCATTTCCTGCGAGAATCTTGACACGATCTTGGGCGTTCTTTTCGAAAAGATCGTAGATCTCCCGCTCCTCCGGTGTGAAGTCGAGTTTGACAATATGGTCACTCCGAGGAGGTAGGTTGATCTTGTCCTTCAACCGGCGAAGAGTGACACCATCGACCAGCACACGCAGCTTGGGAACAATTTCCGGGTCGCATGCTTTGAAAGGGTCCACGATGAAACGGTTGAACTTGTTGCGATCGTCGAAAGGCTTCAGTCTGATGAATTGGAGCAGAGCGGCCAAATCTTCGAGTCGGTTCTGGACCGGAGTTCCCGTGACGGCCCACCGTCGGGAAGCCTGCAGCCGAACGATAGCTTTGAACTGCAGGGTCGCAACTTCACGAATCATGTGCGCCTCGTCGAGCACGATTCGAAACCACCCAATCTCCTCCAAGGGATACTTGCCTGACTTCCGCTTACTGCGTGCACCTAGCTCGCTGGAAACGGAGCCGTACGTGGTGATGACCAGGTCGAAGTCGGCTAGCTTTTCAACCTCTTTGATGCGGTTCGAACCGTGGTAGACGTAGTAGCTGAGTTCACCAGGGGCGATGTGCTGCTTGATCTGCTCTTCCCAATTCGTGACCGTACTCAAAGGACAGACCAATAGCGTTGCTCTTGTGTTCTTGGTGATGTTCGTGAGGGGGAGAGTGCTAGAGGCTGAAGCTTTGCCTCCCACCTTTTGCGGCGGCATTTCAGGTTGAGTGGGCATGCGTCCCGCCCATTCGTTGGCCTGTCCCAGAGAACTGGCGATGAGTGATAGGACGCTGAGGGTCTTTCCCAAACCCATCATATCAGCGAGGATTCCACCGTGAGTGTCTCCAGGAAGTTGGCGCTCTACATGGCCTGTGATGACGTTGTAGTAAGACTTTTGACCACTGGGGCCGATTCGCAGCTGCCACATGGTTCCCTTGGTTCTCTCTTCGGCAGTTGACGTCTTCTCTCTGTTCGTCATGAAGTACAGACCCTGCTGCTGGTGTTTGAGAAGTGGGGTGGTTATGATGGGAGCTGGGTCAAGCAGCGGAAGTTCATCGCTGTGTCCCATAGAGTCAAAGACACCCATGACATCTGAGCGAATCTCCTCCACAGTCCGAGGAGCCGGATTCGTGTAGTATGTGGTGGATGACTGGGGATTGTAATGAGACAAGGCACCCGAGAGGGATCTCGGGGCAGCCGCAGCTGGCTTAGACTCGGCGTGGACATTCTCGTATCTGATACCCTTATCGACTCTGTTAGGGTGACGAAGTGTAATGTTGTGTCTTTGAAAGTGCTTGCCCACAGCCTTTGCAAACTTGTACTGGCCGTAGAGGGTCATTTCCACTGGATAGGATCGTGAAATCGGCTGACCGGGCTGTTCATCCGGCTGCTTTCTGCGGGCAGGAATCTTGCAGTCGGTTCTGAGGCGCACGTTGGAGTCTAGCAAGGGGACGAGCCCCGTGGCTGTCGGCGCGTCAACCATTCCAATGATTTCTCGAGTGTAATCGTAGGCCTGGATCCGCTTGGTGGAGTCTCCGATGATTCTCTTAAGAACAACCTTGACTGGTGGCATCCAGTCGGCCCCGAATATGCTCTGGGTGCCCGGCTTTGCGGATGGTACTTTGTGACAGTCCAGGTGAGCGGTGAGCATGCCATAGCAAACCTCTTCGTTAGCGGGGTTTTCGACCATGACCACGTCGTCATCGCCCCCTGTCAGATCGATCGACTGGGTGGCCGCGTTCGGCCTGTTGTTCTTGCCTTCCTCCTGTTTCTCGTTGACATAGGCTCCGAGCATGCCACTGCCTCCTCCACCCGCCATAGTCCTCTTGTTGTCTGCGTCGGACTCGGGAGTATCGAATTTTCTGCGCTTCGGTTGAGGGGCGGAGGGGCGATCCTGCACGTTGTTCATCCGTTCAATGACGTTGCCCATACCGTAAGGCGAAGGGCCGCCGTCAAGAACGGGCGTTGACGCGCCCGACGGCATGCTTGGCGTGAGAGACTCGCTCGGTGTATCGGTCGGGCTTGCGAACTGAAAAACGACCGAGTTGTTCATGTTCTGTTGGTGTGTCGGGGCTGCTCGGTTCGCTAGTGACTGTGGTTTAGGACTCCGTCCGGCGGCCGATGGTGCGTATGAACGAGGGTTCAGCAACGCTTGCGCATTCCAAGTTTGCGGCTGTGTGTTGGTCGCCAGACTGGCTCGGCCTAGAAAGAAAAAAGGAAAAAAATCGTCAGTGTTTCGCTCAGATCTTGGGTGGCAGACATGAGGTTGATGGAAAGGGCAGGAGCGGGGTCATCCAGACTGCAGCTTCGTGGGGTGTTTGCCTGAAGGCCGTGAATGGCTGCCAGGGGCAGAGAAGCGACTCACCATTTGATCCATTTGGAGGCGCCATGACGACGGCTTGCTACCAGGCTGGTGCTGTTGACCTTGATAATCAGAGTGCGTCGGATGCCTCGCACCGATGGGCTTCAAGAAGGCAGTCGGCGAGACTGGTTGCGATCATCACAAACGAGGTACGTGATGGTGGTGGTGGGCGTCAAGACGAGGAAGGTACCGGGCCTGTGACGATCTTTGGCCGAGCAATCCAACAGCGTAGGAGAGAAAGAGTCAGAACAAGCGTGTGAAGAATTGGGTCTGAAGAGAGGTACGAGGCGTCAATTCGAGGTTGATAATGGAGGCTTTGAACTTTTCATATAGATGGTGGCTTCGAATGTGGTAGTTGATTGGAGCGCAAGGTGGAATAGCGCCGAACGTCGTCTTGGACGTCGTCGTCGTCGTCGTCGTTATTGTCGTCGTCGAGTCAAGTCGACACTGGATCAAAGAGTGTTTGCTTCCATACCGGCGCGGGTCGTTCGTTACCTTCAGATAGGGCGAATAAATAAAAAGAGAGAAAGGAAAGAAGCCTCCCGCCGTCTGGCGCAACTGCCAGAAAAAAGACAAAAAAGGCGATGGAACTGAGGCAAGCGCAGTTCTGAGGTATTCCTTCCACCTCAGGCAAGAAAGAACGACCCTAAGATGTCGGGTGGTGGTGGTTGCTGATTGCTGATTGCTGATTGCTGAGTGCTGAGTGCTGAGGTAGGCGCGGCACATGGAATGCGGTGCGGCGCTGGCTGCAGCCTTCTTGCAGCTGAGGTCACTCCCTCCTCCACGGGCGGGGCAATCTCCTGTGGAGACCCAGACCCGTTGATTCCCGATTCCGATTAGCTACCTGGAAAGTTCGTCTTCCTCACGTGGCCACCCATTTCAACCTGGGAGAGGGAGCCTGGTCTGTGCGCCCCACATCAACCCATCCCGTCCACGTCTCTGGCCAGCATCCCACTCTTTCGTGTCACTCGAGCCGAGACTATCTCCTCCCACTACGCAGTAGCATCACCTCGTCCAAGGCAACCTGTGAAAGTCTGTGTGGTCACTTGACCCGACAACTTTTTTTTTCTGCCCATCTGCACCAACTGGACTCTCCGTATCACTCACTGCCTTTCTTTCTCCCAATCCGTCTGGTCTGACACCTCAATTGCTACCTATCAATGTGTAACCCGGTTTTGCCGTATTAATACACCATCATAGATACATCGTTGCGTTGCGTTGCTCCAACTCACACTCATCTGCTCCCCATCTTGAGGAGCCATGTCCTTGACCGAGAACACCAAACCTCCTTTTTCCCAGATGACTACCACCAAGTCGCCATTTGTGCCTCGCTAGTCGCAGCCGTTCTTTCTTCGACATTCCCGATCTAACCCATCGCTCCCGTTCAAAGTATCTGGGAGATGGCTGCTCGTACCGCCTCCACAGGACTGTCACGTCACACCTGTCCTGTGTATGAGCACAACCCAGTCACACCGTGATCCGATAGTCTGGGTGGACTGTCTTGCGTTATCTGAGCTGTCCGAGACATGGATATCTTGGAGAGGATTGCCGCCAGCGTTGTTGTCGCTCTTGCTCTTAGGCCCGTCAGTGCTAGCGGCGGTAAACATTCTTCACCGCGGGTTCGTATTGGCGTACACCTCAGTGCCATGTGAGAGCAATGCTCAACTGGCGATTCTGTCTTCATCTCTTCCTTCTGCCCTGGGTTCATTTCGTCCCTCTCCTGCCTCGTGACTGGCGATCTCATCATCGTCAGCCCTGTCCGGGCTTGCCTTTCTTGAAAAGCTCCTGGAACAGCCGAGGGAGCTGCTCCTTGGGCTGGTGTGCTTCCTTGGTGTGGGTCCGGCTCCGGCTCCGGGTCCTCTGACGGCGTCTAGGTGGTGCTTGCTGGTGATTGGGTGATCTGGAACGGGATGGGCTCTGGCTTCGACGTTTGTCAAGAAGGACGGCCCGGAGAAGACGCTTCCTCGTAGGGGAAACAGAAGGGTTCAATATGGCCCGGGAGGAAGCCCGTGAAGATAGCGCTATCGGCGAAGTTGATCGACGTCGGGGACGGCCGCGAAAGGTGCTGGATTCGCCGGTGCCGCCGTAGTGGGTCGCCGCCGTGTCACACCTCGTGAGGCTTCTGTGCCTCTTGCGGCCGCGTTGAGCATCTGGGTCGGGCGAGAAGGGCCTTGACGTCATCTCCCGGAACCCAATGCTGGTCTCCAACTGAGAAGCCATGTTTTTGGAATATCATGCAAGAAAAGGGATAGCTGAGAGAAAACGCCTATAGATTGATAACACGTCTATTGGCTGAGGGCAGTGATGTCCTGACGGAGATGGCATTGAAAGGGTGGAGGGAACGAACACAAGATAAAAGAATTTCAAAAGCGCTCCAAATGAGGGGGGACAGAGCACGAGGTACGAAGGAGCTGGCTGGTGCGGCTGGAAATTGACTTGATCGGGATCTCGCAAGACACGGCAGGCTTGGAGGTGGGAAGATCACTCGGGTCGGCGGGATGTCGAGTCGTCCAAACCGCAAACGATGATGCTGAACCTGTCACTCGGCAAGGGGAGCCACTCAGCATTCCTGGAATTAAACGTTGGCACGGATAACCTGCAGATGCTCCATGGCACGGCGGAACAGGATTGGTCGAGGTGATGCAAACGGAAGCTTTCCAAGACGATCCAGCAAGAGAGCGTCGACTTGTCGGCTGATGATGAATCGAACCAATTCGCGGGTGGAAAGACATGGACCTCCGGCCGGTGTGAGTGGGCCCATCTGCAACCCGAGAGTTTGGGGATCCTGGGGCCATGATAGAAGTAGATGCATCTTATTTGCTGTCTAACGCGTCTTGGACTACTCAGTAAAGGGAAGAGCTAGAGCCTACCATGGTAGACGGGACGGTTCTGAATGTTGCATACTGGCCATCTCCCGTTCTGTATGACTTGCAGAACTCAGAACGGAGATCCAACCTTCTCGATTCCTAAGGCAGTTGTCTACACAGTGACGGTTTCATCTCACTACCAGTTCGCCGATCGTTACATATTGAGAGCTATTTTGGAGGTAGGTATCACAAGCTACATTGGCAACGTCGGGGCGAGTCAACATGACTTCGTTCTTTCCGATGCTCCCGTCCTGTCAACGGCTACTTGCCGCCATACAAGCTGATCCGGGCATCTCAGGTACCTAAGACCTCCGGCGAGTTAGCAATGTAGTAGCCAAACGTTCTTCACACGGGAGGCCGTTTTGATTCAGAGAGAAGCTTTCACTGCTGACGGAGCTATGGGCCAGCCACTCAACGAAAGCAACTTCAACACGGGGATGCGAGTTTGGAAAGGGACTGGTAACGAGAATCCCGTTACGTTGCCTTGACTTAGGTACCTTAGTCAGCCGGGTAGATGCGGCGTTTACTACCTGTGGCCGCCGCCTGGAACCTTCCAGGTTACTGGAAATCCAACCAACAGCAGCTGAAAGTGCTGCGTGGCCAGGACAAATTAGGCTGCCTCGGTGCCCTGGATCGGACCTACCAGGATGATAGTAGCAGCAGCACCCGTCGCACCTCAGCGCCAATGACAGCATCGCGGACTGCCGAAACTTGACGACACACGCTTCCATTCTTGACGACGACGACGACGCGACATCTGGCAAATCGTTCTTTTACGTGTCGGCAACAACCACCTGTTCACCTTGTACCATTTCTACCACCATCATCAGACCTGCTATTTGCCCTCGTTATCGAAGCCACCGTCACCATCTCTGTATTACTACTTGTCTTCTTTTCCCTCCCTTCTTTCCATAGATTTACGTGTGGCGCCCTACTTCGTCTTTTGGCCAGGTTTCCGCTCTCTTCTTATCGATAGACTTTTCACACACCAGCGGCGAAGCGATACAGTTTCAACCTGTTCAATCGATAAATACGGTACAAAAGGCCTTTGCCCCATACACACATGGCCCAAGTCTCTCGCAACATCTTCTCCCTACGATAATCGCCTCCCTCCCTTCGTTCTTTGCTCGACCGACCGCCCACGATGCCTCGCTCCTCGAGACCACCCACGACGGGCTACGAGCGCCTAGCTCAAGCCGACGCCCTCTCCTCCGACTCCGAAGACGACGATCCTCTGACCCAGTCCTATGCGTCGCTCCAGCCACCGTCGGCCCCTTGCTTCGCCCCCATCTCCCAACCGCGCCCCCGCTCCGGCATGACGACCCCGAAACCTGTTACCATATCTTCTTCCGGCCCCTCGAGACCGAGAAACCGCCGTCGCGTCGGCAGCAACTCCGGTATCGACGTCAAGGCTATCAACGCCCGTCTCGAGCGTTGGGCCGATGAGATCGCCAGCCGATTCAAGCGCGCCAAGGGCCGCGGCAAGGTTGGCGAGGAAGAACGTCTGGAGATCCACCACTCCGTCTTTCAGGCTCCCGAGGGCGTCCGGCCCATTACTCCGGAGAGCCTGGCCGCGCCTCAAGATGTCATGACAAAGTCTCAGTTTGAGGAGATAATCGGCAACGTTAGGCAGGCAATTTTGCAAGGGACGCATCCGCGCATGATCTCCCAGGGAAGCTCTGGCAGCTACTTTGCTCGGAATACCGAAGGGAAGGTTGTGGGTGTCTTCAAGCCCAAGGACGAGGAACCGTACGCAGCTGGTAACCCCAAATGGAACAAGTGGATTCACCGGAACTTGTTCCCGTGCTGTTTCGGAAGAGCCTGGTAAGTCCTCACTGTCGAATACAAACAGACGGGTAGCTAACGATTTGTAGCCTCATTCCCAACCTCTCATACGTTAGCGAGGCTGCTGCGTACACTCTCGATTGTCAACTACGCACACACATGGTACCGTACACGGACGTAGTATGGCTCTCGTCCAAATCGTTCCACTACCCCTTCTGGGACCGTCACAACTACTATCGCAAACAAAAACCTCTCCCAGAAAAGCCAGGAAGTTTCCAGGTCTTCCTCAAGGGCTTTAAAGATGCCAACGTGTTCCTGAGAGAACACCCGTGGCCAGACCAGTACTGGTCCGGGTTCAGGGCTAACGACCCGCACCGCAAACGGAGGAGGAGATGGGCGGATAACTGCCGCCCCAGCAGCGGTGCAGCGCTAGACGACATCGAGAGCGACGACGAAGAAAGCAGACAGGAAGAATTGCCCCTAGGGCCCGACAACTTCGTATGGACCGAGTCGCTCAAGCAGTCTTTTCGCGAAGAACTGGAGAAGCTGGTCATTCTTGACTACATCATGCGAAACACAGATCGCGGTCTTGACAACTGGATGATCAAGGTGGACTGGAGCACACAGGAAGTCTCAATCGCGTCAGAACCGCTCCAGATGCACATGGAGACGGGCCCATCTGAGGAAGACGGCCCGCGGCCGGTAGATTTGAGCCAGCGACCATCGCCAAACCGGTCTTCATACCCCTACAAGACGCAGCAGCCAATGCAGGCATCGAGCCCCTTGCCCAGAACGCAAGACCCTAAGATTACGATCGGTGCCATTGACAACTCACTCTCCTGGCCCTGGAAACATCCAGACGCATGGCGAAGGTACATTGAACTTCCACTCCTACTCCTCACGACAGCCTAGCCGGGCGAGAAATGAGTTCACACAGGAACTATCACGCTAATCAACACTTCACGCGCAGTTTCCCCTTTGGATGGCTCTTCCTACCTGTCGACCTCATTGGCCGGCCGTTCTCGCAAAAGACGCGAGATCATTTCCTCCCTCTGCTGACATCGACACACTGGTGGAGTCAGACGCAGCTGGCGCTGCGGAAGGTGTTCCAATTGGATCCCGATTTCCAAGAAAAGATGTTCGCTCGGCAGATCGCCGTAATGAAGGGACAGGCATGGAACGTCGTCGAGACGCTCAAGACGCCGGATCATGGCCCGCTGGAGCTCACTCGCCGCGCCAAGGTTTGCGTTTGGGACGACCTCGTCGACGTGCCTGTCGCCGTGCCCATGCGCGTCACGTCCGCCGAGATGATGCGCCACGAAGCAGAGCTCCGCCGGTCCATTGACGAGGGCGACATTGGCGAGGCCAACCCATCCAACGCGCCCCCGCACCGCGTCGACGAGGACCTGCTCGGTTTGGCGAGTCCCCCGGCCGACATGCCTCATCCGGGCAGGTTCGAGCTCGCGATGAGTCCGACGGGCGAGGGCGCCCAGTCACCAGACGAGACGTCGATGAATGGCTCTGGGATCTTGGCGTCGTCGGCGCCTCTGGGTAAGGAACAAACGGTGCAGAGACCGAAGTTCTCGGGTCCCGCACACCGTGAAAGTTATCACGGATCTCGAGCTCTGAACATGTACTCGCCCGCCCGTCAGCAGCAGTCACAACAGCGACGCTACTCGTTCGCAACAGCCACGGGACGACGCAACGGCAGCAGCATCGCCCAGCAGCTGTACGGAGGCCGTCCGAGCCAGGAAAATGACGACGAAGACGGCGACCTCGAGGAGGGCGACCTGGGCTATGCGGCGGCGGAGGGAATGGAGGGGAACCAACGCAAGGTTATTGTGGAGAGGCTGGAGCCGGTCAAAGCCAGGAACCCGGTTTTCACCTGTTGGTGATCCACCCGCGGCTTGCATCGAGCAAAACATATGGGGGCGGCGCGGAGTTCAAAGAGGAGTTTGCTTGGAGCTATGGCATTGGGTGGTGGGCTCGCTCCGCTCGCTGCGCCTGCAAGGAGTATCATTATTTTCCACTCTAGGTTGTTGTTGTTATCGTCGTCTGCTTTTTTGGGCAACCAGCACGCCGAGTACGAACAAGGGGAGCCGGGAGTTCGTTGGGTTCATTTCGGATCTTGTCTAGAATAGTGACTGCGCGTCAGGACGAATCATGGCATCACCACCACCATCATCATCATCATCACTTGGAGGCATTGACGGCGTTTTTGTAGCCGGTGCTGTTCCCACCAATATCCTCGGCGGCCTGCTTGGCAGAGGCCGGGGCAGGGTAGGAGACATGAGAGAAGACGAGAGTATGAGAAAAAGACACGATGCGGAAGACACGTCAGTCAACGACGACAACTCAGAGAGACATGACGGACCGAGCAAGGGGCCTACGGAGGGGTAATGCAACGAAGGAAAAGCAAAGGAGAGAGAAAGAAAAAAAGGGCCTTGCCTAAGATGAGAGGGGTATCTACTGTCTGCATGATTATTATTTTTTTCTTCCGTTCTCGAACGTGGTTGGAAAGGCGCAATGCAGAGAGCCTCTTTCGGCGACTCGAGAACCCCTTTATGAATCGGGCAAGGATTTACCAACCCAGCAGCCTTGTTGGTCGTGCTCATCCGGTACCAGCCCGGGGGGTTGCGGCCGCCGAGAGCACGACCGGCTTTTTTTGTAGTATACGTGTAATGAACGCATCCTTCCAAAGTACCTTGACCAAATTAACTAGTATTCTCACTGGCAGACCTACCTACGTACCACGAGGAGGCACTTTAGACCATCGTATCGGGTGCCGAACAACGGTGATTGTTGAAAAGTGACTGGTCGTGTCGTACGAATGGTCGCCGCCGGTTGGCCGCTGCCAGGCGCGGCCAACAACATGAGTTGACATCTCGTGTCTGCCGTCGAGCGAGGCAGGCCGCCCAAGATTCGGCCTCGCGCGTTTCAAGGCCCAGGACGGACGAAAAGACGCGGCGCGTCCACTCGCGAGCTCGTCAAGGGGATATTGGCAGCTGTCGACGTGCGATCTGTGCGCGCAGCCAGCAATGTCATATTGCTATTATTATAGGAGGGTGGGCGTCGGTATTAAGACCAAATTCCGTATCGTCGGTAGATCAAAAATGGGATGAGATACCGGATAGGAAAAGTCGAGGCGGACGGCCGCCCCCATGAATCATCATGACCGCAGTAAAGCCGCTCGCTGCTGGCGGACTGCGGACGACGTATCCCGCACATTCATTTACGACTTTCGGCTCGTAGGACCGGCGCCGCCCTCTCCATCTCGCAACTGCATGGCCTTCTAGAAGTATTCTCCGTTCCCTGTGAGACGCCAGAACCCGGTCCTGGACAATGGAAATGGGTTAGGGCAATTGACGAGCTTGACTGGAGCGAGGAAGCGGCAGGCAGCTCCGCTTGACCTCCAGCATTACCTAGGAAGGGAGGGTCCGGCCAGGTATCTTTGGAATTGTAGTGGATTCTCTCTGCGGTATTCGTATAGGGGTTTGCTGACTTGCCGTTGATAAAAAAGAAAGCCAGATGGTGCCCAGCGTCCCGTCGAAGGAGAACCCGAGAGGCCGGTTCTGTTCAGAGGAAATTGAAGAGGGAGGTAGGGAACAAGCAGGGTCTTCCCTGACTAGGGCTCCCCTGTCGGTGGAGCTGAATGCGACTCCTCATCGACCGCCAACTCATCTCCTTCCCCTCTCTGCATGGGAGAAGAAAGGCCGGAAGGAAAGCTGTTGGAACACAGAGGAGCCGACCCAGTCTCTCTCATACCGGATAAACAGACTGGGCAATGACCAGATGCCAAATCCCGCACCGTGCAGAGGCGAATACGGCCAATGGTAGCAAGTCGTGAAGCTCAGAGGCTGGTTCGAGGTTCCTGTTGGTGAGTTCGAGTCGTGAGAAACAATTACACACAGTAGTCCGTTACGGAGAACTGGGTCAAATGCTCCCATCTGACGCGCAGCATCTCTAACGAGCTAGCTTCTTGCCTCACTCCCTCGAGCGGAAGGATTGTCTTGCGCCGTCATTTAGGAACCATGCGATCCTGATTGTGTGCGCAAGGAGACACGATCCTGTCGTAGAAGCTGATAAACTGCATCATTAGCATGCCCCTGTTCCGGATCCTTCTGCGTGGCTGGCTGGATGATTACCATGTGGGAAACCACACTTTTGAGAGTCATCAGTCGAGAGTCCGTCCAATCATGCGGCTACCGTGACTTTCGAGATGTTCTCTTCGCAGCCTTTGTGAGGCATTATAACGGCAACCCCAGCTAGGTCACTGCCCACCATCAGGGGAGTTTCCGGCCAGCCCGTACTCTCCCGTGCAGTACCAATGTCCCAAGAAATAAACCACTTGCAGCCGGTGAGACCGCGGCTGACTTCGACGTGTAATGCGAAGTGGCCGCAAGGGCCGGGAAGCAGCTCCGTGTCTCTTGCTCTGACGTCAAGGAATGGCCGACTTGGTGTGCCACGCCCGCCGATGCGGTCCTCCAGGCGAAAAGGAACGAATGACAATAAAAGCAGTAAACCGTCGTTTCATGGTGTCTCTTGTTGCTTTTGCTCATCCGCTATGCAGTGCATTTGAACTCGTTGGTGCAATGGTTGCAGGGTACAGGGCGTACGTGGCCGACGTCGACAGGCATTGTGCTCCCGAGCACCAGGGCGCGGTCTTGTCGACAAGGAAGGGTTGTCGACCTTCGCTCCTCGGTTCCCAAATAGCTGGAACCAGGAGAGTTTTGTGGCTCGCGTCATCGCGCGCTTCTCCCGAAGCTCCACCATCCGACCGGCAACAACCCAGTCGATGAGCTTGGGTTGTTCTCTCTGATAGTTTCAAATTGCAGAGCGGCCCGTCAAGGGGTTCGTGAGTGAGTTGGGTCCCCCAATTTCTTCTTCCAACATTCATCAAATCATCTCCGCACAGAAACACTGTTGGCGCGACCTTCCTGCAGCTCGACATGTCAGTCCAATGATGTACCCCCGTCTGACAACTGCCTCTTTTCAACATGAGCAAATAAGAAAGGTACGTTGCAAAGAGAAGGGAGTATTCGTAGTTAGGTAAAGCTTCATCAGCACGCAACCGAAGACGCCGACGTGTCAAAATATAGCGACGTAACCTACCGGTCAGGAAGATTGCCCCTACCTATACTTTGCAGAGCTTCGCCAATCATGTGCGCATTGTGCCGCCATCCGACCGAAACCTCCCAACGCAAGTCGTGAGGTGGTGTGGTGGAGGTCTGCAGATGAAAAGCAGGCATGCATGCTAAGCAGAGTAAAGATCGATGTATTCCTTGCGTTGTCCGTCTCCTCAGTCTACCGTGTTATGAGATACTGCCCTTGAGCGGGCCTCAACGCGCTAGCTTGAGTGCATATGATTGAATGCCTGTTTGTGAGAGGATCAGACCATGGGCTCCGCTTGGGGTTTATCGGCCGCATATTGTCCCAGCCTGCTTTATGCCAAACAACTCGAGCGACCTGACTTAGAGGAGATTCAGCCTGCGAGTCGTACGAGACTAGAAGGTTGCGTTTAGTTTGCTGTTTCTGCCGATTGGGTCTTCGTTCACCGCGTCCCGCGGGTACGGGCTGTTGAGGGCTGCTGCGAAAGTCAAGAGCAGCATCCCGAGTCCGTGTTCTCGGAAAACCTCTGCAACTACCAGATGGCTGGAACGAAAGGCCGTCACGCTGACATAGACTATACCCCCTTTTGTGTGACCCGGGGTCCTATCGGGAGTTGTGCAACGCCCCTTTAGTCCAGCAAGAGGGCTTCCCACCTTCCTTCGCTACTTCGCCTTCAGAGAAGCCAACGACCGGATCCTTGGGACATAGAATCCTCGGGGTTGATTATAGCTCCGCGTGCAACGGGTGTAGATCGGCCATGCAACCCCTCCTTTAAGCAATGTTCCCACCTGCCGCAGAGTGAGGAGGGGGTTGGAATAGGCAGAAAAAAAGGGATGGCCAGCTGTCTGCTGCAGAAGAGCTTCCCATTCCCTGGGCCATGGAGGGTTACAACGGGAGGGTGTGTTAGGCCCTGTACTCCGGTCCTGCGCTGCGGGTGGTCTCAGGAACGATGTCCACCACTGGGCTTCGTCGTGTGTGGGTGGGTGGGTGTATGTGTGTGTGCGTCTCTACCGTGCGTAAAGAAGGGTCACCAGTATGTTCGCCCGACTTCAGGTCAACCGTTTTGATGCATTGAAATCGTCTCGTTACGTCGCCACGGTAGGTGTAGATAGATAGGTTGGGTCATTCGTATGTGTGGCTTTATGTAGCCCTGCGAGAAGTTGGTCTGTGATGGCGCGTCCCGCTAGACGATGACCAGGTCGTTCAAAAAGCAACCGTCTACCTGGAAGCCGGAACAGCTTGTGAAGGCCAGCCACGGTTAACGGAATCCATGGATCTGGCAACTGGTAAGAGCGGTGTCCAGGATGGTTGGACCCGCTGCCACACCCGCCCTATACCACTCGATGGCCTAGGATTAGCACGTCTTGGTCGTCTGCCGTCTCCATTATCGAATTTTTGGGTGCACAGGGATGGTCCGGGGCCAGCAATAACACCAGAAGACATATCCATGTCACCTGAAGTATGCCTCGTCTGCACCACGAACCAAAGGGCGCCGAAACAGGCTTCCAACTCCTCTTGGTCGCAATGTACTAACCCAAGATCGACAGCGGCATCGTGGGGTGTAGGCCGAAGGCCCGTCCAATCTGAAGTCTGACCAGCCCGTCGTCGCTCCACCTCCGGGACCGCGGACAGCTTAATTTTATGTGTATTAGACACGACTGCCGCCTTCGTGAAGGTCCCTGTGGCTCTGATATGGCTCTGTCGAAGGTTCTTGGGAAAGCCGTGTTTGAATCCTGGCCCTTGTCTCTTGTCCCTTCTCTTTGAAGTTTGAACGTCGTTCCGTTGGAGCATAACACGCACCAATACAGCCTCAGTTCCGTCCGAAGATCGATTCCGGAAGTCTGGACGGGGTGAGAGACATCTTCCGCTGCGCGAAAAAGACGGCCATAGGGCAGTCGAAGGCCTCTTCTGGTGTGCAGGATGGCAAAGTACGGCTCCTCGTCGCCAGTTGCAATGGTGACCGCTAACTTCCTACAGCGATCCGCAAACAGTCCCCTTGGACAATGCCTTTCTCGAGACTGTCACGTATATGGGCAGAGAGTTTCAGCAATATGCTGTCGACAACGGTGCATACTTTGCGCCCATTGACGAAGTAAGTGGAATTCCATGTCCCTTGAAATCGGTTGTCGCCTTGCTCAACCATCCTCCTGACTTGTAGGATGAGATCGAACGCTTGCAAATGATGCACCTCCTATTCTCGATAGTTTTCGAAAACTCGCTCATATTCCCACCCATTTCGAGGCCCAGGCGAATACTTGACTGCGGATTTGGTACGGGCGACTGGGCCATCGAAGTCGCACAACAACACCCTAACTGCGAGGTATGTATTGCACGCTCGCAAAGCATGTGCCCTTTTCCTTCAATTTGGAGACCGAATCATGGCGACAGACGTTTGTTTGGCCTTGAGTGGAGGCGTTCGGCGCCCTCGTCGAGGGTCAACTGCACTCCTAACAGAGGCCCCTTTTCCGCGTTGGTTCGGTAACATTCGCAACCAAACTCGACGTCCTCACCGCCACCTGCAGCTGAGCCTTCAATCGCCATTGAGATCGGAATCGTGCGCATCTGCTTCTTGGTACTGTGCTCCGGAAACAACTGCTGAACCGAGACCACAGGTAGTAGCTATCGATATTTGCCCGCATATTTGGCCTGACGAGTCGCTCACGCCGCCAAATCTCAATCTTCAGGTCGATGACTTGAATGGAAGGTAAGGAGACCTCAATTGCCCCTCTGCCATGCACAGTCCCAAGTCGCTCGCCGCTAACCCCGGGCAGGTTCACGTTTCCGTCGAACCATTTCGATCTAGTGCACAGCCGAATGATGGCTGGCGGGATTCATTCGAACCGGTGGAGAGACTATCTTCGAGACATCCATCGCGTACTGCGACCTGGTGGCTGGGTGCAGACGGTGGAGATATACTTCAACGCGCAATCGGACAACGGCACGCTGACCCAGAGTGCGTTGTTTTCCTTCCCGTATGAGAGCATCCGCTGATCTCTGAGTTTGCCAGATCATGCTCTTCGAAGATGGTCGAGACGATACTTGGATAGTATGCAGCCGTACAAAGATCCTCGTGCACCGTTACAGATGCAAAGTTGGATGCAGAGCGCAGGTTTTGATTCCGTGGAAACCCAGATGATTCCTTTGCCGACTTGCGCTTGGTCCAGTGGTAAGAAGCCCCCGTAGACTCGAGAGAGGGTGACAGAGCTGACCAGACACCAGACCCAAGGCAGCATCAGATCGGCCAAGCAAATAGAGAGAACGTCAGGAGGTTGTTATCCTCTCTCGGGCATTATCCCATGACGGAATTCCGGGGGTAAGTTCTGGTGGACCAGCTCAAGCTGACGCTCACCAAGGCACACGTGCTTGGGGAAGCAAAGCTGACCATGCAATCACAGCATGACATCTCAGGAATTCCAAGTCTTGGTAGCCCAGGCAAGGAGTGAGGCAGATAATCCTGCGTTCCGGGTAAGTCTCATCGTATGTCAACTGTCTGCTGAGGGGTTCTTAACTAACACAACGGCCATGGCCTGTGGTATGGATAGGCGTACTTTCCAATGTGAGTGTGTCCGGTTAGGCCTTTTTGCCCAATAAGACTGACAAAGATATGCCCCAGGTATGTATGCATAGGTCGAAAACCTCGTCGGTGAGGCGTTCATGTGTCTCAATCAGCGGAATGTATAGTTGCATTTTCAGGCAAGCACCCTGAGGGATCGAGTTTTCGTAATGGGTCGACCGGTTTTCTGGGTTGGAGTTTCGATGATCATGATATACGGCAGCCAATACCCCGTGTCTAGCTCCAAAATTATCTGGACATAATTTCTTTGCTTATCGCGTCTGTGGCGTGAGCTCGATTGCGTGAATGATGTTGTTAAGAACTGGTGAAGAGTTCGCGGGACAACAGGCGACCCCGGTCGACAGTACTTTGGGACAAGCCCGGTTTTGCAAGTCTGTTGTTTTGGCCAAGTTTCTGTCTGGTGCTATCCGAGCAGCAATCGGTAGGTTCATTGTTGATGGGGCGAAATACTCCAAGTGCCTGGAGACTGGTCCGAATTGTGCTTGAGCCATGTTGGGGATGGATTGAAGTGATCCACGGTTGACGAAGGTATAGAGAAAACCAACCGCTATTGTACGACTGAGGCCCAGTTGAACTTTTCTCGATAACGGAAGGATGCTGAGGACAATGCGGCTGCTTTTCGGTGCAGCAGATATGATCAGTCGGATGGGAAAGGAGGGAAGGCGATGTGGTCCGGGCGAGGAGACCAAGGTAGGAAGGAGGACATGATGTTGAAAGAGAGTCAGAACCAAGTGGAGAGCCACGGAAGCTAAGGAGTTTAAGCAAGCAGAGGTAGGTAGCGGTGGGAAAGAACACAAGGAAGGCGGCTTCCTACCCAGATTACCTTACCTACCCGACGTGACGGCTTGGGCTCGGGTTTTCCACTTCGCCTCTGTTGGGTTTAGATTGGGAGAAGGCATAATAGCAGCATGCCCGGCCTGGCTGGACGAGGTGCGGTTGGTCCTTGACTTGGGTACAAGTAGTCCAGTGTCAGGGGAGGGGAGGGAGGAGGACGGATGGATAACAAATGCGAGTTTCTACTCGTTACCGTTCTGTCGGATCCTCTCTCGGTGAGGCCAGTCTACAAATGAGCAGTTCACGTCGCATCGAGCGAATCCATTCTTCGCACAGTCACACATTCCGACCTTCAGAACCGGGCACCATCCATGTCTTCGCCGTAATTCACCGGAATCCACTTTCATCTGAAGAGCAATACCTACCTGACTAGGCCACATGCCACGTCCTTCTACCGCTCTCGCCGCCTTCGACATCCCACCAGTTCCCACGCCGGTGAAGGCCCAAAGCCACGCGCGGCCTAGGTTCCCCGGCTTCAGGACCTCCATCCTAGCAGAGCGAGGGAGGGCACAGACATCCAACTTCGAACGAGGTCCGCCTTCGACTGACGACTCCTGCAACCAAAACACATCTGATGACACAAGTCAAACCCAGCGCTCCCTCGGCCAAAGCCTCGGTTGCTGCAGCGGTCAAGAGCAACAACGTTAGGTTGACTTGCGTCTTGCCTATTGTCTGCGACTTCAAAGACACAGGTATCCTCGGCTCGCAGATTGACCAATTCTACGTACACACGCATAACTACCCCCGGAACGTTAGGCCTGGTGCCCCGGTGGATTGTGATATCCGGAGACGTTTGCAAATGCCCCGACCCATGTTAGTGCAGCGGATTCCCTGGCGCTCTGCACATCAGGCAATTTTGGGGGACTTCCAGGCAACGTTCCGGTCGGATTTGACAACATTCTCCAAGGACCACAGCATATGACTTCGTGCCATCTGGACCACGCATAACATGCACTCTGCGTGTGTCTCAACAGGGGAAACGTTGAACTGTCAGAAGTGTCAATCAAGTGTTATTTGGTGGACCCCTTTTCCAACAAACCTCCCCAAGGCAAGGTACATATTGTGACCCTAACGAAACCAACGATTGGTGGCCCGAGCACCGAGAACCACGCACCGGGTGGGTCTTTAATGTGTGCCTCCCATGGCGCTGGAGCCACTCCGCGACCTGGACCGGCCTGCGAGCTTCAACCAATGAGAAGCTCGCCCAAATTTTATGCAACGGAGACAATTCGAAGCTCTCATCAACTTTTTCCTCCCGAAGCCGCTGCCAGCATTAAACGACGTACGAAGCAACAGCATACCGATCGACGACTTCTCCGAGAACCAAGACAGCCAATTAAGCAGAAAGCCCGTGTAATACACATTTAACACGAATTCTTGACCAAAAGAATTCATCTCCCCGCTACGATGGCTTCCCGATACTCAACACGTCTTCTCCAAACTCTCCGGCCGATCGCGCCTGGCCGCGCCTCCTCTCCCCTCCGCAACGCCCGCTTCTACTCCGATGCCGCCCCGGCCTCCCCTCCGCTCCTCGCCAACCTCAAGACCGACCTGAAGACCGCCATGCGCGCCAAGGATGCGCCTCGTCTGTCCGTCCTGCGCACCATCCTCTCCGCCTTCAACAACGCAGCCAAGACCTCCTCCCCCATTGTCACCGATGCCCAGCTTGTCGCTCTTCTGCGCAAGACCCAGCGTGCCGGCCAGGAAGCCGCTGCTCAGTTCCGCGAGGCTGGTCGCGACGACCTCGCCGATAAGGAGGACCTCCAAGCCAAGGTCATGGCCGAATACATCGCCAACTCCGGCGTCCTTACCGTCACCGAGGCGGACGTCCGTGTGCTGGTGGAGAAGGCCATTGAGGAGACCAAGGCTGCTGGCAAGAGCAACCTTGGCGAGGTCATGAAACTCGTCAATGCCGCGACCCAGGGCAAGGACCTTGCGGTCGACAAGAAGCGCATCTCAGACCTTATCAAAGAGGCTCTCAAGCTATAAGAGACTGGGCGGTCTCAACCCAATGTACAAACATGTACCATCACGACGTGTATAATACCTGTATACCAGAGCCTCTTCAGAAGAGACGCTCACGGGCAAGCGTAGAGCGGCGCCTACACTCCTCTCTTAGATAGCAGGAGAAATAACGTGGTTACGACAACACAAAACTTGATGTCAGTTTGAGCGGCGCTTAAAAACCTAGTGCCACTGTAAGTAACGAGCCATGAAGGTGAACAACTGGTTCATTGGGCTGAGATGCAGAGACGATGTGCGGGGTAGGCGTAAAGGCTATACGGTAGTGCTTGTTCGTGGACGTTGAACTGGGCGCAGCAGCGCATCATCAAATCAATGAATGGTATCTGTCTAGGTGCGGCATTCAAACAGAGCCCTACCCCTTCCCCCCTTTTTGCCTGGCTCGGCTTTTATGTTATGCTGGTATGACGCCAATTCCCCCATTGCTCAAGCCCCAACGCCGTCCCGTGAACGTTTTCTAAGAAAAATGGGATACGTAACGCCACCGCTTTCGCATGTCATGATCCTAGCTCGCCCTTTCACAAAACACCATCCTCCTCGTTCCTCAGCCCTGCATACTCGGTCCCCTGGTTCGCCGTGCTCAGCCGCGCGCACAAGCTGAGCAGGACGACCGTCTCGGTGGCGGCATAGTGGTTCAGCGCGTCGAGGAGGATCTGCAGGTGCCTGCTGAAGTTGCCTTCCCACTTCTTCATGATCTCAAACAGGTTACCGACACGCGCCTCCTGCTGCTCGCCGCCGCCCGCCGACGACGTCGAGTCGTTATGCGACCCCGAGGGCTTCTGCGTGCGGACGGCCTGGAAAGCGCGCCATTGCTCTGCTGTCATGTTGGGCGGCTTCGTGGCGCCGGACAGGTCCGGGTCGGCCTTTTCGAGCTCCCGAGAGAGCCAGTTGGAGTACGTTGCGAATATCGTGCAGGTTTGCATCAGTTTGGAGTGTATCTGGGAACACGTTAGCCTGGCGGTCCAAGGACGGATTATTCAAGACGTGAATCTTACCCTGAGCAGCTTGCTATTAGTGAGCATACACTCCTTCAAGCATGTGTCCAAGAAGTCCACGTGATCCTGCATCAACTCGTCTACCGTTCTCGTGGGCCCCTCTGGGGTACCCGATGTGTCCTGGCCATCCTCCCCGACCTTGAGTCTCGACATGAACTTTGCCCAGTTCGGCTCGATGACCTCGGCCGTGCAGAAGTAGAGAAGCTGCTGCACGAACACCAGCATGCGCGCGCGGAGCGTCCACACCCGACGTTTCCAGATTTCGAGGCTACGCGACGAGCTCTTGTGAGACCATGTCATGCCTGCAGTCTGCGAGTACCATGTGGTTGACAGCTGAGACTCAAGATAGCGTAGGGATAGGAGGTAGCGGAAGAGCGCTTGGTAACGCCATACGGTCTTGCGGCTGATGACCAGCGAGACGGGGAACGGCACAGAGTAATCAAGCTGCAGCGACGTGAAGCCTATCGCGTTTTTGTCGTTCTCAATCGGCTGGTTCGCCAGGGGTTGCAAGGTCTCGCCCTGTTCGATACCGGTGATGTTGACGACTCGCTGCAGGGACTTGGTGAGCGTAATCTCGTTCATTTCCACCTTGACATCCTCTTTGAAGGGATCCAGCGAGACGATGCTGCCCGGTTGGCGCAGGACCAGGTCGAGCAGTGACTGAAGCTTTCCGGTGTTAACAGACTTGACAGGTTTCCGCAGCTCGGAGGCCCCAAGTTCGAGGAAGTAGGAGAAATAGTCGGATGGGTCCAGGAAGAAGTAGTGTTTGAGTGAACGCAGGCGCATCGGCAGGGAGTGCGTGGTGAGGAGCAGCTGCATGAGAGACTCGTTCGCGTGTGCGTAAGCGTTGTTCACGTTCTCGAGGAACCGACTGTCGTCAAAGGAAGTCGGGACGTCCGAGACGACTTTGCTGACGTCAACGCCACCGCATTCCCTGACGACGTTGAGATACTTCCCCGCCAACAGAACCTTGTCCTTGACACCTTCCAACTGTGGCGGAATGTCGTGCTCTCGGATTGTGTATCGCCTTTCCCAGTACTCATCGGTGTAGTCCTGCTCGAGACGTTCTCTCCGAATGCTCTTCTGCTCCTTGATAAGGAACTCTGCGTGAGAATCGTTGATACTGCCGTGGTGAAGCCACTCGTTGAGCATGACCATGTACGGCTTGCTGGCGTCTCGAAGTAGAGAGGTCAGCAGCGCGCGGGCTGCTGGATCTCCCGACATCGACTCCAATCGCTTTGTGAGCAACCCAAGTACAACGCCGCCCTTGGAGATTTTCTTCCCTGAACCGGGTACGAGGTCACCACCTTCACGGAGAGACTCTAGGATATTCTCAAAGTCATCCGCACTATCGCTCTCTTCCTCGTCGTCGTCGTCCAATAATGCGTTCCGTTTGAGCAACTCCTGTCCAAGGGAATACAGATGTGACATCATCTGGTTGGTGGGCAGGGTGTGGATGTTCAAAACGTGGAGAGTAAAAGTCTCGTTGGTCAGGAATTGCGTTTCCAGCTGCGCAATCATGACGAGATAGTCGTGAAGAAATTTCCGTACAGACGCGCACAACGCATGGTTGACGGCGCCAAACTCCTCCCTGCTCTGCACGTCGACAAACACCTCGAGCGCGGAGTAGTAAGTAGCCATCCTCAGCATCGACACCGTGAGATCCTGCAAACTTGGATCCAGGCCGGGTAATATCCTGAAAGTCGGCCCCGAAAGGCGATCCCTCTCCTCGTGCGGGTTGTATGTCTTGGCGAAACGGATGTACTGGCCCTCATAGCCCATGAAGACGAAGAGCAGATCCTCGATCATCACTGCCTCCTGCGCCTCGAGAGGCAGCTCGCTGAGCGGTTTCGGTTGCTGAGGTTGTGGCGCTTGCGACGCCAGCGGCGGTATAGATATTCGAACAGCCAACGGGGCTGACGTATGAGGAAGAAGTGTTGCTTCTGGATTCCACGGCGCTGCCAATACACATCAGTCACTCATCCTATCCAAGCCACTCAGAACCAATAATCTCACCTGACGGGGCTTCAACTTTCGTCTCCTTTGGCTTCGACTCTGCCGCTCGCGACTTTTCACCAGTCGCCTTGCCCTTCTCCGCCCTCCGCTCGCCCCTCTCAGGACTCCGCGTTCGAGAGACGAGGGTCTCAAGCTGCGTCACGTAGGCCCTCTCCGTCCTCCTCTCTTCCACGCGTCGGTCCTCGTGTGTCCTGCTCGTAGGCCGTAGGTTGCCCGAAGCAGACCTCTTATGCGCATTGTTTCCCGGCGACGGTGCCCTCTCCCTCTCTCGTTCGCGTTCGCGTTCCCGTTCCCGCTGTTGCTGTCGCGCATCGCTTCGTTCGCTGCGTTCGCTCCTAAAACTGGCATGCGCGCTGCCGTTGCCGCTTCCTCCTCCATTCGCTGCGTTTATGCGAGAGGCTCTGGTAGCTCGATCGTGGTCCGCAGCAGCGGAGGCTGTGCCGTTTGGACGGCGCGTGCCTGACGACATGTCGCCGACTGCATTTGAGGGATGCGGGACGCCTCTATGTTGATGTTCTCTGGCAGAGATGCTCTCTTTCGGGTCATTCGTTTGCAATTTGTCGTCGGGGACTCAGGCGTTTCTTTTAATTGCTACCCGGAGGCTACCCCTCTATAATGTGGTCGCACTCTCGCTGGGCAGCGGGCGGGTTGGGCTACCTTCACGCGGTAAGGACCATGCCCATTAGTCGGCGGCGCGTCTAATCGGAAAATCCTCGCGTGTTGTTGACCCCCAGCTCCGTAACCCCTGAAATATTCCGGGATCGGGATGGAGGGGAAGTGACGGAGTACGACCAATCAGAAGCTTCAAACGGGAGAGCAGGGGAAAGTCAAGGCAAGCTGCGCTAAGGCAGCCTGGGTGAGGGATGGTCGGGTGCGTAGTTCGTACGAATAGCGCTGTTGCTGCTGGAGCTTGCGGCTGCGTAGGCCGGTGCTTGCCTAACCACCTGCTTCAGCCTTCCACCGTCACCGTTTGGCTACCTTACCTGCACTTCAAGCTCCCCTCCATCCATCCACCACCGCTCCAGTCTGTCCCGCAACCGCAACTTCGACCTCGCCCACGACATACTGAATTGACAACCCGATCAATTCTCTGTCGAAATAAAACTCTCCTTGTATTCTTCTTAGCCGCTTCACTCACAACACCGCCAAGATGTTTATGGCAAGATCTGAATACGGTAAGCCCGCTAGCCTCCTTCCCTGGCCTTACGAGATAGCTCCTCTGACAAACTGCCTGCAGACCGAGGAATCAACACCTTCTCCCCCGAAGGCCGTCTCTTTCAAGTCGAATACTCACTCGAGGCCATCAAGCTCGGCTCCACGGCCATTGGCGTCGCCACCTCGGAGGGCGTCGTCCTCGGCGTCGAGAAGCGCGTCACCTCCACTCTGCTCGAGACCTCGTCCGTCGAGAAGATTGTCGAGATCGACCGCCACATCGGCTGCGCCATGTCCGGCCTCCAGGCTGACGCCCGCTCCATGGTCGAGCACGCCCGCGTCGAATCCCAGTCCCACTCCTTCAACTACAACGAGCCCCTCCGCGTCGAGTCGTGCACCCAGGCCATCTGCGATCTGGCACTCCGCTTCGGCGAGGGTGCCGAGGGTGAAGAGACCATCATGTCTCGCCCCTTCGGTGTTGCTCTTCTGATCGCCGGTTACGATGAGGACGGTCCCCAGCTCTTCCACGCTGAGCCCAGCGGAACATTCTACCGTTACGACGCCAAGGCCATTGGTTCCGGCTCCGAAGGTGCCCAGGCTGAGTTGCAGAACGAGTACCATAAGGTCAGTACACCTTGAACAGGTGAAACGTTGATTGGGCGGCAGCTAACATGATTGCAGTCCCTAACGATCACCGACGCTGAGACGCTGGTGCTCAAGACGCTGAAGCAGGTTATGGAGGAGAAGCTGGACTCGAAAAACGTGCAGCTGGCGAGCGTAACGAAGGAGAAGGGCTTCAGAATATACACGGACGAGGAGATGGCTGCGGTTGTGGAGAGACTCCCTGCCAACTGAGCGTACCGTATTGGACCTGGTGGGGTGATTGAGCTAATAGAAGAACCATGAGGCCGGGAAAAGGACCTTTTATGGAGGGTAAGACGAGACCCAAAGATACTTTTCCAGGCGCCGATCGCGAATTTGGAACCTGACGTCTAGACGATTTTCCCTCGTGTATCAATAGTGTACTCAACGTGAACATGTCTCTACATCGGTCCCAGGAGTGACGTCGAATGAGCCCGTTACATTGTGATCTAAAACTAAACCTCCCGACATAGGTTGAAAGCCCGATCTACGCACGACACAAGACCCATCCGTTGTCTGAGAGCCTATTACCCCTCTTCCTTGATAACAAGCCTCTCTAGCTCCTGCTCGACGCTGAGCAGTCCCAGGGCGTAATGCGCCCGCTCCGTCTTGGCGACCACCAGCATCTTATCGTCGCCATCCAGCAACTCCAGCCTGGCCCCGATCCTTCTCGGGTTCAACCATACCGACGGAGGCACCACAGTGCGAAGGGTTGGATCCCGCGTATACGGCGGGCCTCTGCCCATGGCCGCGGCCTTCTTCCAGCCGGATTCGCAGCCCTCGGCGATCTGTCTGGCTGACTGCCAGCCTGTGAGACGTGCGACGTCGTGCATCCGCCTGACTATCCAGTGACGTTGAGCGTCGTCTCGGTACTGGTATATAACTTAGCAAGAACTCATGGACAGGTCAAGACCAGGGGCGGGAATATCTTACCTGGATTGCTCCTACAAACAAGCAGAAAGCGCTCTCAATCAGAGCTGCCCCCACCAAAGTGCTGATTTCCGTGGCGTTCGAGATGTCATCGGTCAAGCCAGCCGCGATGCGGCCAATCTCGATGGCGAACTTGGCAGTGTGCTGAGCCTGGATACCGGCAGCAATCATGGCAGCAGGAGGCATCTTCGGATGCGCGCGGTAGAGATGGATCAAGCCCATGTAGTAATTCATCCAGATGCCAGCCACGGAGAACGTACGATACTGCAAGGTCGGGCCGAACGGTGAGTCCCTGTGGTCGGAGTACTCGGCCCCCAAGGGCTGGAATTCGGGTCCGAACCGGGACTTGAGCAGCTCAAAGGCGTTGCGGAGGCTCTCCCACTCCCGCATGGCTGCTTCTTCGGCGATATCCGAGTCGAGATCCTCGGGTGAGCCATCGGGCGGGGGTGGGGAGTCGTCTCTTGGAGGGCTGAAACCCATTGGTAGTGTCACCTTTCCGAGATTCGGCAACATGCCGGGGAACATGGGAGGCGAACCGCCGGGTCCTCCGGGCATCATGCCTGGCGGGGGGCCCATTGGCCCGCCTGGCGGACCGCCCATCATGCCCGAGGGCGGCATTCCCACCGGTGGTCCCCCGGTTGGTCCCCCGGGCATTCCTCCCATCATCGCAGGGGGCGGCCCGCCTCCGGGCATCCCACTCGCCATCCCCGGCGGACCCCATCCCTGATTCCCTTTCGGAGGGCCACCCGCGTTTGGCGGTGCCCCCGGTGGACCACCTGGGGGTCCTCCGGGCGGGCCGCCGGGAGGCCCGAAGCCCTTGAATGACTTCCTTTTTCGTGGAAGATCTTTGGATGCGAAGCTGCATAAACGACCCAGCAAAAGCATCAAGTGGTCGTAAGTTCCGTAACTGCAAAGGTTAGTAAGCGAGAGAAGATGCAGACCAAACCACTTACATGGCTTCTAACCGACCCATCGGTGCTCGTGGCGGGCATTGCGTCCAATGCTGATAGTCCATACTGCATCTTGTAAGCCCCAGGTCGATACTCCTTTCAGAGCACGTAACTCACAAAGGCTTCCCTCCACCCAGCATGCTCTGATAAACATCCATCTTACAGTACCACCAGTACAAATCTCGAAGATGTTCGTAGTGTTCAATATCGCGGTCCGTGTAGTAGTTTCCAGAGGCGGGCGTGTCGTCCTCATATGAAACGTGTTGGTTGGTCAACTGGCTCAAGAGATGGTGATCCAGGTCGTCCATGTCGTGGTTCATCATGTGAGTGTTGTCGTGCCCCATGTAAAACGGATCGAACGGTTGGTTTTGGCTTTCTTGGAACAGAGCTCTCCTGGCTCGCTTCAGCGGCAGTATGTTCCTCGTCCATTTCCTGAAGGGGATCTCCTTGATCAATAACCTCGCGCCAAACAGGTGGTTACACCATTTGGTGTGGTCCGAGTTCCAAACTTCAAAGTATCCCAAAAGCAGAGTGGCGGCAAGTGTCGCTGGAGTTATCCTCCTCTTCACGCTTCGTACATTCTTCGCCACTCTTCGGATGGATAGGTGGTAGTGCTTCATTGCCGCCGTAGGTGGTATCTGCTGCAGCTTCGCTATTTGCAGAGCGCCTAGGGCAAGCATTGCTTGCAGGAGTGCCGGATGGTTGAAGGACAAGATGGGAAATGTGTCTGTGTGTGTGTGTCAGTACGAACAGAGTGCACGAGGAGACCAAACTCACAGGTCCAGAGGTTGTTTCCAGCCTTTGGAATGGAATAATTGTTCATCAGTTTGGTGTGGTCGAACGGATGCCTCTCGTACAGGGACATGCTGGGCCCTGTCACGTTGATGAAATGCCAGAACAGCGCCGCCGTCCGTTCGTCGTTGAGGGGCGAGTTGTTGGGTGTCGGAATATACGACGTAAGAATCGTTTCCTCCGCGAACGCTGAGAACGTCCTGACCTTTGTCCCAAAGCCATCCCAGGGACCATCCGAGCGAGCCTGAACCAATTGTCCATACGCGCTCTCCTCGCCCATAAGATCTTCGAATCCGTCTTCAGAATCGGCCATGGAGGCATCGTCGTCGGAGTACGTGTACTCAATATCGGGTTGGTCCATGAACTCTTCCATCCGAATAGGATCACTGGCGTAGGCGTTGGCCTGCTCCATCCGCGTGTGGACCGATGGCTGTCTTTGCCACTGTTCCGGTTGTATGTGAGTGAAAGCACCATTGTCAGTGTTCGGACTGACGAAAGCACTGTGGGAGCCGCCAAATGGCCCTTGAAACTGGTCGGGACTGATAGGCGATGTCATGGAGGGTGTCGGAGGCATTTGCGGTTGCTGTCCAAAGGAGAATTGGTTGAAGTCGAAGGGTGAGGACGAAGGGTGATGTGTCGACGACGAGCCTGGGAAGCCTTGGCCATACTGAAGCATATGTTGGCCCCCATAGTCCATATGTTGTGGTGGTTTGGGGGCAATTGGCGCAAGAGGAGGCGCATTAGAGGACTTGGGCGGAGGGTTGGCGAGCCGATGGAAAGGCGGATTTGATGCCTCGGGGGGATAGACAACAGGACCGTAAACACCATTTAGGTTGAATGAGCCGATAGGATCTTTGAAGATGACTCGTTGGTTGTATCCCTCACAGTGCCTTTTCGACTTGATACAGTTACTGCAAATCGGTCTTCCTTCGTCACACTTGATACGACGTTTTCGACAAGCTTGTTCACGTCAGACGTCGGTCCAGGAAAGAAGATCGTATCTGGTAAAAGGGAAGACTCCAATACATACTTAAACAACCGGTCTTGGTCCGCTTCCTGACGTTCGCCTTCTTGCGATTTTGGCCTTCGTTTCCATCTTCCTCGTTGTTGTCCGAAGGCTTAACCGGAGACTTGTCGTCCTCGGGCGCCCCTTCGGCGGTGTCCATCCTAGTAGATGCTAGTGTGTTGTGAGTGAGGCCCAGTGATTCGAGGTGGCCCTTGATCCATTAGTCTTCCGAGGGCCAGGTGACTGGTGAACGATCCAGCGTCGGTGTTTCTGCGCCTATGCCTCGTTTCTGTCCTGGGGTCCGAACGAGGTTCGGCGTTCGGAGTTGGAGACGATAAAGAACGGGGCCGGAGGCTGTGATTTCTGGGCAGACGTCTAGTCGAAAAGGCGGCGGCGCGTCCTCAACGGGCAGAACGTTAAGTATGGCAGCAGCACAACGAGACAAGGTGGATATTTCCCGCTCTTGTGCGCGGCAACGGGCTTCGAGGGTGGGAAGGCGGAGGAGACGAGTCGGTGACCCAGGAGTGAGATGCTTTTTATTAAGCAGCCATTGACGGTGGAAGGAAGTGAAACAAGCCGGTGCGACTTTGCCTACGCCGAATGGGTTGTCATGGACGGGTCGGACAAGATGCATGGACTCGTGGGGTAGGACGGGGGTGTAAGGATGTCTGCAGCATTTGGAGATGTGTCTCTCAGACACGAGGACCGGAGAGAGGCTTTTCCTACTCTGGATAATAAGGTAGAGAAGGAGGGGGGAAAGGGTAGAGTAAGTTCGAGGTAGGGCAAGACGAGGCAAGGTAACTGCAGGGTATTATTATCAACCAAGCCCGAGGAGGCGGCGTGGAGACGCAGGTGCACAAACATTGAGCAGAGTGAAAGCCGCCAAGCGGCGAGGAGACTAAGAGGAGGCCGGGCCGGAGGGGCCGGGGGGTGGACAAGAAGACGGAGGTTGGAAACATGGGAGAACTGCACGAGCCAGGCGAATGAATGTACGAGATCCAGACGGCTCAGGTAGGGATCATTAATCGTGCATGATTGGGATGCAGACGAAGTCATTCTCGATGCCACTGGTAGGTACTGAGATGAGAGACAGCTAGGAAGTGCAGGACAGATGCAGCCATCTCTCAGAGACTCGGGTTCGAGGGAGAGGAGCACGGGAGTAAGAGAGACTCACCTCCGGCATAGATTAACAGAACCAACCATCTATTCCTGGTCGAGCACATACATGTACGGCCGTGTTGGAGGTGCGGCAAGACGCCAGACAAGAGGGAGAAAACATGAGGTAGGTAGGTACCTGACCTTATTTTGGGACGAATTCAGGTGGCTTGCGGAGGAAGCACAAGGAAACATACCAGGTACGCGTTTATCTGTACTGTTACTGCGTAATAACGCAGCGCTAGAACTGCTCAGCCAGCTTCCCAGTTTGATCGAAGCCTTCATCCCAACGCCGCATGTACTCGCGTCGCGCAGATGTGAGACGCGGTACCTGAAGGCTCGTCCGAGGTTCTAGCTTCGTCCCGTCGTTGTAGGCGTAGACATCCGACCTCAAATAACTGAACCATGTTTTCGCGCTGTGGCGCTACTGGACTGCCAGGATTAAGCCGTTTAGGGCATTCGTGCTGCCATTGAGTGAGGGGCGGACCGGAGGAGCCTTCTTTCAGGGATCTGTCATGTCCCGGGTGACAGGGCTCAGTGGCATGGCATTCAGCACTAACAAGAGCCAACTGAGTCGTCGTCGTCTTGTTCTTACATCTCGGACACTGCTTAGCTCCACGGGTTTAGTCCTTTTGCTCAGCTAGCCTTTGCTGAGTATGCAGACGTGGTCTGAGGAGTCGAGTCCCTGGAAAGAAAGTTTGAGTGTTGTCCATGCCCTCATAGCCTCGTCGCATTCGTTGCGGTGAGCATCTCACTGCCGCACGCCCAAGTTGGTACGGCACTGGATGCAAATTGATTCAACGCCGAGATTGGAGGTCGGGATATGCAGCCCGCCAAGCTGCAAGACCCAACGGCAGCACTCAACAGACTTTCACCTCGCATACCCGAGAATCTGGCCAAGGCTTGACGACGTTCAAGGTCACCGTCGATGTGAACGCTTTGCGAAGTTGGCCACATACACCAACCCGCGTCGCAGGCAACGTGGATGATGATGGGGCAATAAGGATGCCGACTAGTGTAATTGACTTTCATCCGAGGTCTTAAGAGGTCTGGACTCCCGCCTGACAGGGTCCAGCCCGCTGCCCCTCGTTTGCCCTACAATGTCTGGTAAGCAATGACCAAGATCTGCCGGCGAAAAGACTCGAGATTGCGAGGGCATCCGGAGACGGGCACCGCGACTGCCCGCCGCCCTCGAGGATCTGTCGAAGCCCTGGTGATGAGTTGAATCTTCAGCAGCGCAGGGGTGCTCGACATCGATGCGGTATCCAGATCGTCCGTTGGTGACCATCAACCCCAAAAGCGATATGCGCCGGTGGCGTTCAGAGGTGGGATACCATCCAGCCACTAGCTTGAGGCAACTTTCCATGTGCCGAGCGAGCGGGATGCTAATCGAGAACAACCCGACACGGACTTGGCCTCGCACTTCTTTTCGCGCCGGTGTAGCCAGTGTGAATGTCGAACAGCACCTCACACCTCGGTGGCCATGTCTTTTCAACTTGGGCACAGAAAAGAAGGCATTCCGAGTCCCGTAGGCCGACTGACTGACTGACTGAGATAATTGTAGCTGTGTCGCTGAAATCTGACCATGCCCAAGCCCAAGCCCCGAAGCCCTCCCTTGCGACAATAAACGTCCAATCGTAGTGGTTCCGACCTCTTGGACGGTGTCACCGATGACTGGCCACAGCGCCGTCGGCTGGCATACGGTGCGACACAAACGTCGCGCATTGTCGAACAGTAAGAAGCGTACCGATCGCCGCGGACCACCTCCGCCCGCACTCACCTACCATCTGGTGCTTGTAGGTTCTCCCCATTATTGATCGCCTCGTACCTCATCGTCCTCCTCGAAGTGCAGGGACGCCTTGGCAATCTTTCCCGGATGTTTACTGTATCTGATCTTCGCGGAAGTCCATGATGACGGCCACCGCAGGCCAAGTATGCAGGTAGCCTTGCTGCAGCTACATAGTCCAGCCAAAGTATACATTCCCCTTTGGGAAGGAGAAGTAACGAGTTCGACCTCGGACTGCAGTCCTTGAGCCTGGGTTGTTCGAAATGAGTGAGTTGCGAATGACCGTTTTTGGGCTCCTGGCAGATGCGCGGCCCAGTTTGCTAAACATAGATGCTTCTCAGCTGTTGGGAACAAACCAGATCGAGCTGCGCCTCGTGGCATTTGCTGGTCGCCTGATTGTCTCTCGACGTGTTTTTTGAACCAAAGAAACTCTTTCATCATATTATACCCGTGGGCTTTGGCTCCCGAGAATCGACGGCCGTGGAAAAGCGTTCTCGGTTTCCGAATGCTGCCAGCCGTGTTGGCTTGCTGTCAGTTCCAGAGCTTCGTCTCCAATATGAGATATAGTGATTCCACGAGGCCGGTCAATGCACCCTTCCCGCATTTTCGGGGTACAATTCGGGGCTTCTGGGAATTGAACCGACTGTTCGCCGAACAAACCACCGGTGATCCCGTTTTCTGGGAAAGAAGCCTGTCGAGATTTCTGATCTAACCTGAGAGGCGATTTATTTAGGCAATGAACAGGGCTCCGTTCGCATACCATACCGTTGTGTGTGCTGTGTCCATATTGGTTGTATCGTTCGTCGAATTGCAAAATACAGCCGTTCAAGACATGAAGCTAGCTGCGTGTCAATCAACGGTCCTAACCTTAAGGACCCGCCGCGACCCAAATGACGGAAGACGCGGGAATCCTTAACTCCTCAAGCGTCCGCGCCCGGCCTTCCGCCATAGGTTTAGGGCAGCTGGAAACTCAAAGTCTTCCCGTTTCCAGGTGGCTTATCAGAAACCATTAATATTCCCTGGTCTGCCTTCATCGTACGGTTGTTCGGCTCGAGGCATCCGCGAGATAGCAAGCCCGGACGTGTCGGAGGCAGTTTGCGGCTCCCCGATGGAGCTGACTGGCTTTCTGGGTCTCTCACGCACCCGTCCGAACGCTTTCGTCTTTCCAAAGATTATGAGTAAAGGTTCTCGAAGTCGCCAACGTTCGCACAGTGTGCCAATTGGGCGTCGGTTGGCGTCTTTGTTCAGAAGGAAATTCTATCAGCTGGTGACGTGGTCGAAAGCTGAAGTCTCAGGTTGAGTCGTGACCTCAAGACTCGAGCAATCGAGGAGGAAGAAGCAGATCAAGTCCATTCATTGAATAGCAGTCACATCGAAACTTTGCGATGATGTATATAGTGAGCCGGGCTTTTGCTGGCCTAGCTTCCCAATAGTGTGATCCTGCAGGCGGAAGGGAGCGGGCGGGCGGATGTCGACTGTGGAGTTGTATGGCAGAATCAGGAACTGCACCTGGCCTTGTCTGACCCGAGTATGACGATGCGAACCTCGCTTGTACGAAGCAGGTCATCAGGAGGTGGCCGGGTGCCGGGTGCCAGCTTTTGGCTTGCTAAAAGTTTCGGTGTTGTTATGTCCGCGGTATCGCTGCAGCGTCGTCGACGCCCATAAGTAACATAATGGGAATAGTTGCCCTGAGAGCTTTATTCCTCAGTCACTTCACTGTGAATCTCTGAGGAGAGGAAACCATTATTACCGAGGATACCGATTCCTGTGTGTCTTTGGGCATACTGAGGAAGTACCATGGTCCAAATAACGGGTACAGAAAAGGAAGTCTTTTGGTTAGGCGGCTGATAACGACATTTTGGCGCAGATGCTGGCACAGATAGAGAAATTGTATGGAGTGGATGAAACGAGAGTCTAATAGTTGGCGGTTGAACCAGAAGGCACAGCAAAAAGCAGATGGAGTGCACGGCCCACCCGCTTTACTTCCCTTATCCTGGCGTCGATCACCATGCAGGGTTGCGATAACCGACCTCTGGGGTAGGGAAAAAAAAAATTCAACTGGATAAGGCCTGGATGAGACTGAGCGTGTGAACAACAACCAAACACACTCACCATCGGTTTCGTTTTGCCCATCGCATCTCAAGTTATCTTAGCAACTTTGATTCGGACTCACCCGTGAGATAAACCGAGAATGTTCGCTGTTCCAGGGTGGTCCGTCTCGGCAGACGCCCTCAAGTCGGAAACTTTGGGCGGCCAAAAGGATGGCGCGGCGAAAAGCCAGACACGCAAGCGCAAGAGAAACAACAACAAGGACGAGAAGGTCACGGATTCAAACGTTGCTGGCCTATATGAGAATGTGATCGAGGGCAAGAAGACCGGCGGCGGCAGCAAAAGCCGTAAGAGCGAGGGTGGCGAGGAGACCCCCAAGAAGAAGGAGCGCAGAGAGTCGAAGGCTGCCGAGGATGCCGAGGAAGCTCCCTCCAAGCCCAGTAAGAAGCAGAAGAAGGAGAAGCACTCTCAACCCCCCCAGGAGGATGAGAAGGCGAACACCCCCAAGGTCGACAAGAAACAGAAGAATGAGAAGCCTGCTGGGATCCCTCAAGATGAGGAGAGCACACCCAGGGTCGACAAGAAGGACAAGAAGGACAAGAAGCAGAAGAAGGACAACTCCAAGCACGAAAGGCAGGAAGAAGCTGAAAAACAACCCTCAGAGACGCCCAACAAGGAGGACAAGAAGAAGAAGAGCAAGGAAGCAGCAGCAGCCATCGCCGCCTCCGTCCCGCCTGTGCCTCCTGCTCCGGCGAAACTCACGCCGCTGCAGGCCAAGATGAGACAGAAGCTCATCTCAGCGCGATTCCGCCACCTCAATGAGACGCTGTACACGCGCCCTTCGGCTGATGCCTACCAGCTCTTTGAGGATTCTCCCGAGATGTTCTCCGAATACCACGAGGGTTTCCGCCGGCAGGTTGAGGTGTGGCCCGAGAACCCCGTCGACGGCTACATCCGCGACATCAAGCTGCGTGCGAAACAGCGCTTCCCGCCTCGCGGAATGCCCCCTAAGAACCCCAACGGACCCCAGCCGCTGCCCCGGACCGACGGCACTTGTGTCATCGCCGACCTGGGCTGCGGCGATGCCCGCCTCGCCTCGACGTTGTCTCCGGAGGCCCAGAAGCTCCGCCTTCAGATTCATAGCTACGACCTCCACTCCCCAGCGAAGCACGTCACCAAGGCCGATATTGCCAACTTGCCCCTCGCCGACGGCTCCGTTGACATTGCCATCTTCTGCCTGGCGCTGATGGGCACCAACTGGATCGACTTCATCGAGGAGGCATACCGCATCCTTCACTGGAAGGGCGAGCTCTGGGTTGCCGAGATCAAGTCCCGTTTCGGACCCGTAGGTCGCAAGAACGCTGTCGTGGAGCACAGCGTCGGCAACCGCAAAAAGGCAGCTGCTGCAAAGAAGGGTAAAGGTGCGGAAGAGGAGACGGAGGCGGACCGCACGGCGCTGGCCGTCGAGGTTGACGGTCACGAGGATCGCCGCGGCGAGACAGATGTTTCTGCTTTCATCGAGGCTCTGAGGAAGCGTGGCTTCGTGCTGAGGGGTGAGGGTGAGGGCAACAAGGGTGCCGTGGATCTGTCCAACAAGATGTTTGTCAAAATGCACTTCATCAAGGGCGCGGTTCCTACTAAGGGCAAAGGACTTGCTGCTGCCAAGGCTGCTGGCTTCGTCGAGAAAGAGAAGAAGCAGAAGAGATTTGTGTGGGAGACCGAGGAAGACAAGGTCGATGAGACGGTCATCTTGAAGCCTTGTGTCTACAAGATTCGGTAGTCGATCTACGCCAGGGCTTTGTATCTTGAGCAACAAAGGTCATGTTTATGTAGACTGATTTCGGAGTCAGATATTATCAAGTTGGAGAAGTACGTAATAAAGGTTTCCTCGGAGGCTATCGCTCGAGCTCCTACTCTCCGAAGTTCAAAAACCGTGCTAAGTGTCTCTAAATTCGTCGTGTCAGCGCAAAGCTGACTGCGACACAACGCCTCTAGTGACCAACCCAACGATGTCGATTACCCGCAGTACCAGCCGTGGCTCTCCCATGTAAAACGCTCTCGGCTCGGCCTGTTTTCGTTTCCTGCCAATCGTCTACGCCCCGAACAACAAACCGGCAGCCAGCTCAACGTTGCCGCCCGTGGCTTGTAACGCATTGATGGCAGCCTCTCGCGGGAAACCCAGAGCCATGAGCTGAGAGATTTGCTCCTCGGAAAAGCCCGCGCCACTTGCTTGGGGCGGCGCCGTCGTCGGCACCGATCCGCCTTGTTGAGCCGGAGCTTGTTGTGCGGCACCCGTACTTGCCGCACCCGGACCACTGACAACACCAGACCGCTGGCCGATAGTGGTGCCAGCAGGTCCAGGTAGTCTTGGCTCTTCTTCCAATGCTTCCTCGCTCTCCTTCGGAATCTCGGCTTCGCCCAGGAAGGGCACCTCCTCACCCTGAATGATGAGTTTGTCCTTGGCGAGGTCAATGCTAGCTTGGTATCGCTTAAGCATGTCAAGACCGAGAAGAAGTTCCACCTGCTTTCCTTCCATGACGGTGAAGCTGCAAGGCAAGAACATTGTGCCGACCTTGATCTGAGCAGAGTGCACACGGCCAATGATGTTTGCCGTGCCAACTCCGCGAGCAACTCCAGCAAAACGCTTGTCGACAAGTCGCATGATACCGCACGCCTCGGCACATGCTGGAGACATAATAGTGGCCTGAGCTCCAGAATCGACCAATGCCTTCACTCTGTGGCCGTTGACCTCTACGTCCACATACAGCATGTGAACTCTTCCAAAAACTGTGTGAAGTTAGCTTCTGTCTCTTCCTTTTCTTTCTGCGCTTCCGTTTATACCTTCGGGGTTGTGCTCCATTGCGTTCTGCAGATTCTCCATGACTCGCTCCTGGCGAATCATCTCTTCGATTTTAGCTTGCGCCTCGATGTCGAATGGGTCGTCGTTGAGCCGTGCGATCTCCCTCTGTCTCTCTTCACGCTCACGCTGCTCCCGATCGTAGCTATCGTTGAAGAGCTGGGCGAACCGTTGGGGATCTTCGAGTGCAGCAGCCAACTGGGGTTGCTGACGAGTGGCCTCGGCCCGCAGATTCGGGTCGCCCAAGATTTGGAGACGGATGAGCTCAGGATCTTGACCGCCGGGGCGTCGACGCTGTTGTTGGCCTCTCCTGCCCTGATCGGGGACACCGGTGCTTCCCCGCATATCCCTTACGTGCAAGGCCAACATATCGCCATCGGTAATTTGCATCTGTTCCATCGTCTGACTGTCATCTTGAATCAGACGGCCGTTGTGGTATAGGTGTTGAGATGTGGGTTGGATTTGGGTCTCGGCTTGGATGGCTTCGCGGAGGGTGGAAACGGGCATGTCGGGGAAGATCTCCAAGGTCAGAAGATCTTGGTCCTCGATCTCGGGATTCGTTATGCTTAGTGTGATACGCCTGGGAAACAAGACGTCAGCGAGGAGGAGAACGGGCTTAGAATCGTCGGGTAGCTTACATGTTGGGCGGTTGTGCCTGCTGCGAGGGATCTCTGGCGTGTTTGAAGGTGTGTAGAGTAGTGTGTAGGCTTTGTGAGAAGTAGAAGGTAACGCGATACTTCTTGCAGAGTTGGAGGGCAACGTAAGGCTTGCTATCGTCACGAGCCAGTCGAGTTTCACGGTTGCGAATGCGAAGTGTACGGTACAGGTTCAGTCCGGAGCTGCGGTGGGTGGAGGAGGGGTGTTTTGGAGGGGTACGCACCCCTTCTCCGTTTTGCCTCGCTGATTTCCAGGCAACACGGCGGTGACGCCACAAGGGAAAGTAAGGAACCCGACGGGTCAGAAGGTAGGTAGGTACCAGGTAAGACGGGAAGGCAAGCTGGCGGAAAAGACGGGAGCCTTGCACGATGGTAAGAGTGAAGGTAAGGTAGGGATCTCGACGTAAGGGGCCAAAAGATAGGTTGCTTGAGAGAAGGTAAGGCACGCGGGATCTAGGTAGGTATTTGAGTCCATGTTTCTACCTGATCGCTCTAGGTACCTTTCCCTGCCCGCTTGGGTACCTCGAGGGTCTGAGGCGAGGTGGACATGTGGTGGCCAATGTTGAGACCCCTACTGCGTAGGTAGGTAGACTAGGTAAGCGGCAGCTTAACCGGCACTCCACCCCATCTCCGATGTTGTTTCTGTTGCCATGCCTGCTGTTTTCCTGTAAGCATTCCCTTCGAGATTGATGTTGAGAGTCGTCAGGATCAACTATGAGGATTGTCCAATTTGAAGTATCTCCTAAGATATTGAGGTTAAGGTACACATGTGCCTTGGATCAATAGGTACCTTAGGCCCTGCCGTTCCTCCGTTTGCGGTGACAAAGCTACCAGGTTCCTAGGTGCCTACCTACCTAGGTAGGTAAGGTACTAACCAAAAGGGAGCACTGGCCATGGGGAAGCTGATGGAAGCTTGCCTGAGTTCCATTTTCATTTTGTCAGCTTCTACTGGAATCACTCTCTAACTCCTAACTCTCCATACCGTCTTTTTCCTTCGCAGAGACAGAAGCAAAATAGTTTAACGATAACGGCAATCGACTGGCTGGTTCAGAGTATTTCTTCTCAGATGTCTCCTCCCAACACAATTGCCCCACGAGCTAATCGTCACATAAGCCCCTTGAAAGTATCATTGGCGTACCGCCGAGTGCTAAGTCGCGCACCCGATACCTATCTCAACCTGCGGCATCTGCGTGAGCCAAGGAGGCAACTGGGAAGAAACAATCCTTGCAGCAGCCGGGTGAGGTGAAGTAAGGAATTCACTCCATCCATTTTAGACGAGGTACCCGACACTTCTTACACCACAATCGATGGATACCTATGTCTACAATGGAGCTTGCCTCGAATTGTGCAAGTCGACAGGTCCTTTACAGCCTGCCGCCAATCGAACACCGCCGGCGACATCTCCTGCCACCCGCTTCTGCGGCTTTCTGTGCAATGATGACGAAGATCCCGAACGAGAAGTACCTCCAGCCCCCGAAATCCCGGCTGGAGTCGAGAAACCCCGTCAATCCCACCGAGCCGCCTTCAATCACGGCAATTTCTTGCCAATGAAGCATGCATTCAGAGCCAATCGATTTTGACGACAGCATGCGGGATTCAGAATCGTATACACATACAGGGTACTCAGACCGACCGCCCCAGCTCGGAGGATCGCAACGCCAACCCACGCTATCGTGACTCAACTTGCAGACCAAATACCTCCGCTGTGGCGGCCTAAGAAAGAGGGGCGACGCCTTGCCCAGTTTCTTATTCCACTTCTACGGAATAAGAAGACCTCCCTTCGACCGTCTTCTCTGCCGACCCCGTCCTATCCGACCAGACACGCACCCATGCTGTGCTCGAGCAGAGACACCAACCGAACTCGAGCACTACGATTTTGGATGCCGGAAGATCAGATATCACAGCAGCCGGGGAAAACAGCCTGCTGATGAACTGCAGTGCTGCGGTGCAGAGTAAAACGCACCAGCTAACATATTGGGGTTGTCATTGTCTCACTGAGGACACCTCCAACCCCCACACCGGATTGATTCGACATTGGCTGCTCCGGTGGACGCCGGAATTGCGCAGGCATGCTCGGATGCCATTTGAGGTTGGACAGGATCCGGGCTCCGGTTCAGGCTTGTCCGGTCAAGTCTGGCACCGGATACCGTCCTCTCTTCGGTACTACTGGCTAGCCGACGACATGTCATTCAACCTTATTCGTACCTCGCTCCAACCAACACACCTCGCCTCGAAATTCAAAAGTGCCTCACCAACCGTAAGCCTATTCAAGCCTGTTGCATCTGCAGAAGTACGGCGGGGCCAATGCAACTCTGGATCGCGGGACTGGGGCAGTTAGCAACAGTCGATGCTGCACATCCGTCCGTTTCAGTCAACTCGTGCAGCTGTCATCCGCGAACCTGAAGACGCCTACCGCCGAAGTCAGCCACTGGCCTTCTACCTTGAATAGCCGGTTTCCAAGGGAAATGAACAGTCCTCTGTTCCGGTCTACCTCCAATGAAGGTTTGAGGGTGCATCTTGCGACCTCTACCGATGCGAAATCAAAGTCCATGAGAGGCCTGGCCATACATACAGTGAGAGAAGCAAGTTGCTCCAGCTGCACGACCAGCACAGTAAGAGCAAGCATGTTGGCCAAGAGATGACAGCAAACTTACAAACCAATTAACCCATGCGCAGCGCAGCACCATCAGATTTTGTTTGCTTACCAACCTTGCACGGTGATATTTCCTTTTCTCAGACTGCCAGAGGCGGCCTCTGCCGTTGTTGCTCCTTCTGAAATATGAGACTGCAGCTTCAAGTAAAGGCCTCTCTCTTCCCAGTCCTCTGCGTCGTTGGACCCTGAAAGAAGCAAGCCCCTTATCTAACAATTCACCACCATGCCCCAATAGTTGGTAACTGGAGATTCTAAGTTGGCGCTTTTTGACGTTTCCCCAATGGTCTGTCGGCTTTTAATTAAAGCTCACACTCCTGAGGTAACGCCACGGGAGCAGGCGTTTTGTGGGGTAGAGGCACCGCCCTTAATCCTGGCCTACAACACGGAGAGGATCTCACTCGCCCTCTACAGTATCGGCCGTGTGTGCTGAACTGGGAGGGTGCAGCAAATATCCATTATTACCCGCAATGCTTGACGAGGAGGGCCGTTGCCGTTCAACACCAGAGGCCACCATACTGGATATGTAACCAACAGCGTCATCTGTAAACGTCACAACGAGGAGTCAAAACCAGGAGTGGGAAATAAGATGGAGCCTGGCAACACTCGCTTTGAACAGGCCACAACTGTGCCACTGCGGGTAGCTCGGTCACGCGACAAACACCTCATACTAACACCCAATGGAGGTGCTGCTCTACAATGGCAGGTCACCAGCTCCGAATCCTTTTTTCTCCTGGGCCAGTGAAATTCAATCAGTCTTCTTCCAACTGCACGTTTCGATTGTGTCTCCTGGGCTTTGTTTGACACAGCTCATCTTGCACCATTCTCGACTCACCCCTCACAAATCCGTTGCTGTTGCTGTTGCTGCCATCTTTGCTGTCTAGCTACGTCCTAGGCGGCTTTGTGCATTGTGCCCCTTCAGCTCTAGGTGGTACTCCTGCCTGTCAATACCTTACCTAGGTATCTGACCCCGAAACTCTACTGTTCTATCTGCTCAGTTTATCGGGGCCCCGGCCGGTCACTGCTTGAGACGGCCCAGTTTCCTATCCCCCCCTCCCGACGTCAGCCCCGAGTCAACGGCCGGTGGTCTCTCGCCTGCGCTCCGGACCTGTACCCGCCTAAATCGGCCATCACCCGGCCTGAGGACGGCGCCCTCCTTTCTGGGAAGGCAGGCCACCAGCCTTGGCTGTTATTGCCTCGCGTCGCATACATAACTCCGAAGTTTGCAAACCAAACAGGGGAACTTCATCCGCACAACCGCCTGTTTGATTGCGTTGGGCCTCTGCCTGTACTACCAACAACTTCCGTATTTCCAACTCTCCATCCACTCTCCATATTCCACATCTCTACATCCCGTTTACTCCTTTCTCAAGCGATCAGCCCATCACCGTACATCGTCCTCTTCCAACCAACATGCCTGAGAGAGACCCTCCCGTCGAGAAGCCTGACGAGGCACCTGACTGTGCCATCGACGACTCCGACGATGTCGACGATAAGTACGTCGAACTCCAGCGCGTCGCCAACGACCACAAACAAAAGCGCCCTAACTCCGCGTCTCTTCGTGTTCAGGACGTGGTTCCATTCCACTTCAGTCCTCTCGTCCAGCCTCTGACGAGCTCGAGCGTCGAATCATGTGTCGTGCTTGAGGACGCTGCTTTTACCAATCCTGACCATCGTGCTACCAGAGAGAAGGTGAGTTTGCTTCTTACCCTTGCCATTCTTCCTATTTTCTCATTTGGTCGAGACGTGTCCCGTTCCTGGCCTTCGTGACTTCGTCTGAGAATGCCAAGCAAGTATTTTGCTTCCTCTTCCTAGTCCTTGGAGACACGGAATCTTGTGTCGGTACTGAGAGATTTTCAAGATATACGCTGACACAAGCTCAGTTTGAGTATCGTCTCTCGACTTGCTCCGACATATGCTCGGGCATCTTCTGTAGCATCGTGCCCGGTGAAGCCAAGGACTTCGCGCTTGAGACCCTCTCAGTCGCCAATCCCGTCGAGACTGGTCGCGCCAATGGCGCAGTTCTCGCCCTCTGCGCTCACATCGTCTCGACCCTCGGTAACGGCCCCGTCGTCACCGACGCCGACATGAGCTACCCCCTCAACTGGCGCGATCAAGAGTCGTCCAAGTCATCGGGCCTCGGTCACCAATTCATGGGTCGCACCGTCTGCTTGCACTCCTTCGCCGTTGCGCCCAAGCTTCAGGGCTGTGGCCTCGGCATCCTGATGATGAAGTCTTATCTCCAGCAGATCAACAACTCAGGCGTCGCTGATCGTGTGGCTCTGATTTGCCAGGACGTAAGTCGAGCGCAATCGCCATGTCCCGCTGTATTTCGTTTATGCTAATACATCGCAGTACTTGGTTTCCTACTATAAGCGATTCGGATTTCGACACGTTGGCGCGAGCAAGGCATCGTTCGCTGGAGGCGGGTGGAACGACATGGTAGGCAGCCTTCGTTTTCCCGTAACCAACAGAACCATTAACAGCTCCTAGGTGTTTGAACTCAGTGGTCCTTCTCCTAAGAACGGCGGTTCCCCCAAGTCAGTCGCTGACGAGACCCGCGCTCACGCGGAGATGTAGTTCATCTACTGAGTCTAGCAGGACGAGTGTTCGTTCTGCTGCATCGGAAACTTCGCAAGGAACCACGTTGCATCCTCAGTATATGATTAGAAGGTGTACACATACCTCGGTCGTCTGATTAGACGGCTGGTTTGCATTACTGGCTTTCTGTTCTTCTTAGCCCGCTGCGTTACGATATTTGGAGGGGGAATGCTCCGATAGATAGCATGCAGCTACGACCACGAGACTATGACATAGACTGCCTTGCCTCTGGAAGAGAGCAAGAGAATTGACCTAACATCACCATCATTTGATGTAACTCGTCTACGGCGAAAACGTAAGCCTGTTTTTCGCTTCCAAATCACTTTTTGTCATCCTACGCGCCTGCCGCGGTCGGCCCTACTGAGCGTGCCCATCCCTGTGAGTGCCGCTGAAGCCTCTCAGCCGCAGCTGACCATGACCAAGACTCTCGATTCCGTTCCCCGACCCCGAAGCTCTCGCAACCTAGTCGGTGGCCTTGTACTTGGCACGGTACTCCTCCGTACGCTTGATGTCCTCGGCGGAGGCGAAGCTCTTGGCACCCTCGATAATGTCGTCGAGGGTGAGGATGGCAAAGATGGGGATGCCGTACTCCTTCTTGATCTCGCCCATGGCGCTGGGACCGGGCTTGCTGTCGTCACCGTCGGCGGCAGGAAGCTTCTCCATGCGGTCGAGCGCGACAACGATACCGACAACCTCGCCGCCCTCCTTGCGGATCTTGGCAATGGCCTCACGCTTGGCGGTGCCAGCAGTAATGACGTCGTCAACGATCAGGACCTTCTTGCCCTTGAGAGGCGCACCAACGATGTTGCCGCCCTCGCCGTGATCCTTGGCCTCCTTGCGGTCGAAGGAGTAGCAAGTCTGCGCGTAGTGCTCAGGGTCGAGCTCGGCGAGCTTGTCGGTAGTGGAGGTCGCGAGGGGAATGCCCTTGTAGGCCGGGCCGAAGACGATGTCGAACTCGAGACCGGTGGTCTTGCGGGCGTCGATGACGGTGTGGGCGTAGGCGACGGAGATGGCCCGGAGGAGGTCGGCGCGGTAGAAGTCGCCGGCGTTGAAGAAGTAGGGTGAGATGCGCTTAGACTTGAGCTCGAAGGAGCCGAACTTCAGGACGCCGCCAGAGATGGCGGCCTTGAGGAAGTCCTGCTTGTAAGGGGGGAGCTGGGAGGCCATTGTGACGTTTCGGTGTCGTTGGTTGGAGGACTCGAATAGAGGGATTAGGCGGTTTGATCAACCAGTTTGGCTTGTCGTGGGCTGGAGGATGTAAATCTTAACATTGAGGATTCTCGGGGTGCCCCTCCATCGAAGAACTGCCCCGCGGAATGTGCCCCACCATCTTCTGGAAATTTTTGCGATTAAGTATCCAGGATAAGGTAAGGCGCGGGTACCGCTGCGGACCTGCAGGGACTTCAACTAAGCGTGTGGGAAGAAGACAAGTATCGAGTTGTCAAGTTGGGACATTTTTAACGGGATTTCACCAAACAGCAATGAGTATAGGATTTAAGCACACTTCTCTAGAAATATACCGGTCTTCAAATTGAGTCCAAGTCAAGGTCAAGCGCCTAAGGGGGAAAAAAGTCGCCAAGAGTGACATGCGATTGCCACTCTGGAGCGTCTGTGGGTCCAAAGTCTGATAAGATAAGCGAGCCTCCTCACGGCGAAAAAAAATTCGAGTCGTTCCAACACCGCCCCGTCCCAGCGGCCTCATCCAGTTCACCGACGGGTATCTTTGACCGATCGCAACTCTGAGGACTGCTTCATTTTCCACGCAGACCCCAGCCGCCCAACATGAAGACTCAGTATGTCTCTCCCCACGACATTCACGGTCTTCCTCAGAGCGAAATGGTGTGCTAACTATCGTTCACCCGCAGGTGGAAGGATCTCCCCCCGGTCCCCAACTCGCAAGAGTTCCTGGACATTGTCCTCTCGAGGACTCAGCGCCGTTTGCCGACACAAATTCGTTCCGGTTTCAAGATCTCCAGAATTCGTGGCTTCTACACCCGTAAAGTCAAGTTCACCCAGGAGACCATCACCGAGAAGCTTGGCCAGATCATCGAGTCGTTCCCTCGCCTGAACGACATCCACCCCTTCCACAAGGATTTGATCAACACTCTTTACGATGCCGACCACTTCAAGATCGCCCTCGGTCAGCTCTCGACTGCGAAGCACCTGATCGAGACCATCTCCAGAGACTGTACGTGGGAAACCTTGATTGCTCGTTGTTGGGGAGGACATGAATACTGATGCGCGTTTGCAGATGTCCGTCTTTTGAAGTACGGCCAGTCGCTCTTCCAGTGCAAGCAGCTGAAGCGCGCCGCGCTTGGTCGCATGGCGACCCTGATCAAGCGCCTCAAAGACCCTCTGGTTTACCTTGACCAGGTCAGACAGCGTGAGTGGCACGAACGTCGAATCGACAAATCGAGGCAGTACTAACATGGCGCAGATCTTGGCCGTCTTCCCTCGATCGACCCCAACACCAGAACCCTGCTTATCACTGGTTTCCCTAATGTCGGAAAGTCTTCTTTCCTGAAGTCCGTCTCCAGAGCCGACGTCGATGTGTATGTTTCGCCCAAATGCCACAACACGGTCATTACTGACAAGCGACGTGCAGCCAGCCGTATGCCTTCACCACCAAGTCGCTGTTCTGTGGTCACTTTGACTACAAGTACCTTCGTTTCCAGTGCATTGATACCCCCGGTATTCTCGACCACCCTCTCGAGGAGATGTAAGCGATGCCCTGATGGATGCGCAAGAGGAGGCGGACAATTAACGTTTGCAGGAACACCATCGAGATGCAGTCCGTCACCGCCATCGCCCACTTGCGATCCGCCATCCTTTACTTCATGGATCTCAGCGAGCAGTGCGGCTACTCCATCCAGGCCCAGATCAATCTGTTCCAGAGCATCAAGCCCCTTTTCCAGAACAAGATCGTCTTCATCGTTGTCAACAAGATCGATGTCGTCAAGCCCGAGGACCTCGACGCTGAGACCCAGGAGAAGCTTCAAGCCCTCCTCAAGTCCGGTGAGGTCGAGATGCTTCAGCTCTCCTGCAACACCCAGGAGGGCGTCCAGTCGGTCAAGAACGCCGTCTGCGAGCGCCTCATCGCCGAGCGCGTCTCTCAGAAGCTCAACGCCGGCACCAACGCCAGCGGCACCATTGGCGGCCGTCTCGCCGACGTCATGGCCCGTATTCACGTCGCCCAGCCCATGAACGGCCAGACCCGCGAGACCTTCATCCCCGACGCCGTCAAGGGGCTCAAGAAGTACGACAAGGAGGACCCTGAGCGTCGCAGGCTCGCCAAGGACGTCGAGGTCGAGAACGGCGGTGCCGGCGTCTTCAGCGTCGACATGCGCGCCGACTGGCTCCTCAAGAACCCCGAGTGGAAGTACGACAAGATCCCCGAGGTCTTCGACGGCAAGAACGTCTACGACTTCATCGACCCCGATATCGATGCCAAGCTGCAGGCACTCGAGGAAGAGGAGGAGCGCCTCGAGAAGGAGGGCTACTACGAGTCGGACGAGGACCTCGACGACGAAGAGGAGGCCGACATCCTCTCCAAGGCCGAGATGATCCGCGAGAAGCAGACCCTCATCCGCAACGAGGCCAAGATGAAGAAGCGCCTCAAGAACCAGGCCATCATCCCCCGCAAGTCGATGCGCATCCCCCTGTCCCAGATGGACGACGCCCTCGACCAGCTCGGTGTCGACACCACCGACATCGTCAACCGTGCCCGCTCCCAGTCCCGCCCCCGCGGCCGCTCCATGGGAACATCCCGCGCCGGCACCGAAGACGCCGACGCCATGGACATGGACGTCGACAGCACCCCCAGAGAGCGTCTCCGCTCGATGAGCAGGCCGAGAAGCAGAAGCCAGGCCGCCCGCGACAGACTCAACGACGGTGTCGAGGACGACGGCGCTCGCTCCAAGGCCGAGCGCATGGCCAAGCTGAACCAGAAGAAGATGAACAGGAATGCCAGACAGGGTGAGGCCGATCGTCACACGACCGTTTCTCTCCAGAGGCACTTGGTAAGCATTCTCCGCGAACTCCTGACACGCGCCGTCGCAGCAGTCAAGCTAACCCACTTTGTTTTCCAGGTCGCCGGAAAGCGTGGTATGGGCAAGACCCAGAGACGTTAAAAATAAAGAAATAGCACACGAGACGGAAACGGTAATGTGGGTGGATGGCGGCCATCGTTTTGCGGGCTCCTTGAAGGGAAGAATAAAAGTAAATATGCCACTTGTTTCGCTTTTTATCTTTTGGCCTTGGGGGCGTTCGGTTCATTGTTTCTATTTTCGACATATAAGGGGATCCCGAAGAAGCGCTGGGGAGGGGGAAAGGAGGGTGGCCTTTTTTTTGACGGATGAACATTCAAGAAAAAAGGTTTCGCCGTCTGCTCTCCACGTTATCCATGTCTGCGACGCCTGCCGGCCGAGCAAGTCATGACGATTTATGGGGCCGTTGAATACCCTAGATGAGAGAGAACTTGAAGAGATTGTGTCAACTCATGAACGAACTTGACGTGAAACATTGATCCAAAGGGCAGGCGACCTCCTGCAGATCTAAGGAATGAGACATAATATGTCGTTTGACGAGCCGTTCACAGTGCAGAATTAAGAAAATGGGTTAACTGTTTGGCATGTAGTTCGAATGACTCTGAAGAAAGCACCACCCTCTGATGTTTACGTCCAAGATATATATCTACTCCCAGTTGTCGTCTGTTATGGTGTGGCGAGGACTCCATGCCTCTCAGACTGTGTTTCCTTCCAAATTCAAATCGTACCTCACACGCAGTCATTAACTTACTGCTCATCCGCAACCTGAAGTCCCTCCCTAAGGCCCTCCACAACAAGCTCCTCCCCGGTGGCGCGGCGGAAGATATCCTTGACGTCGTCGGTCGTGCTCTCAAAGTGACTGCTGGCGTCGTAGCTCTTGGAGACGAAAACGTTGTCGCCGCGGCCATCGTCCGTGGGCTCGTAGATGGGGATAGGAGCACCCTGAGTCGCGTTAGTATCTTAGTATCAAACCTCGGCCGAGGCATGCTGGGAAGTGGGCGCTTACCATAAACTGCTCCTCGATCTCTCCAAGACGGTCCAGACCAGGCTGAAGCTCGAGGTGGTGGTTCGCACCAGTCTCGGCAATGGTCGAGACGATCGCGATCCAGTAGCCCTTGGGGCACACGTTGTGTGCGGAGGAGACGGTCGCGATGTAGATATCTGCCACGCGTTAGATCTTGAGGTCATCGTACGGCTCGACGGAATACGTACCGTTCTTGCGGCCGATCTGAGATTGGGGAATAATGAGCTGAGCAGAGTCGGCGTCGTTCGTTCCAGGCAGAGGGTGCTTCAGCACACAAATAGCACGCAGGACCTGGCCGACAACCTTGACCTTGTTGGAGAAGTAGCTGGGGTCACCAAGGATCATCTTGGCCTTGGTCTCGAACTTCATCTCCTCGACACCGGTCATGGTGGCCTTGATGCCGACAGCCTTGCCGCCCTCGTAGGTCACCTCATCGACGTGGGTGTTGAGCATGTATGTACCGCCGTAGATGGCAGACAGGCGGGCGAAACCCTGAGGAAGCTCGCCGAGACCGTACAGAGGGTAGATGTACGGGGACTTGCCGTAGCGGGCAACGGAAGTGCCGTAGAGGCGAATGCGCTCGAGGGCCTCCGGGGCGGCACCGGGCTTGGTGAGGTAGTCGTCGGTGGTGAAGAGGGCCATGGCATGGCCGATGAAGTCGCGAGTGCCAGTCTCGAGACCGAACTTGTCGTAGACCTCCTTCATGGTACAGTTGTTGATGTCGAGACCTTTCACGTGTTAGCCCAAGCTCCCAACCGTTGCTATCTTCGAGATCGTGCGGTCTAACCCTTGTGGGTGGCAGTGTCCTTGCGGTCGAAGCTGCCAATCCACTCGATGAAGTTCTTCATGCGCCTCTTCTCAAAGAGGCCCATCAACGGCGAGCGCAACGCCTCACCGGCATCGGACGGAACCTTAGCGACGGCGGCCTTGGTGCCCTGGCCCTGCTGGACGTAGCTGCCAGCGACTTGCTTGAACTCCAGGTATCGTGTGACATCAGTCGAGACCAGGATGTTGGTCAACTCGCCAGAGGACATGAGGAACTTGGGGACGAGGTCGATGTTCCAGTCATTCAGGCGGCCGTACTTGGTCCAGGGCTCCTCGCCCTTGTTGTAGTTTCCATACTTCTTGAACAGCTGTAATCATGGCGAGTCAGATATCAAATTGATAAAACAGCTATGGGTTCGCGGGTGTATACCGTCTCGAGGTTCACTGAAGCTGCCTCACTGCTCTACGTCAGCTCCAGCTCGGTCGCGATAAGGGGGAGGGGATGGCGGTTATCGGATGGAAAGGAGACGACTTACCCGCCGTAGTGGTCGTTACGGTCAATGTGAAGAACCTTCTTGCCCTTGACACTGAGAACACCAGAGAGAATACACTCAGTCAGGCCTGCTCAAGGGAGACGGTGAAGATGGTTAGCCAGGAAGCTCCTCCGAGCAGAAGGGAACCCCACACCACGACGCCATGGGCGATGATGCGGGGCAACAGAGGGCAGTCTGAGGTCGTAACGTCACGTACCAGTGCCCAGCACGATGACATCGTATTCCTTTGCAATCTCATCCATGTTTGCGCGAGTTTGAAGGGGTTCGGGAGGTAAATTAGTCGGTGTTGGTAATAAGGAGGGAAAAGAAAAGTCGAGGATAGTTCACGTCTGGAGAAGTAGTTGCGGTGTTGTAGGAGACATGGGACCGAAAATGCAGCAAAGGAAGGATTGGGGTGGGGGTGGCCAGGTCCAGCAGGGGCCGCAGAGCCACACTGCACCTGGAGCAGATGCTTTTGGAGGGGTTCAGTGTCAAGTGTGTCACTGGGGGCCAGTGCCGTGCTTTGCCTGGGCCTGTATGGCTCCAGTACATTGCCATTAATGGATAGGTCCGCTCTCCGCTCTCCGCTCTGTGGCTCACCGCTAATACCGTAGACGGTTTTTTGTGTCCAAGCTACAGGTACTACGCGTTACCACAGGTACTGGCTCGTCAAAAGCCTGAGGCTATTAAATTCTAATGTATGGTTCTCAATGGAAGCGGTAAGGTAATTAATGACCCTTTGGCAGACAGACCTACAAGTACTCGGCGGTGTGATTGGGCTGGACTTGGTACAAGGGCCCAGGTCGAGTCTCGTCCCGTCCTTCCCCGTTCCGGTCCTGTAACATTATGCGAGTATCTATGTGGTCTCAGATCATCCATCTAATATTAAGGTACTGCACATACCTACCTACCAAATGGGTCATCTGCCCTGATTATGCAATGCTCAACCGCTTTGAATCAGCTTGCTCAAACTATCGTGAGCCGCCTTGCGCCATTCCACCCAGCTGAGCTCGATAGACGGCCAGCTAAGGTGATTTGTAGGGGAATGCTTTTCTTTCGGGCGGCGAAATAACCACCCGCCTCTGCACAGATGGCGTATCGTACAAGATTCTATACATGTCTGGATACAATGATACAGGTCCCTCCTAACCTGGGTTCGCATGCAGGCGAGGTGCGATTATAACTGCGGTTGCTCAAAGCTTCGGCACCGGCATCTCTACGGCCTTCTTCTTCTCCTCCTTGGGCTTCTCCGGTGCCTTCTCAGCCTCCGCCTCCGCCGGCTTGATTTCATGTTCCACCCCGGTTGCCGGCTCAGTCTTCTGCTCAGCCGATGCCTCCGCGGGCAATTCCCGTTCATACATCGATTCTTCGCCAGGAGCCGCCATCAATGCCCGATCGTAAGCGTTTCTGTACATGGGCTGGCGCTTCATATCAATGTCGGGATCAAAGTGAGCCAACTGGCGCGCATCTTCCCAGACGTAGTATCGTTCCGTCAAGACGTGCTTGATCCGCCTCATCGTTATCCGAACCTGCAGCGTTCTGGTTAGCAGCCATCGTTCCCGAATGCAAAACGAGCACGAACCGTTTCGTCTCTGCCGCTGGCCTCCAGGGCTCCAAAACCAAGCTGCCGCCTTGTGCGCTCCTTGGACGCTGTCAAGATGCGGTTCCTTTCCTTCAAGCAGACATACCACAGAGCGTGGAGGTCGTTCCAGCTCTTCTTGCGCAACTCTTCGGTTTCCCATGGGCGGCCGTGAGATTCGTCCTCCTTGGGCGTCTGCAGGAGTTTCTTGCCGTAAAAGAAGTCCCAGAGGCCGTGGTTCGGGTCCACAGCAACGGTGGGCTTGTAGTCCGCCGGTCTGGGTATCTCCTCCCAAGACACGGAGAGCTTCTCACGAGGACCTGTTCTCTTCATAGTCGAGACTCCTCGCAGGCGGTTGTTGTCGCGGGTCACCCGCTTAGCGTGCGCTGAAGAGGTCGAGAAGCACGACGTTGCGATTCGTGGTTGGGCGATGGGGGCCGATGTCGATGTCGAGGGGAGCCATTGTCTGGTCTCCTGGAGCCGCAGTACGCGACCAATCGATGGTCGTAGCGCATTCGGGTTCGCCATCGCAGTAGAGATCAAGGCTGCTGGGAAGGAATCGTGAATCCCTTTCCGACAGCTCGAACTATTTCGCCAGTCAGAAATTTGGCAAGCCGTTCAGCCAATTACGAGAGCATTTGCAGCGGCTGCGGGTGAACGACTTACCGGGCGGTTTTTTTGAGCAGGGATTTTACCTCTCCCACCTACCTTACCTTAGGGAGGTACCAAGGTACCCCGCCAGATCTCCACCTCACGGGCTCAAACTTCCATGTGTTCAGCCACACATGAGAGTTGAGGCTTCGCAAGGTGTGGCTAGTGAATAAGACGGGCAGCCCGGACTGACCTACAGGCCTCTGTGGACTCGACATTAAGACTCTTGGAGCTTGCGTTGACTTCCCGTGGTAGGTTAGATAGATTGAAATGAACATTGATCTCATCTCGACATAGAAGACGTCAAATGAGACTGCGCGGATGTCTTATGTCGCCATCCATTCTTGGGGACTAACGTGTCACCCTTGGTTCTTCGTTGTGCTCTGGTCATCTCCCTGTCGTTGTCGACAATGTCTAGGAAGCAATTGTTGTTTCTGCATAATCTTTTATCCTGCATTTACTCTGAGCGAGGCTGTGACTTCTTAAGTCTCCTGGAAGGCTGGGACAACAAGAAGCATTCGCTGGGCGTATCTAGCATCTAAGAATAATGGCAACTTCCTAGCTCAATTTGTTAACTTTTTGGCGGAAGTCACCTTGTTTGTTGCACTAGATAGTAACACTTGAATAGTATCAGAGATGAGAGACACGCAAGTAGGACGTCTTCAGCCAATCGCACCATCCAACCCCCATGAAGACCAAATCGTAAGTGTTGTCTGGGGTAGTAGTATATTCGCCAATCGGTTCACCCAGGATCGTGAGTGTGTGAGGACCTTCAGCCACGTAACACCAGTCTGCGCAGATTCCTTGGCCATTATCGAGGCTGGAAGTTTTAAGAAGCTTATCGTTAGGAAACCTACTTACAAAGTGGGTGCTGCCTTGTGTCGACTCCAAGCCTTCACAAGTGTTTGAGCTCATGCGGAACTCCCGCGGAGAGTTGATAAATGACACTAAATGTATCGAAATACAGACATTTCTGAAATCCCAAAAGCATTTCTCCGGATATGCTATGTCCATGTAGCTCGTTGACGACCGCAAGCGATTCGTGTGATATGACCCAGACAGCAGTATGTCAGGTCATGGCCGCTAAGTAGAACAACACCTTCACTGGGCAGAACTACACTGGAATTGTTCGACAATGAAGTCTGACTGACGATAAGAACGGTGGAAATGAAGTGCCAACTTCTTATTCCAATTGATGATACTTCATGCACTGATACCGCACGTGTCTGCCTCAGCACCTGGGCCATGCGAGAGATAGCTAACTACACAGCTCATAGCTATAACTCATGCTTCATACCCTAAACTACCACTACGAGTCCGTACGAGTACCAAAGTGGGATGTTTTGGTTTCGACTATTCGAGTAAAGCTGAACCTCGGTGACAATTGTTTCTGACCAACACATCGCTTTGATATTAGGAAGTGCTTGTTACTGCGGCGATAGTTTTCAAGTACGTGTGGTTGCTCATGATAGTAAGAAGAAGGTTGATATATGATTATCCACCTGTTAACAGTGTAGTAGTGGCAGCATGGGGGCTGACGTGGTGACCACCAAGTTGAGGCTACCAGGCAAAACGGGTCGACGAGACTTTCGAAATTGCTCTAAGAAGGCAGGTTTATATTGTCTGCAATTGCATAAGATACCGGCTTAAAGCAAAATAGCAATGAGTTGTTGCGTGACTCTGAAGGCTCTTGATACGCTCAATAAGAACACTTGCGATGCACTGTCTACGACCCTCGTTGACGGTAAGTGTGCTTTCCCGCTTCGTCAGGATACAATACGTCGCTCTCGGTCATATAAGACTGCCATATTCCTATTATTGACCCTCGAGTCAGCGTTGTCTATGTTACCGGGAGAATGAAGAACGTGACTTGCCAATGTTCACATGACGCTAGAGGTGATGGAAAGTCCTGGTCTTGAGATCACCCGTTGAGATGGACTTTCTCGTAATTGCTTGCAAGTTGACTGACTCTTCGAAGATAATTCATAGTCGTTTTCTCAACAAGTAAGCTCTTCAATTCTCTGTCAATGTTGTGGAAAGTAGCGTCACGTCTTCAACCGTTCCAGCTATGAGCAGTCGTTGAATCGAGCAACACACAAGAGTGACACATTACAGGGCCACTTGGTAGATTCTGAAGAGAGATGCCTAAGAAACTTCGACGCAATTAGGTTGACTTTCAAGTTTCCATTGCAGAGTCAATCTCTTTGATGGTTGCCGGGTATCAAGTACCGTTCTTCAACCTAGAAGCATCCCCGTCCTACGCCAGCCTCGTCAGAGCACGACGTTGCTGGAAAACATCTTTGATTTCCGCCATGTGATATATAACAAGTTGACACCTAGCTTATCACCATTCAATCCTCAGTGTTGAGATTGCTTCCGCCAGCAAGATTGAACTAACCGAAAATCCCCAAGTCGCTGAGCATGATGGGTTGACCTGGCGTGGATCGGCCGGAGTTCCCAAAGTCTCGACAACTCTGGCAAGACGTACAGATACGGCATACAGCCAATAACTCATCGAGAAGCTTCAGAATGTCAACCTTCAAAGTCAACGCAGCATGAACAAGGCTGCCTCCAAGTCAACGCAGCAGCGCATGTTCTCCGCGGCGCGTCAGATCCAACCGACGTCGGTGAACACCGAACTCAGAAGACAACCAACAACCACCTCACGCTCTCCATACTTCGCTCAAGTTTCCCCAATAGTCTCCATCACGACGCTCCAAAAACCCCCCATCTCATCCCGCGCGACCCAACTCTTCGCATTCCCCATCGCAACCACCCACCTCGAATGCCCACACCAAGCGAAAAAAAGAGCCCACACACACATACAGCTCCCCGCCGGACGGATCCCTCCCTCTCCGCCAAAGATGCCGAACCCGCTGCGGGAACGTCAACATCCGCTCCGATGGATAATCGGCCGGTTGGCCCAATGGCAAGGCGTCTGACTACGATTCCACACAGGATCAGTTATCAGGAGATTCTGGGTTCGACCCCCAGGCTGGTCACGTTTCTTTTTGTTTGTCTCGTGCTTGTTCAGCAACATAATCATCATATACCTTCCTTCCGCTCGCTCGCCTTCACCTCTTCCTATCTTCATTGCCTTACCGACATTCAGAACAACGTGTCCTCTCCTGTCCTGAAGCCGCCTGAGTTGCAGAGTTTTCACACCAGGGCAGACCGCGCGGGTCTCGCGGGTACACGACGCGGTTCCCGCCGCGGGGAGGGGGAGGGGAGGGGGTGGTCGACGGAAAGCTGTCCGTGGGAAAAACGCATTCAACCTTCGACGACGTGGTCGGCCACGATGTATCGTCCGTCCCCTGAACGGAAGACAAGCGGTGAGCGATTCCTGCCTGAAGACTGAGCGTCAGTCACTTTTTTGGTTTCTTTTTGTCCACCTTGGCGAACAGACGAATGCCGAGTATCGTGGCCAGGTACCATCGGCCCAAGATCACGAATGAAAAAAACAATTCACTAGGTGTACATTTTGAACCAATGGCTGTGATATATCTTCAGAGACACGTCACTTGGCTTGACGCCAGGCATTGAAGACTGCCACGAGGCAAAGGACCAGCTCTTGGAAATGCGCAGGAACCTTACCGCCAGAGCCGTAGCAATTATTCCAAAAAATTCGACACTCCCATCTATTCGCACGCCCGAAGCTCGGCCTCTGTTCATCACCTACCGCATCACACGTCGTGAAGTCGTCCGAGAGGATCACGTCCAGCGAACGACCCCCTCCAACGACGATCACCCCCATCGGTCGTCGGCCGCCTCGCGAGGCCGAGACACAGATTGACAGAACAGCCCAGAGGGAAAAAAAGGAGCCCACAAAACGCGGTCGGCTATGCAGAGACAAGCCTCAACAACCGAGAAGCAGCACCACAATATCTCACATTCCAGAACGTCCAGCTCACATGAAGAGCCTTGTAACGGGTGGCAACATGTACCCAAAGGGGGCAACAGATCACGCCCATCCGGAGGGAAAAGGAGCAACAACCTACGAATAGGGGGGACTCCTGAAGAAGGCTGAGATGAGGACAGAGGGCAGACAATTCGGGACTTTCCTACAGCCCACACAATCTACGCTCCAAAATGGATGCTAGCATGAGTCCATCTAGTCGGCGGGTCATCCCTTCTCAGCCTCAACTCTAGAACACGGTATTCGTACAGACATGAACCCCATAACATAGTCACTCTGTCTATCTCCATTTTTCTGAACCTCCTCTTACGGGCAGGCAGGCAAGAAAAGATGCATCTGCCGTCCGTGGCGAAGAGTGCCAACAACGCTCATGTATTCGAGTTCAACCATCGGAGACAAGAAAACACCGATATTACGCGCTCTGCTCGCGCTCGCGTTTGACGTTCCCCGTCACAACGTCCCCGATTTAGAAACTGTCGCCTCGGGGAGGACGAGCCGGACAGTCTCTTCCTAAGGATTTGCGCTCTGCACTGCTGCGTGCAGTGCACCACCACCTGCCAATCTATGCTACCACGGCAGGTATGGACGCGTCTTTCAGTCTCCTGGATGCGACATGGTAGGAGTTTACGTTTGTTTCGGCTAGAACAGTTCATAGTCCCAGTCCCATTCTGCATTTCGCGCAGTGGTTGTCGTAATCGTTGCCAACTCGGACGGCACGCGTTCAAGCAGCCAGTTGCTAGGCCATCGCGCGTACCTGGTACAGTTGTCGTCGGGGAGCACCCGAAACCAATGCCATTCGTCCGTCGAATTATCGTGGCAGTGACATTCCTCAGTTACGGAAATAAAACGTCGAGTTGTCACGAGGATGTCTATACGACGAGGGTTGGAGATTATGCCGATCAGAGGCTCTCAGGACACGATATTGCCGGGTCTCGAGTCACAGGAGCCTTGAAGCCATGGT